GCCATCCTAACATTGACTTTGCTTCATCTGGACCGCCTTTCAAGGGAGGATCAAAGCGGATGATAGCGCCATCAAATGAAGAGACTGAGGGATGATACTCAGATTTGGGTAGAATCATTCCATCGGTCAAAGGACCAGAGAAAAGTCCGACGTCGGACCCTGTACTCCCATAAATAACCTTCAGCCGCTCGACCAAGGCATCCCGAGAGGCCGCGGTGTCAGCACCGAATTTCAGCCCCTCTCTTTTTTTCGAGGGATCAGCGATGAATGGATAAACCTTCAGTGTCTTGACAGCTGACCGATGCAGCTGTGGGGGCGCTGCCTCAACTCGAACAATTCCACCGACCATTTTCTCCGCGCCAAGGGCCGTGCACAACAATGTGGACATCGCCGCATGCCGATTGTCGGGGGCTTCTTCCCACGGAAGCAGCTTAGCTACAATCTTCGTTGAAGGGGTACCAGCATCATTCGATTTCTGCTGCTCAGCTTGGGCAAGTTGTTGTTGGGGATCAGGTGGGGGCTTGAGACCAGATGGCTGGACCACCGATACGCATGCCCAAGTCGCCCCGCGCAGCTCATGGCTTGCAAGCAGGTCCGGATCGACCCAAACACGTAGGCCTTCGTTTGCATCATCTTCAATTTCCGCATCGAAACATTGGCTGGTTGCTGAACGATCAACGCCTCTCAAATATAGAGAGCCTCGGGTGCTCGAGTCGGAACGGCCACTCTTCGGGCGTACAGTGCTTGAGCCACTCCTGCCCCCAGCACTTCTCCTGCTGCTACCAGCTGCACTCCGGCTGTCAGCCCGAGATCCTTTGTTTGTCTTCGACCGAACCTTCGGGGCGACAATAACTTCCGCATCCGGTGCAATCTTGGCGAAGGGAGATGTGCTTGAGGGAGCGGGTGTAAGTGATGTGACGACAATATTCGCGGTAGATGTGGGAGATAGATGCAATGCAAGCGGGTGCATATGCTGCTCTGATTGTGGGCAATTGTATGTAGGATTTGGTAAAGCGCGGATCTGTGAGAGGAGATTGAGCTCAAGGAATGTCGCGTGGAGTTCAATAACTATAATAATGCTTATTTAGCGGTGTTTGATATGACTTGTTCGTACTTGCGACTTACTCTCCCAGTCTTCCGGTGTCAATGGCTCAATGTTGATCGTATGCGCAATGGGTGGATCGAGATGGATGAACAGCCCGACCTGCAAGGTGTTAGTACCCCACGTGGATGGCGCACGGGCAGGGATACAAGTTTACCTTCTGCCCCTCGGTGAGACCCAGAAGTCGCCCGAAAGTAGTATCCAGCTCGACAGTAGGTAATTCCTGTTCTCTGGAATATCCACTGCTGATACCGTCTCTTCCAACGACTGGCGCAAGCCGACGCTTGCTTGGCATACCAGTCCACCCGAGGAAGCATGACTGCTGCGGGGGAGCTCCATTGGCCTTCCCGGAGTTCGACTTATATTGTAGTTCAATGATCACATTCTGGGCAGTCTGATGTAGTTTTGAATTAGCCGAAAATCACGCATTGATACGTCACAGCTGGCAGACTGACCGTGTTTGCATTGACCAGCAGAGCGACTAGCGACGATGGTAGATTGACGAGACAGTTTTTCAGAGGAACAAGGGCAACTTCGGCCGTAGCAGCAGGCTTCTTGGGCGCCATCTGTAAGCGCTGAACTGTCGTGAACACCGAAAGGACGAGAAGGAGAGGGGAACGTGAACTCGGAGAGACACGAACCCCGGACTCCACACTGCTTCTGTTTCGCCTCGGCCCGATTACCAGCCACGTGACCACGTATCGTGATAGCGGAAGAACATTTTGTCCGGTGTCATATACACTAGTTCCAAATAGGTTAGCAACATTCTGAACGCGTCGCTGTCGCGCGTTCGCGTTTTGCCAGCGATTTTGGTAGGGGCTCGGAAAGCCGCTAGACCCTCTCTCTATTTCTTCCGTCCCACCACCTCTTTGCGATTAACCCTCGTTTATGCACAATGTCGCTCCTTCAGTACCACCCCCCGTTGATTATGCCGCGCAATTGGATGGCTTCAAGGACTTCTTGAAAGGATTTAAGACCTTCCAATCTTCCTCGGAAGCAGCCGCGACCGAGGCGCTGGAGGACCTGAACATCGACGAGGGCCGGACCAGTGATGAATATGATTTCATGGATGATGCTGATGAGACGGGGGCCAACACTCGCGTGAGCAGGCGCCGGGAGCCGAAGCTCAAGTATATGCAAATTTTGCAAGATGTCGCAAACAGAGACAAGTCCAATATCCTGATCGAGTTGGATGATCTCGCGGTGGTGAGTATCTGAACCGAGTAGCTCTTTCTCATTGAGCAATACCTTACAAATGGCTTCCTACAGTTCGAAAAATCCCTCCCTGATGAAGCCAACCTTAAATTGGTCGAGTCAATCGAAAAGAACACCAAGCGCTACATCGATGTTGTTTCTCAAGCGGTTGACAATATTATGCCAAAGGAGACAAAGGATGTCACGTAGGTCGAAACCTTGGCCAGCACAATCTTCCAGACGGACTAACTCTCGTTCAGATTTAAAGATGATGTGCTTGATGTGATCATGTCCCAGCGCGAGAAGCGCAATGAAACAATGGAAATGGCCATGGAGGCCGACATGGAAGCTGCCGCTTCTGCCCCATCGATGTTCCCCCCGGAACTCACTCGCAGATACACCCTCAACTTCAAGCCCCTCACTCCTTCAGGCTCTAGCGTCGAATCCAAAGCCCTCGCCGTCCGCAGTGTGCGTGGCGAGCACCTGGGTAGCTTGATCACTGTGCGAGGTATTACCACCCGTGTCTCCGATGTCAAGCCCGCTGTCCAGATCAACGCGTACACTTGCGATCGCTGTGGCTGCGAAGTTTTCCAACCCGTTACCACCAAGCAGTTCCTTCCTTTATCCGAGTGTCTGTCGGATGAATGCAAGAAGAACAACTCCAAGGGCCAGTTGTTCCTGTCAACTCGTGCTTCCAAATTCGTTCCCTTCCAGGAAGTTAAAATCCAGGAGATGGCCGACCAAGTGCCGGTGGGCCACATTCCTCGCACCCTGACAATTCACTGCCATGGTGCTCTCACTCGTCAACTGAACCCCGGTGATGTTGTCGACGTTGCTGGAATCTTCCTGCCCACTCCCTACACCGGTTTCAGAGCTATTCGCGCTGGCCTACTGACCGACACTTATCTGGAGGCTCAGCACATTACCCAGCACAAGAAGTCCTACAATGAGATGGGCATGGACAGCCGGACTCTTCGCAAGATCGAACAGCACCAGCGCTCTGGTAATATGTACGAGTACCTTTCCCGGTCGATTGCACCCGAAATCTACGGACACCTCGATGTCAAGAAGGCATTGCTCTTGCTGTTGATTGGAGGCGTCACGAAGGAGATGGGTGACGGCATGCACATTCGTGGTGACATTAACATTTGTCTGATGGGTGACCCTGGTGTGGCCAAATCACAACTACTTCGATATATTACCAAGGTCGCTCCTCGTGGTGTATACACCACCGGACGAGGAAGCAGTGGCGTCGGTCTTACTGCCGCCGTCATGAGAGATCCTGTTACCGACGAGATGGTATTGGAGGGAGGTGCTCTTGTCCTTGCTGACAACGGAATCTGCTGTATTGATGAGTTTGACAAGATGGAGGACTCAGACCGGACAGCTATTCACGAAGTGATGGAACAGCAAACCATTTCTATCTCCAAGGCCGGAATCAACACTACCCTTAATGCACGCACTTCCATTCTGGCAGCAGCTAACCCGCTGTACGGCCGGTACAACCCTCGCTTGTCCCCCGTTGAGAACATCAACCTCCCCGCCGCTTTGCTGTCTCGTTTCGATGTGATGTTCTTGCTACTTGATACCCCATCCCGCGAGGGTGACGAGGAACTCGCCAACCACGTCACATACGTTCACATGCACAACAAGCACCCCGAGACTGAAGACTCTGGTGTGATGTTCACTCCCCACGAGGTCCGCCAGTACATCGCCAAGGCTCGATCATTCCGCCCTGTTGTGCCTTCCAACGTGTCCGACTACATGGTTGGTGCCTATGTGGCCATGCGTAAGCGTCAAAAGGTCGATGAGTCCAAGAAGAGACAGTTCTCTCACGTGACCCCTCGTACCCTGCTCGGTATTGTTCGTCTGTCCCAGGCCCTTGCTCGTCTTCGCTTCAGTGAGGAAGTTGTTCGTGAAGATGTCGATGAAGCTCTGCGTCTCATTGAGATCTCTAAGGCTTCACTGTACAACGACGGCGAGACCGGTGCCGACAACACTCCTTCCAGCAAGATCTACAACTTGATCCGCAGCATGAAGGAGAGTGGTGCCGCTGCTGTTGGTGATGGCGAGGAGGGTGAGATGAGCATGAGACGTATCCGTGAGAGAGTGTTGGCCCGTGGCTTCACCGAGGATAACCTCACCATGACTATTGATGAATACGCGGCTATGGACGTAAGTTTTGAATCACCTCCCAGCTCATTATGCGCGTTTACTAACTCTATACCTCACAGCTCTGGCAAGTCACTGGCAACGGCACACGTCTGCTCTTCACTGAAGTTGACGCTGATATGGGCATGTAATTGTGAAGCTTATTTATCCTTTTTTTCCTTCTTGAATGTCGACCGGGCTTTTTGTGCCTGTTAAAGATGCATGTAAAACAGGTTGAGTTTAAGGCAACGGGTGTTTGGGTGTATTCTTGGGAATATGGAGCCGGTTCTTATGATTTTGTAGGGTCAATCAAAAGATCATCCAATTTACATTTTAATTTTGCTTTATGTCCTCTCAGTTCCATATATAAACCATATTCGATTAACTTTAAGGAGCGACATTGTGCTATAGAGCAAACCCAGAATCTCTGGCGCCACCAAAACTAAACTCCCTAGGGCCTATGAGTAACTTATCCTCGAATGTAGAAGTTGCCTTCATCCCCAACTTCCTCTCCAATAAACCCATAGGCAACCTAGGCCTGCACTACATCGCTTTAAGCCGGGCACTGGTTGTAAAGTTTAACCTCATTACAAAGCTCCGACGGCATACCGAAGGGATTGTTGCAAAGTGTATTGCAAGCCGTATTCTCAGGAACGAAAACAAGGAACTCGTAGTTCGGCATCGGCAGGCGGAACTGACGACTGACATCGTTGTTATTCTGTGACGCCTTATAGCCAGCATGGCAGGCGCAGTGGAAGGATGTGCCAGTGTTGATGCACGAGGTGGTCACATCACAGCGATTCTTGCCGGAGACAGGGTTGCAGGTACCGCATGGTGGAGGCGGCGTTCCGTTCGCAGCGACCAAGGAAGCGGCGCCGATGATCAAGACCAAGGTGGAGATGTGCATCTTGATCGGAGGTTGGGTTTGAGTATAGACTTATAGTAGAACTTGAGGCTTGTGCTTTGTGTATTGTCCGCGGATTGGTTTTTGATGGCGTTATCTTTTGCTGGGAGGGTCGTCATCTTTATAGACTTTGCTTCTAGGCTGTACGATGCTCGTATATCATGTCATTTCTGGTGTTTGGATTCTTTTTGTTTTTCGTGCGGATGGGCATCCGGCCTATTCCCTGCAGTTTGTCCATCAGCGTCACATCACGCGGGCATCTTCGGCTTGGGTCTCCAAGTATAGATGATGACCTCAGATGGCGATCGTATCATATACGGGTTTCCATGGTTGCAGTGTTGCTTCTTTTCATCGGATAGGATGGGGGATCAGAGCCACCGGATCCGGATTGGGTGAGTCTGAATACGAGATCTGGAACAAAGATTCGAGACATTGTCAGTGCTCATTGAACAAGGCAATGCAAAGGTCAAATTTGCTTTGAGCAACCAGGCCATGAATTTCTTTTGGCGGACGTCAACTCTTGCATCCGAGGGGTTCAGCCCTGGGACATGTCTCAGGCTATGCATTGCCCCAACCGCATCCCAGGCTCGACTGCCAACCATTCTTCGATTCTATGTATAGAAATGCGGGGAAGAGCTTGAGTTGAGTTGTCTTTGCAGTTGTCTCACACCGCTTGAGTTTAATACCTTTGTGTTCTCTGATCTGGATACATCGCCATATGCAAATCCTACTTCTTTCGTCTACGGACTCTGGAACCTGGCGAAAGATGGATTTCAACAAGCGAGAATAAGGCACTGGCTAGGTTATTCAAGGCTGAAGCAAAGGCCGTGACACATTGTTTTCCATTTTTGTGAAATATCCCTGTCATCTAGGGCAACAATCTACAACAGGAATCATAAATGTGTACACAGTGCCATGAAGTATTGGATATTTTCTACTCGAAAGCTCCGAAGCGAGTATATCCTATTATGCATTGTTTTCGCCCTACTTTAGCCTCTTTTCTTCACTCCTTTTTGCCCATTTTCGATTGACTCAGGTTAGTCATAACTTATAGATTAATGTTATATAAAGGTGGGGGTGAAAGGACTTATGTCATAAACCCCTGTAGTATATTCGTCCTGTGTTCAGGTTGTACTGGGGTACTCAATCGAAACCAATAATTTCAGATTGCATATTCGTTTATTGATCTCGGGGAAACTTAGATTAGTCTTTAATAACGTGGAAATTCTCCTGGGTAGTCGGAGCCGGTGCTATATAGGGACTTTTGTTTCTGGATATAGCTACAATATTCTCATGCTTCTCGTTTTAGTGCTTTCCATTTCTTGCATTGAGACTGGCCCCTTGCATTATCGTCTAGATTGAACTATATGGTCTATACATCATTAGTTAAGTTATACTTAATGAACATGTTCACCCAGAGAACCAACCCACATCCAAGCAGGACGAGCTCCCTGACCCTGCTTTCTCGGCCTGTTCCGGGCCTTGTAGCTAGCCTACTCACAATGTTCTTCATAAATATTATGATGATTTGGATCTAACACGGGTCCAGCAAATCCGCTAATTATATAGTTGGGCAGCTCGAAATAAGCGGCAGTTCTAACGAGCGTGACTTTCTAGAAGGCAGTGGTGTCTCACCTATGTTCCTCAAGTTCCCATGGCATATTCATCATGATTGTCTATTTCATTTATGTTGGTATAGTTGACGTAAAATGATCCGTCAGTATGATTGCAGCCACTTGGAAACTCGCTTTCAAGGATCCTCTCGTACTGTGCACTTGAATTGATCCGAGGGACAGACCGCATACTGTCGTGATGGTTTTCTTGTGGGAATCCCATGTATCTACATACGCTGTATGTGTTCCGTTCTAGGTTGTCAGATGTAAAATTGGAAGTGAGCCATTTCCGTTAGTCAATCTACCGCCAATTTAGATTACGGTCTACTGTGCTTTTGACTTACCCTTCTAGTAACCGGGATCTAATGATCGTTTACCAACAGACTAGGAATACCCTTGTTTATTAATAGTCAAGGCCTCCAACACGATGTACTTTATTTTCTTTTTCCCCCATTTTGGAGGAGATACATACAACACGAGAACCTCTGTGTTACCATATGCACCTCGTACAAAGTAAGCGCAACTGAGGCTGGAATATTGAACTGGGACGCTTGGAAAATGGATGCAGGGATCTGGACTCTTTTTTGTGTTAGCTGCACGTATGGGATACGAGAATCATCACGAAGGTTGAAATGGTATATTCATCGGCTTGGCTTGTCTTATGTTCAGGTAGGATACTCGATCAGAGGGCTGCGAAGGCATATCCACTAGCCAGACTGTCCTCCATGCACATAGGCTCGTACCCAATATCATCCAAAGTAGAAGCCTAAAGATGCGTCTGAGATCCCTCTGGCTCCCCAATCAGACCCAAAAATGCATGATGCACTTCATCAGTCAGATCACTAGCCTGCATACTCCGCCCCTTGGCCTCGAACGCCCGCCGCGAGCATTCCCGCGTAATACTACTTCCAGCCCAAGCCGCCAGAAGCAGCGTCGTTGCCGGAGACATGCGCATATTCTCAGACTCGAGTTCCGCCTGAACATCCTCTTTGTTCTGCGCCTCCTTCTCATTATCCTTCTCACCCGAGTCCCACAACTTATCATGATAAGCCTTTCTCCAGGCAAGCAATGTCGCCAACGATCCTGTCAGGGTATCTCCCTGGCCACCACTACGCTTCAAGCCACCCTTCGTATCAGCAATAATACTAGTAACCCCATTGGAAATCACATCATGAGGACCCTTCTGGATAATCGTCACACCACCAAGAGCTTGAGAAAGCTGCTCACAGGCATCTGATTCCTTGCTGGTCACGTTGCTTCCCCCGCTCTTCGCTACTTCCGCCGGGCTGGCGACCTCGATACCCAGCGCTTTGGCAAGACGGCCGAATTCAACCACGTTGGGCGTGAGGATACAATCCTTGTATCCCTTGACCAGGTTCGGGTCTTCTGTTACAATCAGTAGCCCATCTGCGTCTAGCACAAATGGGATCGATCGTGACCGCGCTTCTCGGATCACTTCGGCAACTACCTTGAGAGTGACTCCATCGCGGCCAAGTCCTGGGCCGATGACGAGCGTGTGTAGTCGTGACAGCATGCCGATTATTGGGCCTGCTAGTGATGGCACGTCGATTGAGTTGGGGTCTTCGACTGTGTCGATACTTGGGAGTAATGGGTGTACCATCAGGTTTGGGGAGTAGCCCTTGATGACCTGTGCGCGAGTTATTATGTGGATCCTATTACTGAAGTAATTTGAACTTACCGGTGCTGCGGTTCGCTCACAGAGGACGTGGCTCTGGTTGTTGTTAGTCGTTGGCGTGGGCCATATCTGGTTTTTCACGTACCATGTCACATCCTGTGATTATACGGTCAGTACCGATGGAATCCTATGCATCGCCACGGGAGTCTTACCAAGTCTTGCAGAGGCCATGGCGGAGAAGTATGGAGCGCCGGTATAGCTTATCAGTTAGCGGGATGCCAATGCCATTGGGATCGAGTACCTACTCAGCGCAGCCTCCAATGACGGCCACACGACCAAGCTGTCCTGGTCATGAAGTCAGCTTCTATACATATATGATGGTCTATCATCAAAATTGGGATCCTCTAATCGACCCAAGGGTAACACTGGCACAACAAACCTTTGTGGAACTTTTCTAGCATTGGGGGCACAAGCTTGCGCACCTTGCTGAAGAGGATCTTGGAAGAGGCCGAGACATGATGAACAGACTCCATGATGGGAATGCAGGTATGCAAAACTGAAGTCAGGTCTAGAGAGATATTTGGAGGAGTAGAGGTGAAGCTCTCGGGTGATGTCACTGCCAAGTGGGGCCATGACAAGCCTGTTACTATCGACTTCACTACAATTACGTATCCGATGTACATATCAAGTCATAGGTGAAAAAGCAAGTTGGTATTGGTAAGATGTCCGCTATGGATGGCGCTTCAAAGCAAAATAAAAAAAGGAATAATTAGAACACCCTCTATGGATGCTCCACACGCTCATAATGCTGAGTACAAAAACTCCCCCAGAACAAAGGAAAAAGTGCCAGGATGAAAACGGGTCAGTTTCAGATAAATAGAACCGAAAGAGTAACAAAATAATTAACGCTTGCGGGAGGCAAGAGCAGCCAGCTTCCGCTGGCGCGCCAACTTCTCTTTCTTTGCTGCCATCTCCTGGCGGAGCTCTTCCTCATCTTCCCGTTTGGCAAACTTCAATGCGGCGGCCTCTTCACGATCCACATCGTCTAGTCCAGCCTCCATGTCGGACGACTCATCAGAATAATAATCATCGTAACCACCATAACCACCGTAGTCACCCTCATCTTCCTCGTCAGTTCCAAGGTATTCATCCCGGCGTGATCGGCCATTGCGAGATTGGTGTCTGCGGTCACCTACACCACGGCTAGATGGCAAGCCCGCGGTACCACGATAAGCAGGCTGCTCGGGGGTTTGTGTATGTTTGGCGGGTTTGGCGGTGCCTTTATAAGATGGGCCGTCGGAGCTCCGCTTTGTGAGGGCAATCCGGTCCTTGCCAGTAGCGCCGGGAGCAGACTTCTTTCCTAAGCGGGCTTCTTTTTCTTTTGCCTGTGCTTCCATGGCCCGTCTCTTGCGTTCAACTTTGCTGAGTCTTTCCTTGGGAACCGCCTGGTGTCGTAGCGTGCCGGCATTCGTTGGGGCCTTGTCTTGCAAGGCCTGTGCCTTTGCCATAATCTCCGCGAAAGATCCCTTTGGTGGGGGTTTGGAGGGGGTAACTGCAGCCGCTGGTTTAGTCGGCACCTTGGGTGCAGGTGCTGCTTTTATGGCTGTGGATGTGCCAATTTTTGATACAGGCTTCGCAGGAGCTGCCCTGGAGGTGATGGTTGAAGCCGGTTTGGATAGAGCCTTGGGTGCCGCAGATGAGATAGGTTGCTTGGTAGCAGCTGGTTTCGTGATTGCGGGCTTGCTCGTCACATTCGATTCAGGCTTCACTGGCCGAGCCAGCTGGTCCTCAGCCTTGCGCTTCAGACCTCCACTAACATTGCCACTTGGAGGGGGCGGCTGTCGCACAGCGGTTGGCTTCCGCTCGTCTTTTCTGGGGGTTGCAGATGACGCTGGCGCTGCTGGCGCTTGGGACGGCGGGAGGGAGAGGGCTTGCCCGTCTGGAGAGACGAGAGAACCGAGTCAAGAAACTATTAGATGTTAGAGATAGTGACGTCAAACAAAGGGGGAAAGGGCCATACACTCATGGTGGAGTTGTTTAAGAGAAGAGGTGAACAGTTGGGAGATGGTGTAGAAGTGGTACAGAGAAGAAGTCACGCTCACCGTCGATGGTTGGTACTAAGTAACTTCATGACTCCGAGCCCGATAGCTGGCAGGAGATGTCTGGTTGGCTCCTTCTGGCACGGTCTATTGTTATATTGCTCTCAATAGCACAACAGACACAATAGGGGCACTTCCACCCTGACAGCTTTGAATGGGAAGACTTTATGAATGAAAAGAACAAGTGGGTGATTAACTACGTAAATGCCAGCATTTGGAGAAGTGGTCACGTGGTAGTCAACCTGCTGCGCCACATAACTCGCTTAGAAGTTTTGCCGGCACCAGCCACACCCGCTCGCACCACACTTTTCTTAAGATTTTGGCGAGTCGGTTCATCCTTCGTCAACCAACCTCTTCAACCAGAACCTGACGTTGCAGTCTCCGCCCAACTTGCGGTTAAATCGATTGTTTCTCTTGTTCAGATAATAATCAACAACGGTACGTACGCCTTTTACCTGGTGCCAGCCAGCCAGACGTCTCCTGCGCATCGCAACCTGCAGTCGCATTCCTATCTTCAAATCCAGATTCTAACGAAGAATTCGATCAGTCTATTCAAAATGAAGTACCTCGCTGCCTACCTTCTCCTCGCCCTTGCCGGCAACGAGTCCCCCTCCGCTGCCGACATCAAGTCCGTCCTCTCCTCCGTCGGCATCGACGCTGAGGGTGACCGTCTTGACAAGGTCATCGCTGAGCTCGAGGGCAAGAACCTCCAGGAGGTTAGTCGAATTCACCACCAAGTGCACTGAATCCAGTACTAATCATTCTCTACAGCTGATCTCCGAGGGCTCCACCAAGCTCGCCTCCGTTCCCTCCGGTGGTGGTGCTGCTGCTGCCCCTGCTGCTGCCGCCGCCGGTGGTGCCGCCGCTCCCGCTGAGGAGAAGAAGGAGGAGAAGGTTGAGGAGGAGTCCGATGAGGACATGGGATTCGGACTCTTCGACTAAGCGTCTCATCCTCCACGGCCTCAAAAATCATGACCTGGGGGAACAGATGTCTGGCTGGTTCGTCAGTCCGGGCAAGTCCTTGCACCGGCTGGCTTCTCGGATGTGTATCGTTCAGACTGTTTTGATACGGTTAAAACTTTGTCATATGTGTGCTGGAAACAGCTCCTAGCCAATACAGATTATCTGGTCCTCAATACTTCCATTAAACGTACTCGGTGTTTTTGCGGCGATAGCAAGTAGGCGAATCGCGAATCTATCAGGGACTATAGTTCCGCATCTACGGCCGTAGATCTCATTGTTATCAAGTCCAGATACTGAGAGCCTCCATACGAACCATGCGTAATGGTAATACTAAAAATTACCATCAAGGTACAAGGATATGCGGACATCTACCAAGCAAAATCGAGTAAATAAGATTTCAAATCGTAATATTACCAGACCCAAACACATGTTTCGAAATAAATTACAATCCTCCCAATCGGGTCTAGTGCCTAGGGCTTGAACCTACCCGTCGCTTAACGAGCCCTGCCCACCTCCCAAACCCAGTGTGTTAGCAGCAGACCGCTCAGCGACACGACAATTTCCGACAACCCATTTTCCTTCGCTTTTCAGAAACGAAAAGCGACCCGAAGGAACTTCTGCAAAAATGGCTGACCACGAATACGTGAGTTTTTTTATTTCGTTTCTCAAAGCACCGTGTGATATGCTAATGGATTTCCATTTAGAACGCCGAGGAGGCTGCCGGTACGTTATGATTAAACCTATTCGCAACCCATCGCCCAAGGACAGAAGAAGCAAACGAAGAAGGAGAATGCACGCATGGTCAAGAATGAGATGAGGATGAGATGGATTTTACGTTGGCGGGGGACGGATATGACCTGGGCACCGAGGGGATACGCACACACGACGAGATGGCAGAGGCTGACTGAATCTTCGCCGTACAGAGATCAAGAAGAGAAGACAGTTCCGCAAGTTTTCTTACCGCGGCATTGACCTCGACCAGTACGTTCCCACCAAATTTCCGAACCCTTGGAAGTCCATTCGCAGTCAGCCCCTCTTGCAACACCTGCCATCACACCATGGCTGCGCTTTTGATATCGTTACATGTTTGATGCTGCGCTGCGAATGAGACCCAAGCCGTCTCCCAAAGAACACGGTTCTAACCAAATCTTGCAGGCTCCTTGACCTCTCTTCCGAGCAGCTCCGCGATGTCGTTCACGCCCGTGCCCGCAGACGTTTCAACCGCGGTCTGAAGCGCAAGCCCATGGGTCTCATCAAGAAGCTTCGCAAGGCCAAGCAGGAGGCCAAGCCCAACGAGAAGCCCGACCTCGTCAAGACCCACCTCCGTGACATGATCGTCGTCCCCGAGATGATCGGCTCCGTCGTCGGTATCTACTCCGGTAAGGAGTTCAACCAGGTTGAGATCAAGCCCGAGATGGTTGGCCACTACCTGGCTGAGTTCTCTATCTCTTAGTATGTGTTCCCTGAGTTATAACCTTCTGCCTGAGCACAACGCTAACAACCCCCCAGCAAGCCCGTCAAGCACGGTCGTCCCGGTATCGGTGCCACCCACTCTTCCCGTTTCATTCCCCTCAAGTAAACGATTTCAAACGATTCCCCTCGGAGTGGCGTGTGGAGGAAATGGTGCTGGGAAAGGAAAAATGGAATTCAGCACAACTCTCAACTGGGCTCTTTTTTCAGCATGTATTTCCAGTGCGGGTCAGCTGTTTCCAACTCAATTTAAGATCTTGTCGGCATGAAATCATTTTGGGATGTTGATTCGGTCCCTCGTCTAACCTGGCGAGGTAAAAAAGATGCTCTTCCCCGGTCTCGTTTATTGTTGCTGGGGATGGAGTTTAATCTAACGACACTACAAATTTCATTACCGCACGCGTAGTATGTAACTGGCAGGTCTCGCCGACACGGTAGTGAACCTCGTCGCCCAATATTTAGTCTTGGGTTTAACGCAGGGTCTGATACCTCTCGGCGCATGCACGTCTAGCTTGATGTATCTCCATTTCTAAGTGAAGTTCAGTACATAGAACTGTCAATAGGAATGCCCTGGTGGGATTCTACAGCCTGTCAAGTGTTTACCTGCACTCGGGCTGTCTCATGGTTGTTGAGAAGCCACTTCACAACATAGTATATCAACCTATAAGGTTACCACAATATATGACTGACTTTACTCCGTACACTCCGTATACTCCGTGATGCTACACTAACAGTTGGCTTTGACCCCGGATTACATAATCCGCCGAGACTGTCTAAGTTAATTAAAAACGGTCAAAAAAGGGCCGAAATCACCGAGATCCCAACACTTCAACTATATGGGACCTCAACTGTATGGGAAGCGCGTTGGATCCAATTAGGTTTTAAATAAGGATTCAATATGTGCCGAAATCACTCTCACCAGCCCAACTGGCTTTAGGTAGTACATTAAAAAAAAAAAAGCCCCCAAGCAACTCTTAACTCCGGTGCTAACTGAACCGGTCTTCGGGTATTGGTCAAGATTCTAAATCGAAGGAATGAACCGAGGCAGCCCGCCACTCGAGTACCGAGACTGCGGAGAAAGCTCAACTCTTAAGTACTCGCTCTTGCTTTCACATTCCTCTTTTACATACATACCCCGGTTTGCCGACTCTCTTGAGCCTCCTTCGCATCCCCCGGATCGGCCTCTTTCCCCGCAATATGCCAGTCTCTTCGAACTACCCCCCAGTCGACATCCCAGAGCTGGACCTCTGGACGTTCCTGTTCGAGCGCAAGGACAGGCCGTTTCCGGATGACAAGAGTACGTGAGATCCAATGGATAGCGTACACTCAGAACACTTGGCGCATATATATCTTTTTTTTTCTGACGCTAACACCACGCTCCAGTTCTCTACCAAGATGCCGACACCCAGCGACACTACACGTACAAGTCTCTCAGAGACGCCTCTCTAGATTTCGGAAAGGGCCTGAAAGCCCTCTACGACTGGCGCAAAGGCGATGTGCTAGCCCTCTTCACACCAAACACCATCGACACGCCCGTGTTGATGTGGGGAACCCTCTGGGCAGGCGGAGTCATCTCGCCTGCAAACCCAGCCTACACCGTCAACGAGCTAGCCTTCCAGCTAAAGAACTCCGGCGCAAAGGCTGTTGCAACGCACGCCTCTGTGCTCGCTGTCGCAGCCGAGGCAGCGAAGAAGGTCGGCATTCCTGCGGATAATATCTTCCTTGTGGGTGATGAACGGGATCCGAGTGCCCGTGTTAAGCATTTCACTTCTGTTCGCAATATCTCCGGTGCTACGCGTTATCGGAAGCAGAAGATTGCACCAGAAAAGGATGTTGCGTTCTTGGTTTATTCTTCTGGGACGACGGGTGTGCCTAAGGGTGTTATGTTGTCGCATCGGAATATCGTAGCCAATATTATGCAGCAGGTTATTGGTGAGGGGGGAAGTTGAGTTGGAATGGTGGGCATGATGGGAAGGGGGATCGTGTTTTGGCTTTTTTGCCTTTTTATCACATTTATGGTAAGACTGGGATTATATTGGAGTATACAGAATGAGGTACTAACTATATCTTCTTAGGATTGACCTGCTTGATCACTCAGGCTCTTTACAAGGGCTACCATTTGATCGTGATGCAAAAGTTCGACATCGAAAAGTGGTGCGCACATGTACAGAACTACCGCTGCACATTCAGCTACATTGTCCCACCCGTGGTACTGCTACTAGGCAAGCACCCAGCAGTAGACAAGTACGACTTGTCAAGTCTGCGAATGATGAATTCCGGCGCTGCACCACTCACTCAAGAATTGGTCGAGGCCGTGTACTCGCGCATCAAAGTCGGCATCAAGCAAGGCTATGGACTCTCCGAGACCAGCCCGACCACCCACTCACAGCAATGGGAGGACTGGCGCGAAGCCATTGGCTCTGTTGGGCGCCTGATGCCGAACATGAAAGCCAAGTACATGACCATGCCCGAGGACGGATCTGCGCCTACTGAGGTTGCCGTCGGCGAGGTTGGTGAGCTGTATCTTAGTGGACCGAATGTCTTCTTGGGTTATCATCAGAACCCTGAGGCTACTAGGAACTGTCTTTCTGAGGATGGTTGGTTCCAGACTGGTGATGTTGGCTACCAGGATTCTAAGGGTCACTTTTACATCACCGATCGTGTTAAGGAGCTTATCAAGTACAAGGGCTTCCAGGTGCCTCCTGCTGAGTTGGAAGGTCTTTTGGTTGACAATGATGCCGTTGATGATGTTGCTGTTATTGGTATCGAGAGTGATGCCCATGGTTCGGAGGTGCCTATGGCTTGTGTTGTGCGTAGCGCAAAGAGCAAGTCCTCTGGTACGACTGAGCAGGAGGAAGCAGCAAACATTGCTAAGTGGTTGGATAGCAAGGTCGCGCATCATAAGAAGCTGCGCGGTGGTGTGCAATTCGTGGATGAAATCCCCAAGAATCCCAGTGGAAAGATTCTCCGCCGTCTGCTGAAGCTGAAGTTCAAGGATTTGGCCAAGGCACCAAAGGCGAAGCTGTGAATGTGGATACCCAAAGATTATCTTGCAGAGCAATACACTAGACAAATTTACAATCATGATCATGTTCATTTTCACTTTAAACCATATAAAACCCGAAAAATACCCGAAGTCTACATCCATCTCCAGCTCTAAGTATATAAATCAACCAAAGAACCGCTTAACCATCCCCTCAACATCCTCGCCAACAACAGCATCAACCTTCTCCCTCGCAACCCTCTCAACAGCTTCACTAACCTCCTCCTCCCCATTAACAAGATCAAGCCACCCCTCAGTATCAGCCCGCGCAAGCAACTCATCCGCAACAATAGCAACATCCTCCCGGGTAACAGTCCCCCTTCCCTTAGCCGTAATCCCCAACTCAACCTTCCTTGTAGCAGGCTCCTCAGTCAAAAGTCCAGGACGAAGGTTAATAGCCTGGAAGTGGCCCGCAGAGGGATCACGCTTGCGTTGCGCAGCGAGCGCGGTCATGTACTCGTCGGCCTCTTGCTTGGCTTTTGCGTAGGTGGGCAGGATTTCGCTGTTCATGTGCACGATCCCCGCCCATTGGTCGTCTGGCATCCAGGTTGGTTGCGTTTTGCGGCTGCCCAGGTAGGAGACCATTAGGAATTTTGTTATGCCTTTTGTGGCGAAGGAGGCTGTTAGGAAGTGTTTGGCTGCTTCTTGGTCGATTGCTATTGTGCTGTTTGGGCCGCCTTTGCCGCCCGCTCCTGGGATTGGGGTTAGCTTTTTTAGGGGATTTAATGGGGGTTTATATCTATTTCTGTAGGTTGGGTTTTATATGGGGCTGTGGTGCGTGTTGTGGAAGCTCAAAAGTCGAGATGGGTGTGGTGAGGGGGAGGGAATAAATCCTTACCAGCCGACCAGACCACATAGTCTGGGCTCACGGTGTCAATGATCTTCTGTGCATCGCCTGCGCTCTTCACGTCTTCCAAACTGGAGATGAGTACGTTCAATTTGCCTTTGAGCCCCTTGCCCAAGGCTAGGATCTCACTTTCGTGGTCGGGGTTGCGCACCACGCTGGTTACGTTCCAAGCGCGCTTGAGGAGGAGTGGGGTCAGGTGGAGGGCAACTTTGCCATGGCCGCCAAGGAGAAGGACTTGCATTTTGAGTTGAATTGGAGATGAAGGGAGGAGAGAAGGTTAAGTAGGTATATAAGTCTTTGACGATCGGTTTGATTGTTAATCGGGTGCGGGGAGATGATCTCAATGGATGTCGTCATCAGATCTGGAAACCCAATCTGATTTAGGGTTCAACTAGGCTAATGTCATCACTCTACTTGAATTTATGGGATATTCTATATTTCTTATGCAAACCAAAATATATTTATTAAGACTATTAAAGTCTATAGAATGTGCAACGGCACTTGAAAGTCCCCGAGTCTAGTCTACTGCACAATTGACTAGCTGCAGACGGATCCAGAGCCCAAACCAGCAAGACTGATTTAGCAAGAAGCACCGGAAGGAACGTTCTTGCACTTGCTGCTAGTCTTACCACCGGAGAGGGTGTTGCCAGACCAGGTCCAGTCAGAGCAACTACCATCACCGCACAGAATGTAGACATCGGTAGCTGAGCTCTTGACAGTGCCGGTGATCTTCTCGACAGTCAGGCCAGTGATGGGGACACCAGTGGTGGGCGTGCCAGTGGGGCTGCCGTTCTCGTAGTCCTGCTCAATGACAATACCGTACTTGGCAATGTTGGACAGCTCGATGTTGGAGAAGGTCACGTCGGAGACCTCACCGGTGGCCTTGTAGATGGTCTTGATGCGGACACCGTTGTCAGAGTTGGTTACAGTCGAGTCAGAGATGGTCACGTTCTTGACGGTGTTGTCATCGCGGCCGCCAACGGAGCCGATGGAAATACCGTGGCCACCGGAGCAGGTACCGCCAGTGAAGATGATGTTCTCGCCGGAGTTGACAGCCAGGCAGTCATCCTGGTTCTTGATGTTGGCATTGCTAATCGTAATGTAAGTGGACTCGCCGACGTCGAAGGCATCGGTGTTGTGGCCGCCATTGTCGTCACCGTCGGAGTTATCAATGGTGATTTGGTCGAGGACGAGGTTGTCGGCCTGCACACTGAAGGCCTGGACGGCGGTGTTCTTGACGTTCAGGCCAGTGATGGTCGAATCATCGAGACCGTGGGCGTAGAAGAACTTGGGCTTCGTCTTGCCGCCGTTGGTTCCCTTGCTGTCCCACCACTTGGCTCCGTTACCGTTGATAACGTGGCCTTCCTCGCCAGAGACCTCGATGTTGGAGCCGGACATGCGGATGAGAGGGCCCTTCCACTCCTTGTATCCGAAGGTGGTCTCACCCTTGAAGATGACCTTTGTGCCCTCCTTCAGCTTGGAGAGATCCAGGGTCTCGCCGGCAGGAACCTCGATGTTGTCCAGAACAATAGTGGAGCAGGACTTCTTGCCAGCCTTTGCGCTGGCAGCAGAAGTAAAGGTACAGCTCGAGGAGGACCGCTCAACCAGCCCGGAAGCGGGAGAAGGAGCAGGGGCAGCGGACACAGCGGCAGCGCCGAGTGTCAGCATGGAAAGGAATGAAGTACGCATTTTGAATCAATGTCCGATCAACAGACAAGGTAAAGAGAGTGAAAGTGTTCGGGGCTAGCCCAGTTGAAAGCAATAAACAGGAAATAAGAAGAAAGAATGACTTGGATGGAAGAATACATTCGACTGGATTGGACTTGATATTTAAAGTCTCAATGCAGCCTCACTCCTGAACCCCTGCACTAATGATGAAACGCCTCCATTTGCGCCTACCGCAGCGGCGTGTTGGTTCATCTCCATAGTGTATCCATTGTGTATCCATAGGGCTACGCCTATACAGCCAGTGTGGCAACCAGGTGCCTAGCTTGTCCATTGTATTAATCTAAATGTGTTACGGCTGTCTATAACGGGTAATACTCCGAAACACCAACACTCACACCCACACTCACAGGCTCTAGCCTGCAAAACGAACCAAGTTGAACGGACTCAATCTCGGAAGATATTCGGTTAAAATATGATGCCGGGACCAGCTACGGTTTCATATTGGCACGAACTACTCGCTGTCCAATAGGGATTTGCGGTGATTGACAGTTGCAGGGCTGTTATCCACACGGTTCGAAGCCATGTGGAGCTGCCTCGAGCTTGTGTTTCATACTTATGCCCTCTTAGACCATTGGTTTCTACATGTCCCATGAATCTCTATCACTTAGGGCTCGGTCTAAGAAATTGCCGATCCCGAAGTATTTAGTGGCGCTGAAACCTCTCCACTCTTTTCATTCGTGAAGACCGTCATATGGCGTTTTTCATTAATTGATTCTCCACGATGCTTACTATAGAGTACACAATTCCAATTATAAATCAAGTTTCTCGGATATGTCGGAATATTCCAAGGCCAAGGATCTTGTCTCTTGATCTTTGTCATTCTTCAGGAGATATAGGGGTAGCCCAGGGCGAAGTCCTGCTCCAGATGGGCCCACTATATATATTGGCTCTATTCACAGATAGGAGCAAAGTACAGTACTGTATATTGTAGACATATATATTAAGGAGTCGATCAAAATAAAGAGCCAAATTCGCGCCACGAGACACAGGGTCATGGTCCGCCTACGTACATGTGGTCGTCCGGGCGTCTTGGAAGGCTTGCTATTCTTGGTACAAAATAGCTTATTTTGAGGTGAAAGTACCAATTTGCCTGCTTTGCCTCAGGCCCTCATCATACAATCTAGCAAACACAGTTTCCATAACCTTCAAGATTATTACTCTATAGTACAGAATAGAACAAATTACATGTAGTAACGCATCACAGCTCACATTCCACTATGCGCGGCCCAGAATTGCCGAGGTCCGCTTCTCCGCCCAGAACCCCTTCTCATCCCCGGCTTCAGCTCCACTGACCTGACAATACACCCAAGATGTCCGCAGACCCTCCCCCTGGGGATGCGCTGGACCTCCCTCCGCCAGCACTCCGCGATATCCTCCGCGTGTGTCTCACCGCCAAAGAATATCGCTTCCTCCACGCAACAGCGACCAAGCGTATCCCAGCTCTCCAAAACAAGCTCACTGAGCCATCAAGATACGATGGGATCGCTCGTCCCAGAAATCGACACAGCGAAGCCGCTATTCGCGCATCGCTGCGTGTCTTTGTTGGATCTGGAATCGCGTTGAAGCTGGGTGGGCTGCTTATCGGTCGTTTCACAGCCGCTCCACAGTATGATCCAACTATACCCCAAGCCGGTTTCTAGATACGTTATACTAATTAAATTCATCTACAGGAAGAAGGACCGAACTCCGCTCCTTCGTTCGCCGAAGTTCCGTCTTTCGATCTCCCTATCCCTCCTCCTACTCCTCCATCGCCTCCTATACCGCTTCTTCGTTCGACTACGCGCCAACCTTCGCACAGACGATGCGCAGCCTTTCAGAGAGCGAAACCCGCGCATTTCGCGTGCCCTGACCTCGCGCTATGCGCCGGCTATTGGCGCCAGTGTTGCAGGTTTCGCCTTGGGGATCTGCCCGCAGGACCAGCTGCGCCTGTCGGCCGCGATTTACTCTAGTACTCGCTGCTTGGAGTTCTTGTTTAATGCTTTGGATTCCAAGGGCTGGTTGGACAAGCGCCCGTGGTGGTTTGGTAGTTGGTTGTTGATGCCTGTCTCTTTTGCGCAGCTCTTCCATGCCTTTATCTTTGATCGGGAGACTACACCCAAGGTTCGTGGCCGGAGAAATGCTGAACCCTGTTGAGATTGCTAATTTGGTTTCTAGTGGTTTGGAAATGTTATTCTCAGGCTCTCGCCGAGCTACATTCAGGCCCGACCTGACGCGCTCCCGAGTGACGTCGCGTGGCCTGAGAAGGAGGAGATTGTGAACTCCCTTGCATCTATTGCGGATCTCCGCTGGCCGTAAGTCTGTGTTGGTTCTGGGAGGGTATTGAAGTTGCTAATATGGTATAGGGCATTCGTTTCTCCAATCCTACACCCGGGTGACCCCAATACCCTGCCTTCGCCAGTGTCATCTATTTCCCCAATTACTGGTCCAGCACACCCTGCGATCTCGAATCTATCATGCGCTCTTTTACACCCGAACCTCCCGAACTGTGGCACGGCGTTCCTGCATCACATCCTACTTTCTGTGCCGCTGCTCGCCCGGTTCCTAACAACCATCACTCTGGCTCTTTCAATCCCCAAGCTCAAGGCCATCCTGTCCCAGCCTATGACTTCACTCAACAGCATATCGAAGCGCATCATTAAAATGACAGCTATCCTTTCTGTTGCCATTGGATCAGCCTGGGGCAGTGTCTGTCTCCTGAACAGCAATCTTCCCCGCTCTACTCTCCCTACCAAGCGCTTCTTCCTCAGCGGAGCGCTGGGCGGTCTGCCATTCTTGTTCCTGGGCAACAGCCGCAGCACCTTCCTCTATTTCTTCCGGGCCGCTATTGATTCGGCGTACAAGACCGGCGTCAAGCGCGGACTGTGGAAGGGCCGTAGAGGCGGTGAGCTGCTGCTCTTTGTCTTGTCTTGGGCAATGATGGGCTCCATCCTCGAGGCCAACCCGGAGGCCGTGCAGGGCGGCGGTGTGCGCAAGGGTCTTTCCTGGATGAGAGGTGATGGGTACACCGATCCTGTTGATGTGGCAGCGAAACGTAAGGCACGCCGGGACTCTAAGAAACCCGAGTAATATTTGTTTGCGCATATAATAGCTATTTCATGAATGGGTTCGGGGCTGGAACTCACTTTCCGACCCCACATTTGCGGAGGAACATTCGGAGACTGACCTCCGCATTGAGTCTCCACCTTTCTCTTATAAGAGCGTGTTTATTTCTGTTCATATTGGCAATTGGTTCTTTTTTTTCTTCCATTCAATTCAATTCTACATAATGTCTGCTCAAAGATTGAAAATTGGCTGTGCCGGCCTCGGCCGTATGGGCAAGCGCCATGCCCTCAACTTCCTCGAACGTACTCCTCGAGCTGAACTGGTCGCTGCTAGCTCCCCTGACCCCGTCGAGCTCGAATGGGCTAAGACTCATCTCGAGCCCTTCGGCGTCCGACTGTACCAGAACTACGATGACATGCTCAAACACGAGGGCCTGGTTGCCGTGATTGTCGCCTCGGCCACTGCAGTGCACGCCGAACAGGCACTCAAGGCGATTGCAGCTGACAAGCACGTCCTTTGCGAGAAGCCCATCTCTACCAGTGTGGAAGTTGTAAGTCAATTGTATCTCCATCTCCCTATGTGCCCCCGACCCACCCGATCTATACATCGCAACCCCGACCACTCCAACACCCAAACCAACATAACTAACAAAACCTCGAAATAGTCCCAGTCAGTTATCGACGCCGCCGCCAAAAAGCCACACCTAAAGGTAATGTGCGGCTTCTCCCGGCGCTTCGACAAATCCTACCGAGACGCCTATGAAAAGATGCAAGCCGGCATAATCGGCACCCCTCCGTCCTCCGCAGTCAAACCTGCGACAAACTCGACCCAAGTGGCTTCTTCGTAGCCTACGCCGAATTCTCGGGCGGGATCTTCGTCGACTGCTCAATCCACGACATAGACCTAGCCCTCTGGTTCTTTGGCAAAGAAAGCAAAATCAAATCCGTCTCCGCAGTCGGCATCACAGCCGTCGAGCCCGATCTGCGCAAACACAACGACCGTGACAATGCAGTCGGCCTGGTTGAGTTCCATGATGGGCGGATTGCGTTCTTCTATGCATCGCGCATGATGGCTGCGGGCCAGGAGGATGTTACGGAGATTATAGGCACCAAGGGGAAGTTGGCGGTCAATACTCAGCCTGCGCTTAATCATGTTAATGTTTATGACGGGAGTGGGATTCGGAGGGAAATCCCTCAGACTTATTATGATCGCTTTGAGTATGCTTTTGTTACTGAGGCTCAGGAGTTTTCGGCGGCTTGTTTGGATGATTTGCCGGTGCCGGTTGATTTGGCTTGTTCTGTTCTTGCTGTCCGTATTGGGGCTGCATTGCAGGAGTCACTTATTACTCAGAAGAAGATTTTCTTTGACGAGAATGGGGAGAGGTGTGAGCTTGCTAGTTTGTGATTATTGGGTACAGCACTCGAAATCGGCTTGACAGTTACGCTCTTCGTCACCTCCATTCCCGTCGGAGCCCCTTGCCCTGACATCTATCCTCTGCGGCTCTACTATCTCAAGAATTGCTAGAATGATACGCACAACATGGCACCGATACTACCTCCCTAAATAGTACCTTTTATTAGTAAAATGATAGAAAGCGGGTCATACATCACCTCTCAAATGGCTGGCGAAATGGAGTTAAGGGCAACTAGGCCACGCCATCCTGGGCAGTGTAAGCGGGTCCTGTGCAGGGGGTGACTACATATTATTCTAAGTGCATGTGTAATCTCCGTAAATAGTGGCTATGGGCTGGCTGTTCAATCAACCTCATTATAATCCAACTTTGAGCATCCGTTTTCTACCACAGAGCCATCATGCTTATTATTACTTTCCCCACAATGCCTAATTCCAGTACACTAAAAGTAGAGCCCTTGACCATTGAGGATACCTCCGACATTACGAACCTCTGGTTCGCAGCGTTTACGGATCCCTAGATACGAAGAGTCTTTCCCGATACCCCGAGTGTTCGCAAATGGCTGGAAGACGCCGATATCAGCGACATCAGCAACAAACCCTTCCAACGATATTTGAAAGTTGTGGATACCGAATCAAAGATGACCAGGGTCGACTGCGAATAGCCGCCTATGCGAAATGGGATACATCGATGCCTGACGAGCGCAGGCAGCGCTACCCGCCTTGGCATGAAGACATGCCGAGACAGCTTTGCGAGGAATTCATTGACAGAGGGCGGGGTTGAGAGTGACTTTGGCAGCCCGCTCAATGACGGATCTGCGCTAAGGCCTTGGCGGTGGGACTAGGAAACTGACGAAGAGTGTGTCTATTAAGCCGATTTCGATATCAAACTGTATAGCCTTTTTACAGATAAACTGTATCAATTGGAGGTCGCATCATTCCAGCAATTCACAACTCATGGAATACGACTGCCTACATTGGCTATGCCGATTCAAGCTCATTGTTTATTGTATTTGGGGCCGTGGGATCCTGTACTTACCTTTGACGTCATAAGATAAGATGTGATTCACATAACTTGTCTCTGATCAAAACGTCATTTTTTGAATCCTTGCTACCCATAGCTATATAGCTATATATTTCTTCTCCGTTTTTACTATCTCCTAAATGTTTCTACAGTCTTAGGCTCCATTTTTTGCCAAGCCTTCCAGAAAATGGCCAAGTCACTGTTGACTCTGTTCATCACAAACCCATTGCTTTATCTTTTCTCGACATTCTATGTCATCTTTCAAAATCTGATTGCGTGGGTCTTCGGTCCCTCAAGGTTCCCGAAGACTTTTGACAAAGGCCTGCCAAAGAAGAGGATCGCTATCATCGGTGCTGGCTTGACGGGTGTCTCATCAGCGGCGCATTGCGTTAGCCATGGCTTCGAGGTACAAATATTCGAGGCACGCGGGAAAGAGAATGGACTAGGAGGTATTTGGAGTGTAAGTTAAGAAGACCGCCATATTTGTCAATCTGTCGCTTATGGTCAAACAGCGCGTCAACTCCACATCCGCGTTGCAGATCCACAGCATCATGTATCGGTTCCACCCAACCGTGCGATACAAACATGCATATCCCACGCAGCAAGAAATCCGCGACCAGATCGTCGAGCTGTGGAAACGGTACAGCTTAGAGGAGCATACTGAATTTGGAACACCAGTCACGTCCATTAAGAAGGCAAAGTCGTCTGGCAAGTGGGTTATCAATGACCACCCTGAGAAATACGGGAGCTTTGACGGCGTTATCACAGCCGTTGGCGTTTGTGGAGATCCCAAGATACCCTCCTTGCCTGATCAAAATCAATTCAAAGGTACTATTTGCCACTCATCCGATCTCGACGGTAAAGACATCAAAGGGAAGAGAGCTCTCATCATTGGAGGTGGTGCTAGCGCTATTGAAGCATTGGAATTCGCAGTCCACTCTGGGGCCTCCGAGATTGATGTTCTTTCGCGATCAGATAAATGGGTTATTCCACGGAATATCCTAGTACAGTCCTTGCTGGCCTGCAATATCTGGGGAGAAGAGACATCTCTTGCATGGGTGCCTGAGTGGCTTCTTCACAAATTCTTCTATCGTGACCTACAGGACATTGCACCTGAGAGCGGCCTCTTCACCACTACACCTATGGCAAATTCTGATCTCTTCAACCTCATTCGCGAGGGTAAAGCACGTTGGCTACGCGGGGATATCTTGTCAGTCAAAGAAGACGGTATTCTTTTCAACCACCGGTCAAAAGAGGTACCCAAGGGAGGATCTGGTCGCGAAAAGGTCGTTCCGGGCGATATCATTATTATGGCTACTGGCTTCAAACGACCTTCACTGTCGTTCCTTCCCAACGATGCCTTTGAGGAGGATTACTCCCCTCCTGACTGGTATCTCCAAGTCTTCCCGCCTAAACACCTCAGCATCTGCGCCAACAACAGTACCTACGTCAACGCTATCGGAACAGTTGGAAATATCCATATCGGAGTTTATACGCGGTTCTTACTCATGTTCTTGACTGATCCGCTCACACAGCCTACAGAGGGCCGGATGAAGACCTGGATCAACTTCACGCGCTGGATGAAGCAGGGAGCACCGCCAGGAGCTTTCGATTTCTTTACATACACGGAGTTGCTATACTGGTTTGTGTTCCTTGTTTTGGTCAATCCGTTCCGCTGGAAGTGGGCGCTTTTCATCCTATTCGGCGTGGGGCGAACGCTTCCATTGGAGGTTGTTAGAGAAGAAGGGGCTTTTCGCAAGAAGCTGGAGAAGCAACATCATTGAGAAATGACTGCGATATGTAATACACTCCCTGCGAATATCTCTCACTAGTCTTAAGTGTATATACGTGTACTTTTCCTCAACCTGGTTGCAAGAAATTCGGGCCTTTTACCAGCCTGTAAGATAACCGCCTGGCGTGTCAGAGATAAAGGGTGTCACTCCAAACAGGATGTATTATTTTTGGATTTGCCTCTTAAGGCTGACCTACTGTTATATAGGATGGCCTTGTTTCCTCCTGGTCTATAGTTCTCACCTGTAAGCAAACTCGAACATCGTGCCAATAGAGCGGAAAATGCCTATTAGCTCTGCTACATAAATCGACTACCAGTCTAAGAATGCCACTATTCACAACTTTCTCAAATGTATATTAGCGGAGGTTCCGAGTAACGATATGTATGTCCTAGGTACATACAATCCCTCATTTGCTATCTTCTTTTCCTTCCTCGGCAATCTTCTCCACCTGTTCCTTCCGCTTCTTCAACACATCCTGAATTTCTTCAACAGTCTGTTTGAGGACCTCTTCTGCCTCGCTGCCTCTCTTTTGCGCAATGGACTGTAATGACTGTAACTGAGGGATGACGCTGGATCCACCAGGTACCATCTTTTGCCAGTCCAGGTCGCCCAAGCTGCTTTTCTTCGCTTGACCAACCTTGTCCTTGATGTACTTCTCCACATCCTCCGTCTTCCCCGAAGAAGCGCTCTCCTTGACAAGGTCCCATAGATCTTGTAAATTGCCCTTCTTTAGAGTATCGGCATTGTCTTCAACTATTTGCTTGAGCTTGGGGCTCTTATCAAGGTATTGCCGAGACTCCTCGAAACCCTTCTGCCATGCCTCATCCCCTAGCTTTTCGAGCTTGGTCTTCTTCTCTTGGATCAATTTCTTGATATCTTCAGCCGAATCGACACTCGCGCCGCGCTGAAGAATGCCGGAGATTTGTTGCCAGGTCTTGTTCACCTCCTCCTTCGCTTGGGGCCCATAAGCGTCACCCATCTCCTTGAGCTGATCAAAACTACCACCAACCTTCTCCTTAAGCTGAGGATGGTCGTTGAGGACATTCTCCGCGGCGTCGCCAGCAAGATCGAATAACTGCTTTGCATGTTTCTGTAGTACACTCAAAGCCCGCGACGCCGAGTCCATGTTTAACCCCCCTCCTTCTTCGCGAGATCACTCAGCTCCGTATATGCATTCTTGACCACTTCGTCAAATTCCTTTCCGTGATCGTTTTTTATCTTCTCGAGGTCGTCAAATACGGTGTCGACATAGCCGCGCGCGCCAGGGATCAAGACTGCGTAGCTTTTGGTCGTGCCCCTCAACCAGCGGAATGCCTCATTGGGCTCGGGTGCCTTCTGAGAGATAGTTTGCTTTGCCTGGTCGAGGTATGCTTGAGTCTGCTTGCTGGTGTTCACGAGCGTCTTGGCTCCGGAGTAATGGTACCAGGTGTATCCCATAACGAAGGCGACGGCTCCACCGGCAACACCACCGATCAAAGCGGGATTACTACCAGTAGAAGCTGCAGTGGACGCGGTGGACTGGAAGCGAGAGTTGATGAAACGAGCTTTGGATTGGAGTTGCTGTCTGGCGGACCGTGCCGCAGGCCCTGAAGTTCGTCCGAGCATGTTGAGAATATTCGAAATACGAAGTGAAAATGGGAAAGGTCTATTGTGGTGTGCAATAATCGTCGACAGGTCAAGTTAAAATGTAGGAATCACTTTGGGGCTCTGGCCCTTGAGCGGCGGGAGCATGACTTCAAATAGGAAGAAGCCTCGAGCTGTAAAACCAGTCCAGATTATGACAGAAACAGTTCGTGAACTGGGACTGTGGGGTTCATTTGTCTCGGTGACGTGGTTTCCAAGTTATATGCTTCCTTGGTGACGCCGCCTAGATCGGAGCGTTGACCGTGGCCATGAAATCAATTCATAATACTTGGACAGCTTTTAAGATATTGGACGTCATATAATGCATTCTTGATTTTCTGCCATTCGTGTAAAGAGCAACCTGTGAAGTCCAATAATTCTAGTTCCTTGTGTCAAGCTTGAGATGGCCATCAAATGACGTCATCAAAATTAGAAGCTAAGTTATGTCGGTGATTTATTGATGTGACTCTCAGCTTGGTGGCTGATTAGTCTAAACAATAGGATCGATTGCGATATAATGTTAAGAGGGTTAGTGAGATAATCACAATATAGACTTATGGGTGTCGATGTGTTATAACCAAAAAGAGAACCGAAAGGAGTTGGGTTGATGAGAGCGTGAAATACACCGTGCATACTTTGGATGAGAGACTAAATTTACAAAGTCTGATCCTTTACAATGAAAATGTTGCCTGAAAAGAATGACAAAATATAATTTCTAAAAACCAACGCTTATTTCGTGTCATGATAGTGTATACCAAAAGGTAAAAAGGGGAATCTCAGAAAACAAAGGGGTGGAACAAATATGCATGAAGCCCTGGCCTCGGAATCTACCACTTGAGAACCTTAGTGGGGAAGTACTCGTCAATGAGCTCCATATAGTAAGGCTTCAGCTCCTCAACACTGGGAATACCATCACTCTTGCTGTACAAGTCATAAGGGTTGAAAGCCTTAACAGCACGGAGCATATCACGGTCATGGTCATTCATCAGCTCGTGGTATGCGCCGGCGTTGTGCCAGGGGTAGAAAGAGTGATAACGGATCATAGCAAGCGCCTCGTCGGGGAGGGTAGACTGCTCCTTGGCGATGTGATAGAGGTACTCATCGTGACCCCAAGAGATCATGACCTTGTCCAGACCACAGCCGGGAGTGTAGATACCGAACTTGGTGTCGTAGATGGGGTGCTTGAAGTCCTCGTTTCCGCGGAATGACTCGCGGCCGTAGATGATCTTCTCGTCGAAGCCGCAGCCAACGGGGAAGGTGTCGCCGACGACATCCCACTGGCCATCGGCGTCGAAGAAGAAGAGGAGCTTGCCCAGATCGTGGATCAGACCGGTCAGCTGCATCCAGCGTGGCTTGCCGTCGCGGCGGATGGCCTCGGCAGATTGGAGGAGGTGCTCGATCTGGGAGAGGCTGGTGTCGGGGTCTGACTCGTCGATCAGGGTGTTGAGCTTCTCCATGGCTTCCCAGACGGTCATCTCTGCGCGGACTTTGCTGTGGAAGGCGTGGCGGGCTCGCAGGTTGTAGGCCACTGTCTGCTTGGTGTGCTGCTCCAGGTAGAAGTTCTTGACGCGATCGCAGGCGTCCTCGTACTGGCGGAAGTTGGTCTTGTCCTTCTCCTTGTCGAACTCGGACTCTTCGTACAGGCCCTTCTCTTCGGCAATCTTCTTCTCGGCTTCGCGCTTCTTCATGTCCTTGAGGACGTTGACCTCGTCGATGGCATCGGAGAGGTCCTCAAGGGCCTGGCCATCCCGCTTGTTGAAGATGGGGGTGGCCTGAGGTGAAACGGCGACTGGTGCCATTGTGAAGGGTGTGTGAAGAAGCTGATATGCTTCTTTTGAACGATGTTGATGTGCAGTCTTTGTCAAATGAGATTGCAATGATTGTCAATCCAAATGGCTTGAAGAGTTGGGAAGTAGATAATTTACCCCCGGATGATAGGCGTATATATAGGAATCAAAGGGTATATACGGGGAAAGATGCCTCGTTTGGATATCGCGTCTAGATTTCCGATCTTCGACGTTGTGCGCCGAAAACCTTCCCCAGAAAAACCCATGATGTGCCCTAAACGAGTGTGCAGTGAAACATCACGGATTCTGGCTTCCGCGCCGATGAAGATCTGACTTGGGCTGTTCATCGCGTGTTCTTATTGGCCGCCACCAGCAAGTTGAGCCAAAAAAGTGGGCGCTGATGTCAAGCGGAGACAAGTCGAGGAATTTGAGGCCATCGAGGAAGCCAGTTTCCGTGCTGAGTCATCTCGTCTGGGAGTATACTTCCTCAGGTTAAGTTAACTTGTTGGAAATTGGAGAGCCGAGTGGGTTACCGACAAAGAAAACATCTTTACGTCTGTATGAGAACCCGAATTCCAGAGACTTCCAGAGAATTCACACTGAAACTCGGTGATTGATGGAAAAACCCCTGACGCGGGGCAGTTCACCCCGCGTGGGGGAACTCGGGGTGTCTTTGTAACGAGACCTTCATTTACTTTCTATCGGAACTTGTAATTCTTCTTCTGTAAATATTCTTCTTTCTACAAATCTTTCACAATGGCTGCCTGCGATACTCGTTTCAAGCTCAACACCGGCGCGGAGATCCCCGCCCTCGGCCTGGGAACATGGCAGTCCCAGCCCGGCGAAGTTGCACGCGCTGTCGCCCATGCTATTAAGGTCGGATACCGTCACATTGACGCTGCCCTTTGCTACGGCAATGAGAATGAGGTCGGCCAGGGCATTAAGGAAGCCATCGACTCCGGTATCGTCAAGCGCGAGGACCTGTTCGTCACTACCAAGCTGTGGTGCTCGTTCCACGCCCGCGTCGAGGAGGGTCTGCAGCAGAGTCTGACTGATCTCGGACTCGATTACGTCGACCTCTACCTGATGCACTGGCCCCTGGCCATGAACCCCAAGGGTGAGTTAAGACGAGATATCTGAACGTACAGTATTGATCAAACGAACTAAACAAATCCCTGCACAGGCAACCACAACATCTTCCCCAAGCTTCCCGATGGATCGCGGGACATTGACCACTCCCACTCGCACGTCACCACCTGGAAGAGCATGGAGAAGCTCGTCGGTACCGGCAAGGTCAAGGCCATTGGTGTCTCCAACTACAGTGTCCAGTACCTGGAGGAGCTCCTGCCCCAGGCCACCATTATCCCCGCTGCCAACCAGATCGAGAACCACCCCTCGCTGCCTCAGCAGGAGATCGTGGACTTCTGCAAGCAGAAGGGTATCCACATCACTGCTTACAGCCCTCTCGGCAGCACTGGCAGCCCTCTGTTCACTGCCGAGCCCATCGTCTCCGTTGCCAACAAGCGTGGTGTTACCCCTGCTACTGTTCTCCTCAGCTGGCACAGTAAGTGATCAATCTATACCATAAGGAATCCTCAAGGATCAAAACTAACAATGTTACAGTCGCCCGCGGCTCCTCCGTCCTGGCCAAGTCCGTCACCCCAGCCCGCATCGAGGCCAACCGCGCCGACCTGATCAAGCTGGACGCCGAGGATCTGGCTACTATCCAGAAGTACAGCGACCAGCTCAAGGCCGAGAACAAGTTCCAGCGCTTTGTCTTCCCTCCTTTCGGTGTTAACTTTGGGTTCCCCGATAAGCAGTAATTGGGTCTTTGTATAGACTGGTCGATAGAGCCTTCGTACATAGAGAGCGTAGATCGGTGTATTTGTTTTCGTTGCTATAGATACCAGGAAAATTTATGATTTCATGAATATCACGCTTGCTTTTTGTATTAAATTGTAGATTTAGATGTATGTAGCATGTTGCTCTCTGGTTGACTTGAAGCTATGTCCGATAGGTTGGAACAGATGCTGTGTCTGGAGCAAGGCAAAGCCTATGAGGGGAGAAACTTCGAGACAGGAATTCAATCCCGAAAAGACGTCAAAGCTAAGGAAGGAAAGAAATACGAAAGGAGAGTATCAATCGTTCATGCGTAATAGAGTCTTGAGCTCGAGGCTAGTGAGTCAAGCAACCAATAATCGAGTAATCGAGCCCGAGTATTCGACTATAAACTTAATAAGATGTTATCAACATGCATGGTCAAGAAGGCCAGCCACGTGTACCCCTGTGTAGTCCAATAAGAACAACGGTAATAGGAAGAACATCCGGGGTAACTACCCCCGGGGACCAGATCGACATTGGCAGAAATACTCCCCGGGGCCGTGTTTACCTAGAGCGGTGTGAACTCTGAGTGCGGGTGCTCCTAGGGTTTCGGGGCTATTCGGGGTTCGTTATTGTTGAGGTTCGGCGCCCTAATAATTCGCTGGTGCGGGTACCTACAATCGACTTGGACGTCGTCCAAAAAATGTTATAACATTTTCTCTTTTAAGTATGGGTTCTTGCAATTCGCGCACATAGTCGCTTGGTAACGGTTCGTCAACTATTTTCTACAGTATTACGCTGATCAATCTATATGTCTTCTTGTTACTAAACCTTGCTTTTATGTGAGTCGGTTTGTTGTCATGTCGTTCAATTTTCTTTCATGTTACAAATGCCTTTCATACCAACTCCCGGTGTTTGGTTTAACTTTGGAGGTATGATCTCCTTTCTTGGTTTTACAGACAAGCTTTTCCAATACGTCAGTATACAACTTGGTATTATGTAGACGCAATCAATAGCAGTTTACAGCCTTCGTTTGTCGGTTGGTTTGGTAAGTATAACCTCTTATTTCAATGAGGCTTCTTCCCGTCAACTATACTGTCATAATTGCTTCAACTTCCCTACATTTAGGCTTTACATTGGAGTCAGTTTTTTTTGTAAATTTTTTGTTGATTTTTTTTGGGGGTTCTAATCATACATCAAGTCAGTCCCCAGTCACCTCACCACTCAGATGGGAGTCAAGCGGGGGGTGACCGGGGACTGACAGCACACACAGACAAAAAGGTACTGAATTAAAAAAAGAGGCCCCATCGGCCTCCACTCCCACCACCACAGCACCTCCCTACCACCACCTACCAGCTAATTTAGCCAGTAAGCGCCCTTGGACGCGAGGGGACAGTGTCACTGCCCGGGGACCCCTGACGGGGGACCCAGGGGCGAGTGAGTACCCCGTCAGGGTGCTCACTCAAGAGCTCGGCCGAGGCCTCCTCTGGGCCAAGGCAGTGACAGCAGTCTCCTGCGTGATGAAGGCAGCAACAGGATCTGCGTGGCGGGCAACCGCACAGATCCCGTTGCCGGTGGTAGCAGCATTCACGGTAGAAACCGCACATGCTGAATCCCCGGGCGCGACACGAGCCTTCAGGCTCGGTCAGGCGCCCCTCCCGGGTGACCGCTCCCCCTGACGAGACAATCTGACACCCAGACCGGTGGTACTGGGCATCAGGCAGACGGCCGGCCGCGGTGTCCGGCCGGGCCCACGGGTTCATGAAGGGAGACCAGGGTGCGGTCTCGCCTTCAATTCCCCGGGCGTCTGTTGTCTCATCGAGGTTTGCGTCGCCAGACTCGACGGTGGACAAGGCCGCGAGTTGGGGGGAGGAGTGGGGATTGGAGAAGTTGGAGGAGAAGGGGTCGGGTCCTCGGCGCCGGTCGTCTTTTCGACGTTGCCGGTGGAAACCGAGGACTCCGACGCGCGTTCGAGCTTGCCATCTTTCTTCTTCTGGCTCTGCTTCGCGCGACGCACCTTCTCGTGCAACTTGCTATGGCGGATTCTCTTCCGCTGGGTGGACCAGCCAACGAAAGAGGGGGTGGAGGTGTCGACGGGGACCTCTTGGGAGAGGGTGTCAGCAGCCGTGGATGGCTCAGATGAGCCTGGGGCCATGGCCCTGGTGTCGGAGCTAACAGGCGTAGCTAGCGCCTCGGCGTAGCTGATTGCACGGCCGGCAAACCCTAAATGTTGGTCATGGCGGACGCTGGTCTCGCCAGAAAGAGATAGGGGACCAGGGATCGCTCCCTGGGAATTGTCAGGCATCGGCATTGCGACGGCCTCCTCGAGGTCCGACTCGGAGATTGGTGTCTCTGAGATGGATGGCACACTCTCTTCTTCAATGACTTCGGCCATTGCGGCATCCGACGCTGCCTTGCTCAGATGCTCGGTGCCGGCAGCAATTGGATCAGTCTCCGGTTCAGATGAATGGAGAGCATCTGACCCTAGAGTAATGCGCCGGCCACCTTGCTCCTTAGAAGGCTTGGCCTTGCCCTTCTTGCCCCTCTTGTTGTACTTGCGAGTACGGGCTCGCTTGGGTGCCGCAGGAGCTTCGTCAACCTCGGTGTCCTGCAGCGAAGGCTCCTGACAAATTGTCTCGGTCGAAGAATCCGAGTCCAGCAGGACCTGAGGTGTCTCAATGGTGTCCATGCTTTGGGTAGCTTGCATCGAAGGCTCTTGAGAAACAGCTTCGGCTGCCGCAGCTGTGCCTGGCTGCAATTGAGGTGATTCTTGGACGCCTGGGGACACCAAATCATCCGTCTGGCCGCGTCTCTGGTGCTTCTTGCCGCCCTTCTTCTTCTTCTTTTTCTTCGGGGCCTTCTCTTTGGGCTCCGCAGTCAAGGACGCATCAGGGGACTTCTCAGTAGCAAGGTCGCGAGGAGATGCTGCATCAGGCTCTGACTGGGACTGCTGTTGAGTACCCAGAGTCGTGGTATCGTGCGGCTGCTCTTCCTTCTGAGCACCGTTGTCCTGGGATTCTATCGTCACAGCAGCAGCCAAGGAGGTCTCTGGACCAGCGGTATTTTGCTGGTTTCCCTTGTTCGCGCCCTTCCGCTTGCGAATACCCTTGTTTCGCTTCTTCTTCTTTTGAGGTAAATGCACAAGCTCGCTGCTTGGGAGATTTGCTGTGATCGCTTCGCCATTGTCATATTTGGCGAGGAGGCTTTCGATGATTTCGGAGCTGCAATCGGAGACAGCGTCGTCGTTTGGCTCCTCAAGTTAGCACAAAAGTCTTAAATAGGGCCAGGTAGATTATAACTTACATCGTCTCGTGCCTTCTTGAATTGTTCTGTCAAGTCGTCGCGTAAACCCTTTATCCTGAAATTCAAACCATCCTTGGCGTTCTTGAGCCAGAGACGGTATTTTTCCAGATGGTACAGAGTGTCCTCGGTGATTAGATCGGGGTGGGGGCCTTTATGGAAGTCGCAGGCAAAGGGAACATCGCCAATCGTTGGCTCAGCCAACTGTTTGAGATAGAAATTGAGGCGGGGAAGTGCAGGCAATTTGGTCACAGATTGTTGATTTCCAGAGAGGGGGGTTGCGTCAGGTAAACCAATCTCGATTTCGAGAGCCACGATTTGCTCGACTAAAGAGTAATACATGTCGAATTGGTCGGATTCGGAGTCAGGCATCCTGATTGCGGACAGGTCGGCTGGCATAAAAACAGTCTTCGTAAGTGTCCTTATGAACCTCATATGCAGCGCTACCTGCAGTTTTGCAAGATTCGTAAGTCCGAGTTTGGGGTCAACTGCGGTTCTGCTAGGAGGTTGATTGTTTTTGGCTGGAATCAGATCAAGCACAGTAGAGGTTTCGGTTGATGAGACAAAACGGTAAGAGAAAGACAGTTCGGCAGGGGCCAAAGGATCAGAAAATGCGTATCCAGGTGGGGCAGTCAAAGGCTGCGAGGAAAAGCTTGCGGTGAGGTGGGATGAAAAGTTTCTCGCCAGCACAGGTAGTGGCTGAGATGAAGTCTCGACCAGTGCAGTAAAGGGGGAGCTGATCAGACGCTGGGATGAGGCTTGGATGGGCCTCTCAAGCGCCTGGATGGCAGAAGTCTGGCTGTGGCTGACTCTGCTGATGTGATGCTCTGCGTTGCAGAAGAACTCATCGGTTTCGGAAGATGTGTTGTAAGGGGGCGGTTTAGTATCAAGAGACAGAGGGGTCTCAAGTGGCAAAAGGGACTCAGAAGGCACAGGAGTCTCAAGAGGCAGAGGGGTCCCAACAGATCGAGAAGTATCAAGAGCCAGAGGAGTATAGGTAGACAGAGGGTTGTGGATAGACAGCGGAGTGTGGGCGAGAAGAGGAGTGTCGATAGAGAGGCGAGTCTCAAGAGGCAGAGGGGTCTCAAGTGGCAAAAGAGTCTCAGAAGGCAAAGGAGTCTCAAGAGGCAGAGGAGCGTGGGTGGGGGGAGGATGAATGTTGGTGGGTAGGGTTAAAGCGCGTCGACACCCAGGGCAAGTGCAAACATCGTCTTGCTGCGTCAGGTGGCACTCGCTGTTCCTAGCCGTGTCGATTATTGTGGTGTATTGGGGGAGCTGGCGGTGGCTGGCAACAGCAGAGGTAACTTCTCGAGGACCAAGCTCAACAACGTCTGAGGCTGGGTCCGCACTAAGAACGTTGGGCACCTCATGGTCACCTTGCTCTTCCGCCGAAGATTGGCAAACATCCGCTAGAGACATCTCAAGTAACTTGTATGTACCAAAAGAGATTGGATGAAATGTATGTCTTAGGGTTTCGGGTTTCGGGTTTCGGGCTTAATGGATAGGAACGAGATTAGCCTTGATCCTATCCCTAACGTCCCTGGACTTGAAGTTACTTACCTCAATGAATGGTCAGACCAACCCGGCCCTGAAGCCGATGTAGAAGAGGGTATGCACCCTTTTCTCTGATGGACAAAGAAGGTGAGATGTTTTGTGAATTCCCGATCTCGATCAGCTTGTCAAGCTCATGAGAAAGGGTCTTTCAAATGTTGCAGGCTGGACAATCCTCGTGCGATGGGCAACGGGGGATGGCTAACGAGGAGTGATAGTACTTCACCTAGAGATGGGCCGCATCAAGGTCAGTGTCTCTGGGCTGCATTTTCTTCGGATGAATGACGGCATACTCACGCAGAGACAGGGGAACAAAGAAATCAATGAATAGATTCACCAGGCAGACCTGATGAGTAGATGACGACAGGATACACAGACGGTGTGATGGGTGAATGTAAAAATGGCGAGAGGTTGGAAGAAGAGGAGGTGGGAAGAAAAAGGACGATTGGAATTGGTGGAGACTCAAGAGATCCTGGAGAAGTTTTTTGTTCATTTGAAGCATAAGGACCTCGCCGGCGCTTACCCGGATGTTAATACTTGGGATTTACTTCCTGCCTTGACTATCCTTCCATTTTCTATTTGCCGTAGAAAGCTCCTTAGAGGCCCGACTGAGTTTAAAAAAAGCTACATTATATCCAATAAAGGCAGGATCCAAACTCATGTATTATTTCTAAGTGCCATAACCTTCATATAACGGCCGTGGCGGGTGTGGAAACGGCTCAGTCGTTCACCTGGGGAGGTATTGTTTTCAGGGCTCGATGCGCACGTGACTTACACATGGCCACGTGACTTGGCGTGTGGGCGTACATGACAGACTCATACGCCTTAAGCCTCAGGCTGCCAAATGCCCGACTCTGTAACGTATTCGGTAAGCGAGCCGGCCATGTAAGCCAACCGGCCACCCAACCCGATCTATTAATTTTAAATGCATTTATTTCAACCAAAACGCCATTAAATTCAATAAGCTAAAATCGAGGTCTATTAGGACAGGCATTTCTCTTATGACCCTCAATTCCACATGCTCCACACTTCGGTAAGGCCCTCGTACGCGGCTGTAAAGGTGCCGGAAGCGGTCTTGGCTGACGGGGTATTGGCGCTTCAATTACTGGTTCTTCCACCTGAATAAGCTCGAGAGCCTCTGAAACTGATAGGCCTTGTTCTCGAGATATCTGCCTAGTAGACCGAGTCCGTTTTCTCTTTTTTTTCTCGTTTTCGGCCCGTAATTCCTTATTTTCCTTCGCTAGTAAGATAGCGTTATGCATTGCAAGCTGGCAGCCTTTGATAAGCTGATTTAAAGCGCGATCTGACGGGCTCGGTGGACTTCGCGATCTTGTACGAAGTAAAGCTTTAATTAAAGAAGCTTGCCGACGTAGTTGTTTCTCGGTAAAAGGTGTTTTTGGGGTGAAATTACGGCTCGATTCGCTCCCTCGGCTCGGAGGGGGGTCGGGGTTCGAAGGCATATATTAAGCTTCGAGATCACTCGATCGGGGTCGTAAGGCACTAAACCGGCGGCGGCGAAGCTATTCTTAATAGTCTCTGGTTTAAATGCCTCGATTCGGGCGAGAGGGTATTCTTCGAGGAAGTCTAATTTATCGACGTAGTTGATTCTAGCACGCGTTTTCGATTCGATAAGCCGACCGTAAGACCGTTTTAACACCGCAAAACAGCCGATATCGAGAGGCTGTAAAAGGTGAGACGAATGCGGAGGCATACAAATTGGGATGATATCGTTTTTTCCGCAAATTTCGTCGAATTTCGGGGTTAAATGACTCCCGTGGCCGTCGAGTATTAAAAGTCTATACTTCCCCTTCGTACGCGAAGAAGTAGACGGAATAAAGAGCTTTTCGAGCCACCGAAGTCCAATTTCATCGGAAGTCCACCCGTTCGGACTAACCTCGAGGCGCCAATCGTCCGGAAGGCCGTCGAACCAAGACTCGACGAAGACTTTGCCCTTAAAAATCACGCACGGAGGAAGCGCCCACCCCGACGCGTTTATACATTCAATTGTAGTCACCCACGCGCGATTTCCGGGCTGTAAAAGTGCTCGCCGACCGTAGTATTCCTTTCTCGTAATAACCTTCGCGGTCGCAATTAAGCCCATTGCAAAACCGGTCTCGTCAAAGTTATAGATATCGTCGGAATCGATACCGTACGAAAGGATCGTTTTTTGGACGAGAGAAAACCATTCACGAATGATTTTAGGGTCTTCGCATTTTGCGCGCTCATAGTTATATTGCCTCGAGAATCGGGTTGAAAGGTCGGGATGCCTTTTTACGAAGTTATAAACCCATTTCTCGCCGACTGTTTGAACTGGTATAGTTCCCCGCGCCGCGAGAAGAAGATTCGCAGTTTCTCGTACAGTAGATGGCCGAGGCGCTGCTCCACGGTCATCAAGAGAGATGATCCATTTTTGAAGCGATTCCTCTTCAATTGCTGTTAGTTTATGGCTGTTAGCGCGAGTTTCGGTGCGTGTTTTGTGGCCGCGTAGTCGGTCTTGAAGAGTTGTACGAGGTACGTTAAAACAGCGCGCTGCTTCACGAACAGAAGATATTTCTTGTTTCTTAATAGCCTGAATAGCTAATAAGAGCCTGCCTTCTTGCTCGATTAAATTTCGAGAGGATCGAGTACGAATTGGTGGCATGGTGGGTGGTTGAAGAAGAAAGGTCTAATTAATTGACGCGTTTCGCGCTAGGTGGCCGGCTGGCTTACATGGCCGGCTCGCTTACCGAATACGTTAAGTTAAGTTAACGTTAGGAAAAAGCTGGACAACATTGCCCAGCTTCTACAAGGTTCGGTTCGGATTGCTCCGACGTTCAGGAAATAATTAGCGGACACACATGAGTAGAACTTTCATTACGCAAATCTTCCCTGAATTCCACGGCGATGATGGCAGAACATGTTCCTCAAGGGAAATCACAACAGATGTGCATCATTATCTGCACATCAATATCTAGCACCATATCTTAGATACCATCTTAATGTAGTATAACCAGGAACAATGTTTGTCTATTCTGTTAAGCAGAAGTAGGCTCTTTAAGAACCTGGCATATAGTCTGCATGACGCAATAATCGAACCGAAAAGATTCTCGTCAATCAAATAGACGAGACAGCAAACTGGGAAGTGTAGAGACAAATGGGCCGACAGTACCCCGTACATTAGTTTAAGCAATCCGAGACACGGAACTTGAAAGATACCGGATCAGATAATAGCGCCACGGTGGACACTCGTACCAGCCCAATCTAATCAGATGATCTAGCGAAATTTGCAGATACGATGCTAATCAAATCTTTTCCAGAGCAATTGTACTACCGGTCAAAGCTGGCCGATATGCTTGGTCATTTACTAACAAAAATAAGCTGTGGATCAGCCCTGTCAACCACGCGTGGCAAGGCAGGCAGTTCGACCCGAAAGAAAGGCCGATTGTCTCGGATGCCGCGCAAACGAGAAGATGCGCAAACAGGAGAAAAAAGTTATCTGATCCTTTTGGTCCCTGGTTCCCCTGTGGAGTGGAGTTGGTCGGAGGCCGGAGTTCTGCTTACACGTGGATTTAATTGAAAGACACGGGACTTTGTATCCTACAAAGGTAGGTATCTACTGAGGTCCATACTTGTCCCGTTTAGTGCGTGGAGACTGTATCTGGATTTTGTACATAACGTACTACTGGTACGTTTGTGTAACTTAACGGGAGGAGTATTGTAGTACCATTTCACTATTTTGTGGGCCAATTGATAATAGTTATTCCTAGCGGGTTATAGGCCAGGGGAATTCCGGCGTGGGCTACGAGTGCGAGTCTTGGCACACTGCAGAGCGGAGGGCTGTCGCGTTCTCGTAGGATTTAGGGACTTGGCATTATCAGGGCAGGATTGAGCTGGCGTGTCACACAGGCATGTCCACGCAAGCTTTGAGTGCGGCTCAATGGTGGCTACTAGAATTGAGGAAGGAAGTTTTTTATCCTTTTAATAATTTTGGATGAAAGGAGAATTGTGTAGAGAAAGGTTATAACATTCTGCATTCAGATCGTTATACATATATAAAGCATTAAATAATATGATAAAACGCACAACTGTATGTTTGATAACAGCTTCCAGGCCGTTGATCAATGTTTAAACAACCACTAAAACAATTGGCGAGAAATGAGGAGAGAATCAATCAACACGCGTCTTATCATAGGAGAATCCCTGAAGGCGAGTTCTAGCACCTTAGAACACAACACCCTTGGTCTGCTTGACCTTGTTCAGGTCAATGTTTCTGATCATCAAGGTCCAGAAAATGCAAAGACCCATCAAACCAGTTCCAGCAGCAAGCATTCTTGTCTGGGAATAACCATAGGCGGACTGGATTGCCAGTCTGGTAGCAGATCCGACAGGGTAGCTCAGTTGGGTGGAAAGGTCCTCGTAGATCAGATCGATGTTGTCCATAGCAGAATCCGGGAGCCTGGTTTGCAAGGCTTTGTAGAAGGTGTTGGTCCAGATGGCACCACAGATAGTGGAACCAGCGGCATCACCGACAGTGCCAACAACGTTCAGCAGGGCAAGCACAGTAGCAACGTGCTGATGGTCAACAGCAGCCAAGATAGAGAGCTGCTCAACAATAATGAAGACGGATCCGCCAATAGAAATAAATATCTGACACATAACAAGATAACCGACTGACTGGTTGGGGCGGCGGAAATAGATCATGAGACCCTGAGCAAAGATGTAGAGAGGAACGGCAATGTAGAGAAGCCACTTGAAACGGCCAGTCCTGCGAATGAGGAAACCGACTCCGAGTAGAAGAACGCCGGAGACAACGTCAAAAGTGTTGCTGACGTATCCGGCCTCGGAGATAGAAAGGTCATTCACCGCCTGCAAGAAGGAAGTATAATAATTGTTCCAGCAGTAGTAGGAGAGTTGGTATGTCGCGTCAAGCAAACATGCGCCAATGACAGTCCGATCTGTCAGTAGACTGAAGTCGAACATCGGAGTAGGTGCAAAGACGACTTCCCAAACCAAGAAGACAATAAGCATAACAAATCCAACTACAATCATGGCAATAATATAGCCAGAGCCCCAGCCATTGGGAGCGCTAGCAGCGATGGTGAATGGAAGAAGGAAGACCGTGAGGCCGACCGAGAAGACGATAACACCAAAGGCTATTCGAAATTAGTTCTTTGTAACTTTCAAGGCTTGTATAAAGAAACCTACCATCGAACTCCTTGGTATAATGCCAGATGCTCTGGAGCACGGTCCGGCCGGTAGGTTCATTGTGCAAGAGACCCCCAATCTTGGCCTTGCGGAGGTTAATCTTTAAAATAAAGAAGAGAGGAGCAGCCACGATGGGAAAGATGATGGCAAAGCAACCAAAACCCCACCGCCAGCTGATCTTTTCATAGAAGCTTTCAGCTGCCTTCGGGCCGGCAAAGGCAGTGATAATGTATGGAGAGGAGGTGAAGGCGAACGCCAAACCTCGGTTCTTCAACGTAGAGATATCGGCCGTGATCACATCAACACAGTATGTCATGCCTCCAAAACCGATGCTGTAGAAGACGTACGCGGCGCAGAACGTAGGAAGGTTGTGGCATGCAGCCATGATAATCAGACCGAGAGTCGCGAAAACGGTCATGCACAGATAACCTTCAGCACGGCCCCAGACGTCCATGACCTTGGCAGTGGGGATGTACACTGCGGCTGTCATGGCGTCTGCAACAATGTAAATGACGTTCAGCAGCGAGTGGCTTTCGAAGTCACTGGTGACATAGGACATCAAGCTGTAATTAATCGAGGATTGCATTGCATTGACGAAGTAGAGGAACCAGATGCTATTAAAAAAGCCTGTTAGTCCACTGATCGGATTGCTGATGCCGTTGATTTCTCATATTCAAACTCACTTGACAAAGACCGCAATCAGCATGGTCTTCGACCAGCTCAAAGTGATGGCTTCGACATCTCGAACACCACGCTGGGTGTCTTCGGTGGGAGCCTCCGGGTTTCCATCACTGGCATTGGCTGGAACGACAGTCTCAGTAGCAAGATCTCTCTGGTTTCCTCGTCTGCGTTCACAGTCACTGGGGTGACAATCTCCTGGGTCGAAGACCTCCGGAAGGTAGATCGGAACCTGGCGAAACCCATGTTGATATGGCCGAGAAAAAGCCTTGAAAGAACTCAAACAGCTCAAAAAAGCCAGGGATCCGCTGCCCTTATAGAGATCCTGTTATTGTTAGCGCATGAGATCCGGCGCTTGATATCCACCTCGTCGGCAAGTTGGTGGAAAACCAATGCACGCCACGCGGTGATATTTGAACCAAAATGTAAAGCCTTGGCAGTGTCTCAACGTGCCATTTGCTAGAGGGCCATGATATTAAAAAAAATTCCGGGCCATTGCGCCAAGTCCTCGGTCAGCCCAAAGAAGGCCTAGACAGCCACGTTCGGCCACATTCGGACAATCCGAAGGCAAAATCTAATCAGATGCAATGATTTCTTGGTTTCAAGCAAGGAAAGGCAATGCTAACCGGGGGTACGTCCACCAAGCTTCGAGATGCTCGTGGAGTCTTCCTGTTCAGGAAATTAAGCAGTGGACCGCCTTGGCAAGACTTGGCATATATTGGCGAATGGGATTCTCTCTTCCACCGCGTCAAGAGCCAGAAATGACCAAACAAGCCCGGTGCTGAAATTGAACCACCATGTTTGGGACACAGAGCCCGACACTAGAGCCCTAACTCGGGATCCGAGCGAGTTCACCCGATACGAGTATCTAGTGTATCGATGTGCCATGGAGGGAACCAGGGACCTCAACAGGTATGCCCAAGTATGAGTGAGTCGGAGCGGAAGTCACGTTCAAAAGGTTCAAGTCGATGTATGGTAGTAATAGTGTGTCATAGGACATCTCAACAACTACATAGCAAGTATCAAATACACCAGGTATCAAATACTCAATACCAATTACCAAATACCAAATACCGAATACCAAATACCGAATACCAAATACACATGGATCAGATAAATCGCCCCCACTCTTCAATCCTCCGATACTAGTCCATAATTGGTAATCTGATTAAATTAAAATATGTTTTTTTTTCCTTCTTTTTCTTTTTTTTACTCTCACAGCTTCGAGTTACGCCAGCCCGGAGACCGTTTCTCCACAAATGCCTGGATTCCTTCGGCGAAGTTGGGACCACCTACTAGCCGAGGATACCACTCATCCGCCAGATTTGAGACAGTATCCTCCACACTGCCAGCTTCCCAGCTCATGCGAACACCCATGCGACCAACAATTAGCGCATCCGGGCTGTTTTTACACATGACTTCCGCAATGTCAAGCGCCGCATGAACAACATCCACAGGCGAGTCTACCACTCGACTGACAAGGCCCCATTCGTGGAGAGTGGTGGCGCTCACATTCCTGCCGGTAAGCACGAGGTCCATCGTGCGTTGAAGGCCGATGGTGCGGGCCAATCGCGGCAAGCAGCCGGCCACAGGCACAATACCTCGCTTGACCTCCGGAAGAGAGAAGATAGCGGAGGAGGCAGCCACAATGAGGTCGCAATTGGCTATCATCTCGAAGCCTCCGCCCATACAGATGCCATTAACTGCAGCGATGATCGGCTTCTTGCCACTCCTGCGAGGCAGCCCTGCGAGACCGGGTGCAGACATGTCATTTACCACTCCGGCCTTGTTCATTGCGTTCCATTCTGCGCGTATTGAGTTAGTTTGGTCAATTGGAGTGATAAGAGCAGAAAAACGGCGAATCCACCTCCTAGGTCGGCTCCGGTACAGAAGGCTCTGCCATTGCCTGTGATGATAGCTACCCATAGAGTTTCATCCTTGTCGAATAGCTCCCAGATATCTGCTATCGCCCGACTTGTAGCGTTATCGATGCAATTTAACTTGTCTGGTCGGTTGATTGTGACCTGGACAACGTGTTCATGCGGGAATGAAACATCAAAGTTCTTGTAGTTTGATGGCCTTGATCGTAAAGACATGATGAAGAATGTGGAGAGTATAGACCAATGCAACTAAGGCTAACCGATGTCTTTTTATGCTTGGGACGTGAAATTGGCTACTGTACTTAGCGCATTGGGTGGGAGCTTACAGCCCGGAACCTCGGAACCCGCGTACCACGACTGGTACAGATAAAAAAAATTGAAACAATTCCCCATATATTATATATCGTGTTGCCTAGATCGTCCGAAACCAAATTACTTCTTTTGGATCTGACAAGGGAAAAACGCTCGGCTTCGGTTTCCATATCCTTTCTTGATCATCCTCGGTTGTTCAGGAACCCTGCATACATATAATCTTATTGCTATCTAGCTCCCTTCCACATTTTTCTCACTCCCAGTTGTCCAATTTCTGCCAAGCTTGGGATCAATTGCCCAAGGACTGCGACAATGGGCTCCAATTCCGCCGCTGTCCAGCAATATCCTTTGGTGAAGCTTCCACACCCATATTTGACTTCATATCGGGTGCAGTCGGCTGGATCGTCGCCGGCTAAGCACTCCTTGACACTTGATGAGCAGCCCACCGCGGGACGATCGTTGCCAGAAACGTTACATTCAGATGAGCTCTCGTGGCACGAATTGGCATTCATTCCCAAGACTGAACAGCCTCCAATTTCAGATAACACACCTTGGGGTCGCGCGCGACGCAGCCCGCAAACCGTTTTCCAATGGACGGGGAGCGCGCCTTCTCTCGCCCAGATCTGGAACGTTATCCATGCTATCTACCTCGCTCACTCGACAATCGAGTACTTCAGACTTGACTTGGCTGGCACAGGGCAGGACGTGATTCGCAATGAGCTTCTTTCCACCGGCCTGGCGATCCAACACCCCAAAAATCTTCGCGACAGAGAGAACAAGGCACTCCAATTCGACCAACTGTTGGTTCTCCGAAGCGCCTTCTGGCAAGGCGCTGCTTCACCAATGGGCCCTCGCCCCATCTGGGTGGTAGGAGATGGCACAGATGGACCTATGCGGAGCTCGCTCGATCAGTATCCAGTCATGCCGGAAAACTACCAAATCACAAATAAGTTCCCCGAGGAGCCGGTATATACTCGTCACCCGACGCGTCGTCCCAAGCCTCATCCGGGCTCAATTGCCTACAGTCGCTATATACCAGAGATCAACGAGCACTTCTCGCTCGAGGTGGTCGATTGGCAAGATGCGGAGCATGTGAAGCTTTTCAACACATGGCAAAACGACCCACGCGTTGCAGCAGGCTGGAACGAGACTGGAACCATCAAACAGCACACTGAGTATCTGCGCAAACTGCACTTTGATCCCCATGTTCTCTGCTTATTTGGCCGCTTCAACGACTCCCGCTTCTCTTACTACGAGTTGTACTGGTCAAAGGTATATTAACATTCCAAACTGCTCGTGATCTCATTCAACATTTATGATGCTTACAATATACTTACAGGAGGACCACTACGGCGCCCACTACGACGCCGGAGACTATGATCGCGGACGTCACTCTCTCGTCGGCGATGCGAGCTTCCGAGGCGCCCATCGCGTGAATGCCTGGTATTCCAGCTGCATCCACTACTGCTTCCTAGACGACCCACGCACAGCCAATGTGGTCGGTGAGCCCAAGGCAACCGGTGGCATTATTCTGTCATACGAGAATTCCCAGGGCCTCACCATCGGCAAGTACGTCGACCTCGGACATAAGAGATCGGTCCACTCGATTTGTAGCCGAGAGAAGTGGTTCCAGTTGTGTCCGCTGTTCTGGGATGGGCGTGAACGGCCTTTAGAGTCCGCTGATCGTGCCGCGTGGAATGCCAAGCTGTAATAATTCTTGACCTTCTTGTTTGATCTTTAATGTACAAAATTCACGGCCTTACTTTTACTTGAATTTTCTTTTTTCCCCCCTTTTCCACGTCCAAGACAAGTGGGTAATAGTGTAGCTCTTTGACCATCCACAGCTTTCTTCCAGGGAGTTCTCTGCGGTAATAAGAGAATCCACTTTGGTTCTGTTGTCCCGATCTGATTGATCAGATAAGTTAAAAAGAATCTTCTTAGATTGCACGGTAAATTTACGGAGCTCGAGGGCCCACTCACACGGGCGAGGTAAGTTATATGTAATGACGCTTCGACTTTTGCACGTAATATGTAGGGAAATAGCCATACAGGAGTGGAGGTTTTTGCAGATTTATGTGCTGGGAAACCCAAAATGAGAGATCTCTCCAGTGACGAGTTCTTGCCCACTTCGAGTAGAAAGGATTAGGACACGGTGGATCATTGGGTTCATTCAATTGGCACATTCTAAAACATCATACGACATAAATTGAGTATGTATGGGTACCTCGAAATAAACATACAATACGTCAATACGCATCCGTACGAACTGGTATGTACAGCCCGAGAGCGACCCATGGTACGTCAGCCCCACGATCTGATAACTCTTGTAACATTGAATTTCTGGATTTCTCGATTTCTGGATTTCTTCAGAAGTATCTAAACCGATGTCGGCTGAAAGAAAAAAAAGGAAAGAAATTTAGTAGCCGGATGTTAAACATCCGGACCCCTTCGATTCCCTTTCACTTGGCATATTTCTTTGGAGCTCGTGTGTCCCAGATTGCTCTACCGGATGGAAAGACGCTAACGGGTGGATGCGACTTTTCCAGACTCTGTCAAGCCAAGCAATAAATTTGTTGCTTCGGAGAACTTAGCTTCCTCAACACTCGAACCGACAATTATACAGGTGTTGCAAGCCGTCGCCCAAATCGAGTCACAATGAAGCTCTTCGGGCAACTCTCTGGTTACCCCAAGCTTCTCCTGGCTGGCAACCCCTCACGAGCCGAGCTGGGGACACTTTTGCTTGGTATATTGTCCGCGATTGCAGCAGGTGTTCCATTTCCAATCATTGGCATTGTCTTCGGTCAACTGCTCGACGATTTCAACGATGTTACTTGCAGTCAATCCGACGGAACCGCGTCCTCCAGCTCCGACTCCAGCTCTCAATCCGACATCAACAGTAAAATCTTGTTGATCGTGTATCTCGCCATTGCGCAATTCGTTTTGATTTATATGCACCTGCTATGCTGGACCATGACTGGTGCGCGCCTTGCGCAGAGACTGCGTGAAAGATATCTTCAGAACTTGCTCAGACAGGAACCGTCTTTTTGACAACTTGCCTGCTGGAGAGGTCGCTTCTCGTCTCAACACCGATATCCAGACGATTCGTTCCGGTACTGCCGAAAAGGTTGGAATTTGTCTCTCCAGTTTCTCCTTCTTCGTCACGGCGTACATTGTCGCCTTCATCAAGGATTATATTCTGGCTGCGATGCTCATTTCATTGGTTCCGGCTTATTTCCTGATGTCCTTTGTTGGAAGTCATTATATTGAGAAATACACCGGGCGCATGTCCGACTACGCTGCTTCCGCCGCATCGATTGCTTCCGAGGCGCTTTCCAACATTGTTGTGGTGCAGGCGTTCGGTGCCAACGGCCGTCTGGAGCAGAAGTTTTCCAAAGCTCTGAAGCAGTCGGAAACCGAGGGCTTGAAAAAGGCTGCTGCCACTGGTATTCAGGCTGGTTTCCTATACTTCATTGCCTATGGTGCGAACGGTCTGGCCTTCTGGCAGGGAAGTAAGCAGATTGCCGAGTCACTGGGCACAGACTCAGCGGGTAAAACTGTTGGGTCTATCTTCACTGTTATCTTTGTCTTAGTGGAAGGTTAGTTCGGCAGAAATCTTACAACGGAATTTATACTGACTAAACCCTCAGCTACTTTGCTCCTGAGTCAAGTTGCTCCATTCATTCATCTGTTCACTCAGGCTGTGGCATCGTACCAGAAGCTGCGTGACGACATTGACCGCAAGCCTTTGATTGATGGATCTGGTGATGCTGGCATTCGTCTCTCGCAGGCCGAGGGCGGATTCGAGTTCAAGGATGTTTCATTCATCTATCCTTCTCGGCCTGAAATTACTGTTCTTAACAAGATCAGTCTCTCCATTGCTCCCAAGAAGCACACTGCCATTGTTGGTCTTTCCGGAAGTGGAAAGTCAACCATCGCTGGTCTGGTTAACCGGTTATACGACGCTACCGAGGGAGAGATCACTTTCGACGGTCATAACCTTCGCGATCTCAACACCCGCGATTTGAGAGGATTCCTCAGTCTGGTCCAGCAAGAACCTTCTCTGCTTGATCGGTCCCTTTTGGAGAATATTGCTCACGGTTTGATGAACTCGAGCAACCCGGCCCACACACACCTGAAGACTACCCTTCTCAGTACTGACCTTTCGGATGTCGCCAACGAAATAAGGGAAGGCTCAGACCTGACCACAGCTGCTGAGAAGCGGGGTGCTGAAGTCGTCGAAATTGTCGCGTTGGTCCGAAAGGCTGCTCAGCTCGCAGATGCAGATGGCTTCATTGAGGCCCTGCAATACGGATATGCCACTCTTGTCGGTTCCAGCGGACGTCTGATCAGTGGTGGCCAGAAGCAGCGTGTCTCTCTTGCCAGAGCTCTTGTCAAGGATCCGGCAGTTCTCATCCTGGACGAAGCCACTGCTGCTTTGGATTCTAGAAGTGAACAGCGTATCCAGCGGGCTATCAACAACATTTCGACTGGCCGAACTGTCATCACCATCGCTCATCGTTTGTCTACCATCACCGGTGCCGACAAGATTGTCTGCATGCACAAGGGAGATATTCTTGAGGAGGGAAGTCACTCTGAATTGATGGCCCAGAATGGTCCATACTCTGATCTCGTCAAGCTGCAGACTCTCGGGTCTGCCCCCAACAAGACTGAATCCACTGTCAGCGTTGAAACTGTCAGCAAATCTGATGATACCTCTATCACAGAGGTTGACAACGAGAAGGGCAGTGTTTCAAATGACACTGAACCCGCCAAGGAGGTTCAAGTCTCTACCACTGAGCAGCCAGCCCCTGAATCAGCGGAGGATGAGGAGGATGAGCCCGAGACTCCCAAAAGAGCCTGTGGGCTCTTTGCAAAGGATACGCACCCGCTGTTAGACCCCATCTCCTTGTGATCCTCGCCTCGCTTCTCGGTGCCACTATGGTCGGCGGAGCTTTCTCTGGTGAAGCTGTCATTTTCGGTAACACCGTTGGCAGTCTGAATCCTTGCAAGAGTGCAGCCAGTATCATGAACCGTGGTAACTTCTATGGTCTCATGTTTTTCGTTCTCGCTCTGATCGAGTTCTTCGCAAACGTCGTCAGTTGGGGAGGATTCGGTTTCGTTTCTGAGAAGATTGTTTACAAGGTCCGAGTCTTGTCTTTCCGGTCACTTTTCGAACAGGATCTCCAATGGCACCAGTCCAACGGCCGGTCTCCTGCCCTCCTTCTTTCTTACATTACCAGAGATGGTAACGCCTTGGCTGGCCTGAGTGGCTCTGTCATCGGTACCCTATTCGCTATCACGGTCAACCTCATCGCCGCCATTATCCTCACCCACATCATCGCATGGAGAATTGCCTTGGTCTGTTTGGCCGTGGTTCCCCTTTTGCTTGGTGCTGGTATGATGGAGCTTATGGTCCTCGGCAAGTTCGAGGAACGTCACGAAAACGCCTACACTAAGTCAGTCGACATTGGTGTCGAAGCAGTCACCTCGATTAAGACAATCGCATCTCTCTCCCTCGAAGAGGACACTCTGCAGACTTACCGGCGATCCTTGAAGGGACCTCGCAAGGAGACACTCATGGTTACTATCCAAGCCAGTCTATGGCAGGCCATGACCTACTTCCTTGGTAACCTCGTGAACGCCCTCGCCTACTGGTGGGGTTCCAAGCAAATCATCAACGGAAACTACACCCAGACCCAGTTCCTGATCGTCGTATTCTCCCTCCTCGTCAGCGCCCTGCTCTGGAGTCAGATGTTCGCACTGGCACCTGAGCTTTCTGCCGCACGATCTGCCATGGCCAGGATCCTAGGCCTCATCGAGATCGGCAAGGACAAGATGAACGGAACCCTCAATGATGTTGAGTCCGTCGAAGAAAAGCCTACCTACGATACCGGCAACCCAGCCTCGAGTGTGCAACTCCGCGACGTCCACTTCTCATACCCCGCTCGCCCCGATATGAAGGTGCTGAAGGGTCTGAGTGTTGATATCCGCCCAGGCAAGTTCTGCGCTCTGGTCGGACCCAGTGGTGCCGGTAAATCCACCATCATTTCCCTAGTTGAGCGTCTCTACACGCCGGAATCCGGAGGCATATTCATCGATGGCGTCGACGTGACAAAGACTACTGATGTCTCCTTCCGCGACTGGGTCTCCTTGGTTCCCCAGGATAGCGTCCTGTTCGAGGGAAGCATTGAGTTCAACATCGGTCTCGGAGCACGACCTGGTCACGACGTGAGTCTTGAAGAAATCCAAGAGGCTTGCAAGCTTGCCAACATCCACGATGTTATCATGTCCCTGCCGGAGGGATACCAGACTCTCTGTGGACCTAATGGTAACCAATTCTCCGGTGGTCAGAAGCAGAGACTGTCCATTGCTCGTGCGCTTGTTCGTAAGCCTAAGTTGTTGATTCTTGACGAGTCGACGAGCGCTTTGGATGCTGAGTCTGAAAAGCTTCTGCAGGATGGTCTTGAGAAGGCTGCGCGGGGTATCACTGTTATTGCCATTGCTCATCGTCTGCACACTATCCGAAAAGCGGATGTGATCTTCTTGATTGATGGCGGTATTTGCACTGACTCTGGTTCGCATGAGGAATTGTTGCAACGGTCGGATAGTTACCGTGCCAACGTCATGCACCAGACGGTTGCTACTTAAAATAATAGATTTGCATATTTTTTAGTTATTGTTTAATATTATATCCATTTGTTTCTTTCTCGGATTATGTTGCCGTGTTGATTTAGTATGTCTTTAGCATGTAGACAATCTTAGTTAACATTGCAGATACCTCGATTGTCCAAGAAGAAACATGTTAATAAGTCTGCAAAACAGCTGTGAGAATAATTACTGCAGAGAAGTAATCTATTTCAGGTGGAGTGGACGAAAATCAAGGGGTAAAAGTAACAGATAAACTCCAAACCAATCCAAACTATCACCTTCCAAAGTACTACCTAGGTATCATAATCAATCCACTATATAATTCAAGCATCGAGCACCAAAGGCTCAGGGCCACAGCTAGACAATTCCTGAACAGCAGCTGCCAACTCATCGAGGGTAGCAGCGACAAAGGCCGCATCCTTCTCACTACCAACAAAGCCAACATGCATCTTCCCACCCCGAGCAAACGAAACCGCCTTCAGAGGATAAGCAGCGTCACCATGAGGGTTCGAGATATCAACCTTGCAAGAAGCCCCCGCAAAAGGCATAGCATCAAAGTCAGCCCAGTCCTGGTGGTGCACAATGGAGTCGAACGTGCGTGCCTCCGGTGACCACTGGGTGCATTGCTTGGAGATCTTCTCGAAGCCGAGGAAATCGTATGCCGAAGATTCGGCGGCTTGCTTCTGCACAAATTGCAGCAGGTCCATTGCTGTCCATTGGGACTCGAACTTCACTCTGGTTGGAGTGAGTTGGTAGCAGGGACCGATGACGTTCTCTACATTCGCGAGGTCGAGCATTCGGCCCGAAGTGACTGTTCCGAATGTCACGTCTGGCTTGCCGAGACGGCGGGCTAGGACCAAAGCCCAGGCTGCGGTGAGGACGTTTGCAGCGGTGATTTCTTGCACGGGTGTGAAGTTCTCCACTGTTTTCTCGTGGAAGATCGCTTTGTCGGTGGGTTCGACAATTGGGCCATCCAGTACGGACAATGTTGAGTCCTTGAGGAGCTTGCTCCAGTATTTGACTGCTTGGGTCTGGAGACGGCCGTCGGAGATGTGGGCGATGTATGAAGCGAATGGCTCGAAGTCGATTACCTTTCCTCCTGTGTATAGGGTCTCCAGATCTTGCAGAATTCTGGGCAGTGAGACACCATCGTATTGGGCGTGTGAAAGGCCAAGAATGAGGCAGTGCTTGCCATCGGTGCCTTCGACGTGGAAGATTTTGAAGAATGGTGATCCCAGCTCGTAGGTTGTCTCGATGTCTGCTTTGCAGAGGTCAGTTACGTATTGCTCGAGATCCTTGTCGGTCTGGTGCATGGCCACGGGCAGAGTTGCCTCTTCCAAGATAACCTGGAGGAAGCTAGATTCGTTCTTGATGAACACGGTGCGCAAAATGTCGTGGGCCTTGACCAGGTCACCGCATGCGCGAAGCAATTGTTCACTGTTGATGGTCTGGTCAAAATACAACATGTTGTACTGGATGGATGTCCGTGGCGCCTGGATGGTCTGTTGGATATCCATTGCTTGGGACTCGGTGACGGGACAGACATCACGGACTGGCCAACCTGGGTTGGCAAGCTTGGGTCGGACGGTGGAAGCCAAGAACATCTTGATGTCCAAATTGCTAAGCGCCGAGAATGGCTTGTAAGGTTGGACACTGTCCTTAGAAGCTTGATCAACCTTCAACACTTTGGCGGCATCGCCGAGGCGCATGTTCTGGAAGATATCGGCCACCGACAACGCATGACCTTGGGTGCGGAGACCGGACACCAGTTTCATTGCCAAGACAGAGTCACCTCCCAGACGGAAGAAGTTATCGTCGACATCAATCTGTTCTGGGGTGAGGCGGAGGATCTTGGCCCAAGCAGCCTGTAGGATCTTCTCTTGGGGCGTCAGGTTGGTCTGCGCCAAACCCTTGGTCCATGCCTCCTTTGTCCCCTCGCGGACTTGGGTGAGAACGCTTTGGGGAATCTCTGAAGCCAGATGGTTGAGGATAGTATGTTCGAGTTGCTCTAGTCCGGCGGGCAACTTGTCAACCACGACGTATGCAGAGGGAGCCATATAGGCCGGCAATGAGTCTCGAATATATTTGTCGAGCTTCTTCAGGGAAACAGCAAGGCTGACTGGAATCGCGTCACAGATAGTTGTCTCAAAGCCAGACTCACTGTTGGCAACATCGTGCTTCTCTGAGATAATCTGAATGCTGTCTTCATCAGAAGGCTGCTTCTCAACGAAGACAACGAGCTCTTGCTCCATCCTCTTCTGGGTATCTTCTGCCGAGGGCATGAAAACTGCCGCAGCAGCACGAGTTGATGGTGGGAGATGGTCAACGAAATGTGACTCAAGGTCTGCAATATCAATTGCATGTCCTTGGAGCGCCACGACATTCTCCTTACGGCCGATAAACACCATGCTTCCATCCTCACGCAGTTGCACCATATCGCCAGTCGGCTGCAACTTTCCAGTCCGGCCAGCCGATCCAGCACTGCCAGCCACAAGCCAGGCTGGAGATTCAACAGTCTCACCGGAGAGACAATCTCCCTCGAGCCAGAGCTCACCAACAGAGTTGATCGGCGACAAAAGTGCCGGGTTGCGCGCATCGCACACCCAGGGGACCACAGCACGGGGGTAGACAGATCCCTGCTTCATAGTGGCCTCCGCGCGGAGCTTACCAGTAGACTCGTCCACAGAGAGGGGAGGAGTCTGGTTCCACTGCCAGATCTGACTCACCTCCGCTTCAGGAAGACAAGAGATCTCATCAAGTCTCCGATTAAGACCCTTCGATAGCTGGGTACAAGCAGTCTCCAGCTGGGCAAGGATTCGCTGCATTTGGGAGCCCTCAATCAGACTGGTGTCGAAGCTTGCGCAGACTCTGAGACCGCCCTTGCGGATTCCAAAGGCTACCATGACCGGGTACGGGTTGAAGTGGATTGCTTCGCGCACGACGTCTCCAAGCTCAAAGCCGAGTTCACTGCCCACGTATTCCGGGTCGGGCTGGATGACAAGACCGGTGGGGGCTTCGCATGCGTACTGGGCATCCTGGCTCACCTTTCGGATGTTCTGCATTCCCATGTGTTGGTAGGGTGTGCGGGCCAAGACAGATTGCTGGATCGTCTGCAGATAAGCCTCAATGGAGCTTGAGCGGCGGACATGAACACGGATGGGGATTGTTGCGATCAAGGGTCCGACGATACTTTCAACGCCGGGCAGCGCAATATCGCGGCCGGTGAGGGTCTCGCCGAAGACGACATCGTCGCTTCCGGTGTATTGGGATGCTACCAGTGCCCAGGCACCACGGACCAGCGTGGCCATTGTGAAATGCGAGCCGGCGTTGGGCTCGAGGGAGATCTGATGCTCAATCAGGCCATTGGGAGTTGGCATGAAGTCTCGGGAGGGGTGACGAGGGAATTGGGGACCAACGGCACCGCTAAGTTCACGACGCCAGAATTCATGCATAGCGTTCTCGTCGGTGTCACGCACGTATTTGACGAAGTTCCGCATTTTTGTCTGGATCTCGACGGACTGGTTTTGCAACGCATCACTAACTTGCTTGAGGACAATCGGCTCTGACCATCCGTCATAGAGGACATGATGAACGGTCCAGACCATGTATCGCTTGTCGTCGTTTGCGACGATGGCGTAGCGAGCCAGGCTTTGTCCGAGGTTCATGCGCTCACTTCGGTCGTTCTCAAGGTACTGCTCTAGTTCGGTGGCGTACCTCCAGGAAACGCCTTCCTTGACAACAATCTGCTGGAGACCAGGGTCTTGGAGAGGCGCCAGGCGAGAGCGGAGGATAGGGCTTGCGGCGACAACATGCTCCCACGCCTTCCTCCAGGCATCGGTGGAAATATGCGATGGGATGCTTGCGACTCTCTGGGCAATGTATGCCTTGTCTGATTTGAGTGAGAAAGTAAACAGTGACTCTTGAGTGGGTGTGCATAGATAGATATCCTCGATGGCCTCTTTGTCAACGCCACAGGCCTCTGCTGCTTCGAGACGGGCACTCTCGACAGGCTGGGAGATTAATGAGAATGCAGGAATTTCTGTCTCAGTCTCGATGCTGCAGGGCTTAACGACGCTGGCCATTGCAGAGAGTGTCGGGTTGCCAAAGGTGTCAATAACAGAGAGATCGAGACCCTGTGCTCTGCACACGGACGAGAGTCTCATGGCTGCCAGAGAATCACCACCAAGGGCAAAGAAGTTGTCATCCGGTCGAATAGCTTTAGCATCAAGTTTGAGTGTCTCGCCCCAGGTCTTCCGCAGACGCTGCTCGAGCTCACTGAGCTCGCGAGTTGCGGTGCTCGCTGCGCCCTGATCCAGCTGACGCAGGTCAACTGTGGAACCGAATGCGCGTAGTTGCTTCCGATCAGTCTTGCCTGAAATCAACACTGGCATCACGTTAACTGGAATATAGATAGTCGGCACCATGTACCGTGGCAAGACCTTTGCAACATCAGCATTGGCCTTGGTTATTACCTCGTTCAGCTCGCTGGAGAGGCGCTCTAATGCAAGATCTGTCTGTCCCTTTGTGGAACCGAATGTAACAAATGCGACTAGCATCGCCTGGCCTCCGTACTCCTTGGGAGTGATCACCTCGGCGATGATGTTGGCATCTGAAGGCAGAACAGCCTTAAGCTGGCTCTCGATCTCGCCAAGCTCGACACGCTGCCCACGAAGCTTGACTTGGGTGTCTTTGCGGCCAACGAAGACAATACCCCCAAGCCGTCGGGGTCATATTTACCAAGGTCACCAGTCTTGTACAGGCGGCCCCGACGACCGGGGTAGTCTTTGTGACCGGCAACCAACCAGATAGGATCGTTGATGAAAACAGAGGCGGTCTTCTCGGGGTCATTGAGGTAACCCTGTCCAACAATAGGACCCTCGACGAGCAGCTCACCCACACCACCAACTGGAACAAGTTCGTTGTGGTCATTCGGGTTTACGATCCACAAGGCAGCACCATTACCAGGACCGATGGAAATGTAATCCCTGCCAGTGGCAGCGCTGCTGTTGATAGTACATCCAATTGTACATTCGCAAGGGCCGTAACCGATAATGATACGGGTCTTCTTGCCCCAGTTATTGGCGTCTCTGGCCGAGACAGCCTCTCCACCAAGTCCAAGACCACTGAGAGATGCAATAACATCCGGTTCCAAGATTCGGCCCACTGAAGGAGTCAGGCCAGTGTAGTTGATTCGGAACTTCCGAATCACGTCATTGATGTCGTTCAGTCGGTCCTCATCAGAGGGAATGCAAAGACAGCCGCCATTTCCGATGGTGACAAGCATGCTGTCAATGCTGACATCGAAAGCGTAGGACGCGAAATCCAAAACTCTGGACTCTGGAGTGTAGCCAACTGCCTCGCCTCGAGGAAGAGCGCTGCTTGTGTATGTTTCATGGGAAATCATCACTCCCTTGGGAGTACCAGTGCTACCAGAGGTGAAAATAATGTACAGGAGGGCGGACGGAGGCACAACCGGTAGGGTAGTGGTTGATAGAGAGTTCTCCAATTTTGTGAATGTCCCTTCGTCCACAACGAAGTGCTGACCACTGGGAAGAATTGTTTGGGCCAGTTCATATTGCTTGCGAGACGCAACCATCGACTTTGCGCCGACTTGCACACCCATGTTCTGGAGACGGGCCAGTGGAAGGGTTGGATCCATGAGAGCGAGAGTACCTCCAGCCTTCATCACACCGAGCACGGCGACAATGGTCCATCTTGACTTTTCGAAGCATACTGGAAGGACGTCGTGTACCTGGACGCCCATTTCGACGAGCGAGCATGCTACATAAGTAGAATACTGATCAACTTGACCGTAGGTCAAGCTGCCGTCCCAGGAATCAATCGCGACTTTGTCTGGGTGTTCGCGAGCTCTCTCGGCAATTCTGTCTTGCATACAGAAGCTGTGTGTAGGAGGCAGCTTGTGGTTCCACCCCCAGATGTCGTTCAGATCGCTTTCTGTCGGTTTCAGGCAGTCTTGGATGGTCGTATCGGAGCTTGAAAGGCACACTTTGATAGTATCAGCTAGCGCCTCGATATGGTGTTTCACTGCGTATGGCAGCATCTTCTCGATGTGCCACACTGGGCGGATTTCGAGGCGCGCATTATTGAAGCGAATTTCGACATGAAGTACATCCTTGCGATTACGGTTAGCTATTACCTGGAATCCAGGTTTTATCACGGACTCACTTCATCTTTAGTTTCTCCAGGCTCTCTTAAAAGGGAGCTTGTGCTCAGAACTAGGGACGCCGGATTTGAAGCGGCTTGTGAACCTGTCGCAATATTGCGCGCGATTGTCGCACCAACTTCTCCGACATTACTTTGTAATCCGCTCATTACTTCATTCATTGATAGCTTGTTGACTGGCTCCTGCACCACATAATCCGCGTCATGTTTGTAAGTCCAGTCGTAGGATATTTGGGCATCTTCGCGGCTTCGCAGAAGAACCATGAGCCATGAGAGCAACACCACCTCCTCTTTCATGCCGGTCGGACTCGGGGTATCAGAGGCAAGGCCGGCTATATCGAAAGACACAAAGTCGTCGCCATTGGCCTGCGTTGTCGTCATTTTCTCGACACCGTTTGTTGGCGCACAGGATAAATTCGCCTGTTCGAGCGGAATGAAACCCATCTTAACGGTAGACCAGCACAGCTGGTCCTAGATCCCTGATCCTGACGTGAAGAAGGAGTGGGAGCTCTTAAATTTGGAGCGGGTCGACTTGGCGGAAGTGGTATAGCTGACTCTTATACTAAGCCACGGTTCTGTCGCATTGTGCTCCACCTAACTTCCGAAGCGTCAACTTTTCCCTGCATTTATTGCGCATCTTGCCCGAGGTCGGCTATTGCGGGGTGGGTTCAACTCGAAAGAATAAACGGGCCGGAGCCTGCTTAGGTTTCATATTGCCCGTTGAGATGGAGTTCATACTGTACTGTAATGTAAATGACTGATCCACATGCGGGTAGTGCGTCATACAGAATAAAACGTAAAAAAAAAAAAATATATTATATAAATTGGTTCCAAAGGACAGGGAATCGACCCAAGCCAATTTTCCTATGGGGCTAGTCGGGGGTTTGATGTTAGGCTAGGAAATACCGAGACATGAGGGGAGAACGTGGTTACATTTCGAGCGCAGCAGCCCTACCCCCTAACTGAAATGGAAATAAAATCCGTTGCACGGATGATTCGGAGACTGGCTGTGCATGAAGACCCTCTATTGTGAAGTTTTTCGGAAATGCCCGATGCAATGCCCAATGGGAGCGAGGATCTTTGCGACATCCTGTCACTCCGAGACCCACTCAGATCACACGCGTCCGCATTTCTCGTTCTTAATACTGATTTGTTACAATCAAAAATATATGCGCTTGGTCCGGTTGATACAAAAACATGGACGGAGAAGGGAAAAAAGCAAAAAGCAAAAAATGGCTCTGGTTTTAGCGTCTTACGTGTACCTGCTCTTTTGAGTGATGTCTTGGCTCGCTTGTCGAAAGCCTCTGCAGTCTCGCGAACGCCACAATATCCATGAGCCCCTCTTCTTCTATGTTCTCACCGTTGGTTGACGAAATTGCAACGTTGAACTTTGTAGTTCGACTTGACTTTTGGCCAAGCATCTCATAATGCACCTTCTTTGGCAGTGATCTTCTGCTAGAAGCTTGAGTCGGGTAGGGCTAGCTATCAAGTGACCAAGCGTTCCTAAGCATTCAGGAGAAACTTGGCCTTCGAAGCTCATGTATAGCACAGGTATTGCTGAGGTGCAACGTGAAATTAACTCCGATCTTGCCCGAATAGAGTTTTCACCGAGGGGCAATCTAATCAGATTCGACCTGATTCGACCAATCAATCTAATCAGATCCGTTGATCTTACCTATCTCCGACTAGCGCTGTTCGGTGCATATGTACCGTGTTCCTAGCAGAAACGGGGGATGGTACTTGACCTACATTGAGCTCGTATCGGAGCTTTTGTGGGCTCCTTGGCCCTGCTAGGCGAGACAGACTCTACAGTAGCGCGAACCCACTTAGTGCGATACCGTTGGTATTCACGCAATACTCCCGTATATTACGGTATCGGTATATCTCCAGGTGATACGCAACCTATACCTGGTATTACAGAAACCCAAACACAGCATTTCAACCGTGCAATCCCTGGTCTTGGCTGCGAAAAGTGAGACTTGTTACCTAATAATCCCGGCTCGACACGGCGTAATCAGATTGATAAGATGCTCTGAAACATTTGACCGGTGGATCGCATTCGGTCTCCCTAACCGATGCAGAATCCCACAGACTGCGTCATGCGGAACCTCAAAAGCCCGAGCTCGGCAAATCGAACGATCCACCAACTTCCTCCCCTAGAAACAATCCTCAAGCTTGCCCATCCTATTGTATCAGCATCTACGGGCCAACATGTCTAAATTCTGGCCCAAGGGAGGCCTCCCCGGCATCTTGCACCACTACGTGAGTTTCTGCTCCCCACAAAAGGTCAATTAGACCCTGACGGGAGCTAATACCACCCAGACCGAAACCCTCGTCACATTCGAATATGCCTCCAGCACTGTCCGCCAACCACACAGTCTCCTCTTCGTCGGAGGACTAGGCGACGGCCTCGCAACAACATCATACATGGCCGATCTCGCGCGCGCATTACAGCAATCCGAATGGTCCCTCTTCACCTTGAACCTCACCTCCTCCTACCAATCCTGGGGCCTTGGCCATCTGGACCGCGACACGAGCGAGATCGCGCAGTGTTTGGAGTATATTAAAGAATATAAGAAAGACAAATTCGGCGGCGGCAAGATCGCCGTCATGGGCCATTCCACCGGCAGCCAATGCGTGCTGCACTATCTTTCCCAAGCAAACCCCCATACAAACGTCCCAGCCTTTGACCCGGATGTCGAGCACATTAAGCGGCCCGTGCTTGATGGCGCGATTATGCAAGCTCCCGTTTCGGATCGCGAGGCTATCTTTTGGGTTTTGAAATGGGGCATCGGTGATACGACGCCTGAGAAGGCTCGTGCTGTATACGATGAAATGGAGTCACTGGCGCGCGAGGCTGTTGCTCGTGATTCCAAGCATGATACTATACTGCCTTTGGAGTTGACTTCCATGATTTATCCTGCTAACACGCCTATTAGTTGCAGGCGGTTCTTGAGTCTTGTTAGTCCCGAGAGTCCGCAATCGCCTCAGGAAGATGATCTGTTCAGTTCTGATCTGAGTGACGCGCACTTTGGGAAGACTTTTGGTATGATTCATGAGCGCGGATTGCTCAATCATAAGTTGATGGTCTTGATTTCTGGGAAGGACCAGTCTATTCCTGATTGGGTTGACAAGGATAAGATGCTGGCTAGGTGGCAGAATGCTACGGATCACAATGGCAAATATCAGATCTGGGATGACCAGCATACGGGTGTTATCCCTAATGCTTCTCATGCTTTGAGCAATGATGATCAGGCGGAGCCGCGCAAGTTCCTTGTTGAGAGAGTGCTAGGATACTTGAAGACAGCGGCGGAGAAAGCATAGGCTACGAATGTATACTAGGGTTTCAGGCGTTTTATATAGACTATGCAACAAAATATCACCTCCAACAGTCAATGCATGTAAACACTAAACCGGTTGGAGATTAAGCGAAGATCGAATGCGATAAGAAGCCAGGCTGTGTGGAGCGTCAGCTGACGAAAGATTCCAATATCTTCACCTGTTCGATTGCAACTAAGAAATTCACACAAATATCATTCGGTTTCATAGATAAGACTATAGGAATCATCGGATGTGGTACCTGCTCAGACTCGTCCTTGTTCGCCAAAACGACCCATTAACAAGAGAAACAGGAAAAATGGGCATAGCAATCGTCTCCGGCTGCCTCAATTTACTACGCCACGACGGCAAAAGCGAATCACTATTTCACTCGTAGTCAGCACAAAAACTACCGTCTCGCATGATCGCCTGCTAGCTCAATTCACAAACTATACCGACGACGGGTGGAGTTCCGTCGGCCAGGTACGCGATGCAAAACACTCGATTCGGAAATAAGTAGGAACTTGACCATTATGGATGGCTGCGAAATCGTCATCGTAGCATTCAAGCCGCACATGGCGCTAGAAATCTTTGAGTTGGATACTTGTGAAGAGAGCCCTAGCAGGAAAAATGGTAATCAGAATCCTGTGAGGTGTAACGATTGTAACGACGCAAGAGACAAAGGGTTGGACCAAAGACGGTGATCAGGATTATTATCCTCCTCCCTGCGTTGTTCGGGCAACTCCCAATATGGCGGCACAGATTGGCAAGCCTATGACTATTGAACGCAATGACATGCTACACCTAGCTCAACAGGGGGATCTTGTTTGGATATTTAAGATACTTGGGCATGTTGTCAAGCATATTGATGCCGATGGATTCGATGCCGCCATTATGCTTGCCGGGTCATCAATGGCTCTTCTGTCTGTTGCGTTGGATGGACTACTCGATGGCAGTGTCAAGAAGGGCCGTAAAAGAGCTGATGCCCTGGATCTGGCTGCCCATGCGACGCTGGGTATGGCGGAAATGTTTCGCACTGGAGTGCAGCTTGCTGACTTCCAAGAGTGTTTCGTCACGGGAGGTTCGACTATCACGGGGTTGACCACTGTTGAGAGTGCTGGCGTGAGGGGAGCTTTTGCTCGGGGTACGATTGATGGGACTGAGGCGTTGCGGGAATGAATGATGGGGTCTGGTGCTCATACTTGCTGAGTGATCCCATATCTCATTCTGATACTAGCGTTTACGGCTCCTAAATTATGGGCGGAAGTTTCAAATATGTCTCCGTGGATCAAACATTAACTTTACGCCTCTCTTGACTACAATTTTCAAGATTCTGAATAGTCTAGGGGGTGTTTATTGCAAGATGTTCTCATATCTGATGGTCTGATACTACTGATTAGGCTCTGCTGTATTTGGTTATATGGATTGACATAGATTAGCCTTTCGCTTCTATTGACTATATATGATATTTTAATATCATCGATTAAGTTCCGCCGTATCTAATGCATTTCCGTGGGTGGACATAGGTTGACATTATGCGTTTTCGTCTGACTAACTTTACAGGATTTCGAATGGTCTAGTAGTTATTCTTACTAGGCGTCCAAGTTCTGTTGTATAATCTGTTGAAGTTTCGTGTCTACTATTTTCATGGGTTAACCTGGATGGAACTTCCTAGGTGGCGCTTCTATTGATTGAAAATTCCAAATGGTATAGTAGTTATTCTTACCAAGTGTTGTAATGTCCCTATATTGCGCCTTTTATCCGATATAAGCATCCACGGTCCGCTATATATAATTTATTTAAGCTTCATGTCTATTTCCACGGACCAATATAGATTAACCTTACCCTTCTATTCACTACGCTATGCTGACAATTTTCCTGCTAGGCAGACACTAGCATATAGAGTCTACTTGTTACATGACAGGTTGAAGTCCTCCATAACTTACCCGTTTCTTACATAGACCAACCGTACAATCCTACATTTACACTAACTAATTACGAGACAACGCGTGATTAAAACCGGATATGTATCCATTGAACAATACACTCGAAAAGATAGAGTACATACACAGAAAAACAATCCAGCACGGAAAGATGGAATATATAGAACCAAAAAGGAACCAAAAGAAAAGGGGAAAGACAAAAGATTGGAAGACAAGACGCTCAGCTCAAATGCACCGAATGGTATCTAGTCGTCAAGATGAAAGTGAACAAAAGTACAAAACGAAAAGGAGATGAAAAAAGATGAAACCCGGGAATTTGGATGGGGAAGTGATCAGATCAGTTGTGACAGAGACAGGTATGGAGATGGCAGATAGACATCGATGGAATAATATGGCAAGGAAAAGGAAAAGAGTCGAAGTCAAGGTCCAAGGAAATATGTAAAGAACGGGAATCGTATGAGATGATTAAATTAGAACATGCCACCATCAACAGGGATGGCAGGAGGAGGGTATTGAGGGACAGCAGGCGGAGACCCGGACCGAGATTCCTGGCGCGCCCGCGCGTTCAGGTTACCACTCTCACTGGAAGCCTTGCGAAGACGATTGCGAGAGCGGGGACGGGATTCATCGTCCGGGAAGACGCTTTGCTCCTCCATAGTGCTGGGAGCTGGCGATGCAACCCGCGACGAGTCGTGCTTGTCGCTCTTGAAGGCACCCAGGATTGTTTGGGTTGCTGTGCCGCGGCGACGGCGGGGGTTCATCGGGGGAAGGGGTGGTGCGCCGCCGGATTGAGACTGGAGGCCGACAAGGGGGACGTTGGATGTTGAAGAGACGAATGTCGGCTCTGAGATTTGCTTCTTGTTCACCGGGCGCTTGAGGAGGGAGGTGTGTCCTGGGGCACGTTGGGGTGTTGTGTGGAAAGAACTGGCTGCGGAAGCTAGAGACGTGGATGAGGCGTCGGCTGGGACCTCGTTCAGAGGAGGAGTTGCGTTCGCAGAGTAGGGGGGTGCAGCAGGTGAGGGCCGGGGCGAGGCGCCGATGACTGAGGATGCGTTGGAGTTGGAGAAATGGAACGGACGCTCGTACTGGAAGCTCGGGGTGCCTGAACGGCTGGTGCTGCGGTATCTGCCCGAGGCGGCAGAGGGAGCACGGTCAAAGTTCAATGGCTCCGTCATCTCAACGGATGGGCGGTTGGAAGCGGGGAGAGAAATGGGCATGGGAGGCTCGAAGCCTTCAGGAACAACGAAGTTATCGTGCGCAATTACGGACCCCTCCTCCACGGTCTGGAGATCATCCCGCTCGCGGTATCTGGTCCGGCTCTTGGAGCGGCCAGATGCATCAGAGCCTGAACGGTCTCTCTGGGATCGGAAGCCCCCGTGTGGGGATGGCCCACGGCTGCGGCTGGACTCGCGTGATTCCTCGTGGCTGTTGTTACGGCTGAGAGTTGGCATACGGGATCTGAACGAACGCTCTCCAACTTGGGGAGAGCTAGAGTTGGAGTGCTGGCCAAAGCTGAAAGAGGGACGTTCCTCTCGCCACGAGTCATCCGAAGCAAGGGCGGGGGAGGACGAGTTGTTGTAGCCAAACAGCTTTTTCTGGTCTGGCTTGGGCGTGGCTTGCTTGCTGGCCTTGTGCTTCAAGAGAGCGAATGCGTTTCCAGTTCTGGTGAAGTCGGGGGTTGAACGGCCAGGAGTAGGGCTGCTGGATCTGCTCTCGCTCTCGGCAACGCTTCGTAGCTTCTCCTGCACTTTTCTGCGTCGTTCGGCCAGTTCAATGGCGAACTCCTCGCGCTCCTTCTGGGTGTCGGTGCTTCCGTCACGGCGATGGGAGAATGATGCCATTTCCTCTTTCCATGATGGAGTCTTCGACGCGGAACCGCTGTCCCCAATAGTGCCAGGGGCAGAAGAGTCCTGGCTGTTGCGGGAACCAGCTCCCTCTGCGAAATGACTTGAGGGAGCCTGCGAGCTTGCTGTACTGGGACGTGCAGCTGATGACGGCCGAGAATCTTCACGGGATTGTGGCATAGAAGTGTGAATTGGCTGGTCGGTTTCCTTTGGCACAGTCTCATCCGGCTGATGCTCAGGAAGACGAGGCGAGGGTAGAGGGAAGATGGAGGATCGATCACTTTGCTGGCGAAGGTGAGAGCGAACCATTCCGCCCATCCCACCGAAACCTGGGTCTGCCTGGATAGTCGGGGAATCAGCTCTCGTCGGGACAGCTTCGTGCGGGGAAACGGCATCAAAAGTTTCATTCTCCTCAATGGGCTTGAGGTCGCCTAGATCCGAGTATCTCACTTCTGGAAGAGTTTCGAGGTGATCCTTGGCTTGGGTGGATGGGGCGTTAGATGCCACGCTAGAACGCTGGATCGACTGGCCATACTCTGTTGCCAAAGATGTGGCCGATGAGAGGTCGTGCGAGCGGCGATCATCGCCTTCATCCCCCGAGTCGCTGGCAGTCGAGTTGGCATAGAAAGTCTTCGCTCCAGGAATATAGGGGGAAGCCTCGGTGCTGGAGGCGCGGGAGTGATCAACACCACGGTGCGCCTCACTGCTGTAGTGGGAAGAAGCGGACTCGGCTCTAGAGCGGTAGCTGGATTTGGACAGTCCTCGTGGGCGGTTGCTGACAGGCTCTGCGGGCAGAGGCCGGCGGGGGGGTGATGCCCTTCGCGGCGGCGGGGTATCTCGTCCTTGGTGCATCTGAAGCTGACGACGGGAGAATGCTTGCTCGTCGAATCCTGTGGCAGGGCGGTTGAACAAGCCCATGGCAGTGGCCTTACCATGGTCTTCGGGGTGAATTGAAGCAGCCAGAAGGGCGGTAACATCCTCAGCCTCGCTGGAAGGAGGGCTCAATGGAGGAGCAGCTCCGAAAGTTGCTGCTGTTGGTGAGAGGCGATCCTTCACAGAAGTCTCTCCGGAAATGCGAGGCTTGGGAGATGTCGCGGACGAAGGTGGGCTGGTAGGAGAAGTCGAAGCTGGCTCATTAATCGCAAGCTTCTGCAGGCGATCACGCAGGTTGCTCGCACTCCGAGAGTAGTTGCGGTTCAAAGAAGGAAGGTCAGGCGTTCCTGCACGCTGGCGGCTCAGACTCTCCAGGCGATGCAGAGTCGAGGTCTGCTGGTTCTGGGCTGCCTGAGTCAATCCCTGGCCATAAAGTCGACGGGATCGAACCGAGCCAGTTTTGGGGTTAGACATGGCAGAGCCAGACCGATGGGGCTCAGTTTCTGGGAATGGATACCCAACCGCTGGAGGCTGTGATGATGCGCTTAAAGGTGACTCGTCGACCGACGTCGCGGGAGTCAGTGAGTGAACGTTTGACAAAGGTCCGGAGGCAGTAGAGGAATATGTCGTCCGGTCGTTCGATGAGACAGTCGAAGGAGCGTATTCTGATTCCCGAGCAGCAGCCTCGCGCGCCTCCTCCGCAGTCCTCTCTTCCTTCTCCTTAAGACGCATTCGCTGAAAAGCCGAAAGATTCATGTCGTGTTCATATACCGGCTTCCCCATTCCCCGACTACCGCTCTCTGGCGCACCGGTAGGTCCCCCCGGGCCTCGAACCGGGATCTTATACACCTTCTGGCGACCCCCAAACAGGTTATTGCCTTCCGCCCGACGTCCTCTGCTCATCATACTCCCGGCTTGTGATCGGTCATCGTCTGTGCCGTATCCATCTCCCCCAGAGGCGAATGAATCCGTGCGGCCGAGGGCCATGGAGGGTCTGCTCCCGTCGTTGGAGGAGCATTCATCGATATCCGCGAGCATATTAGGGTTGTGGCCGAACAGATTCAATCTTGAGGCGCGTTTGGGAAACAACACGCTGTCGTCACTCGCCTTGCCGAGTAATGAGAGCGGGTCATCCTGTTCCTTCAGCATGCTAAACCGAGCCGACAGCTTCGGCATTAGCAGACTGGTGCGGAAGTCATCTGTTGAGGGGAGGGCGGCTGAGAGGTCGAAGTCGGGTTTGGGTTCCTGCACATCTTTCTTCTTGGATCCCTTTAAGCCGAATGTTGGTGACTCCCCCTCGAGACCCCCTAAGGTGTCCTTCACCTTCTTATTCTTGCGGAACCGGTTCATCATTGGTAATGTGAGTTCGGGAAGCAGGCCGTAATCGGCGAGAAAGGAATGTACAGTATCGCAACGGGTGGGCAATGGATTGAACGAATGTCGGTTATGTGGAGTGTACTTTAAACGCCGATAAATCAGTATATGCCCCCTCAATTGGAAAGGCTGACTCACTGGATGTTATCCAGAGGATGAAGAGAGCGGCATGATCTAAGTCAGAGAGAGAGAGAGAGGTTGAAAGTCCGAAATGCCAGAGATATCTGGAGTAGACAAATCACATAGGGAACGCGAAGAATGTCACGATTTGGAATGGATCCAGGTCCCTTAGCGTCGAAGTAAAATTAAAAAATTAAAATGAACTTCGGGATCGTCGAGCCCACCGTTCACATCACAAAGATGAGATGTTTCGAAATGAAAGTACAGTTTCTAGTCACTGAAATATACTATAGACTGTACTTGTTTGTTTACATTCATACTATATCCTCTGAAACCTGAAGTTCAAGGGGCTACCCGAGAGACATCCATGGAACTCGTGTATGGTATGGTCATAAGTCAGTGTTCAGATCCCCCCCACACGCCAAATATGCCCTAAATTACCGTCACACAATACATCCCCTTGCTTCATCCCTCCAACTTACTATCTCGGTATATGTCTCTCTCCTCTCGGTGGAACCCGGGGCTGAACGCCACCTCTCTACACCATGCGACACTGGCCAGACATGTACATGTGTCTACAGTGCATCCAAACAGTCGTGGGAACCGACAAGACGAAATCTTTTCCCGAGATCCGAGGGCCTGGACACGGGAAGCAAGATCGTCGCTTTATTACTTCATACCAGATCGGAGCTGAAATCAAATGGAGAAGGTGATCCAGTCCAACCGATGGAGTTATTATGAATCATAAACTGAGCATCAGACTCTGATGTCAAATGATATCAAATAGACCATTCAACTCCTTGCATGGCAGACAGCCCGCAAGGGAAAACCAAACCGGGGTAAACCAATCGCCCAGCATAAACGGCAAATTGGCAGATTCGCCTCTGCAACACTGGTGTCCTGCCTGCTGCATAGGGCATGTACACGAGATCACTATATTAAATATGGCTAACATGGCTGAGATTAGCGAAATGGATATGGCGTGCAGGACTCAGCCACAATATCAGACCAGTCCTCAAGACCCGGCCAAAAATAAATCTCCTTGCGGGCTACAGGCGACAGTATAGAATGCATTCATTTTATTTTCCGCACTGCAGGACCTCCTGCATTGTGCAGGACCGATGGGGGCTGTAAGTTACTCCGTCAGCTACATATATCCAGATTTTTGCTAGATGTGGATCCCACCCGAAAATCAGAACCATGGGCTGAAATGGAGACCGGCATCTTCAAGGGCGTTCAGGGCTCCAGGTCCGGCATTAATAATACAGAGTTTATTACAGTTAGAAAGTTGCATCATAAAAAGGAAAGGTTCAAAAAAAACAAGTCATGGCGTGGAACCCATGAGATCACCAGGACCGAAAGCGAGAAAGCCTAGAACGGTACATGTAACCGGCGAGCGGTGACAGCCGTTGGTAAAGCTTCCTCGAAATGAAAAGGAAGAGAAAGGAAAAAAGACTATTGGAAGTGTAAGGTATAGTGCCCCTGACTAGTCCCAATGGGGATGGTCACTATGTTCCCCGGTCCACTGTTGTAGAGACACAAAACAAGAATATGGTAGATCGAGATTGATGTCATTAATCTACGATTTAGGGTTGTTGGATATACATGTAGTATATATACGGTCCGTGTATACATACTCCGTGCTCCGTAAAAAATAAAAAATAAAAAATAAAAAAAGCAAGACAAACGAAGCAGTCCTCCGTAGGATGTCCTCGTGGGCACAAAATCCAGTTTAATCTCCGATACTGGATCTATCACCTTTACATGTACTGTAGTCCCAAATATAGTGCCGAATAGTACTCCGTACTCCGTAGCTTACAATGTCCACCGTAAGTGTGCATGTACCTTGCATGGATCTATAGTCTCAACAATGCAATGTACAATACTCCGTATTGCATGATACCAACCACCAGAACTGATATTCACCACGATCAGCACGGAAACCAACAACCGATCCGATCGCGAATATCCGGACGAGCGTGCCGGGTCTCGAACCAGTGATTGTCGATTGTCGATTGCCGCACGAACGCGGCACACAGTAAAATTGCCTTCGCGAAAGCTACCAAAGAAAGTCCCGGCCCCAAAGGTCGTAATTGGCGGGTCCCCCTCTCTCGCTCCCCATTGTGCCCCGTTTCGAGAGGGGGAGGGGGCCGGGGGCACCAGTCTCTGAGGCTGTAAGCTTGAAGCCGGCGTTTCAGGCGATGAAAATTGCCAGGCGTTGGGCGGAGCTAGGTTTGGGTTTGGGGCTTTTTCTCGGGTATCAGAGGGGTTATAGAGTTTGGGCCAAACGTGCCTGTGTGGGCTCTTTTCTCTTCTTTTCTGCTTGAGGCTTATGGTCAAACTGCTAACTGCTTCAACGGTCCTGGGCCGTTTTGGTGGGGTCGTCTTGAGGGTCTTGGCTCCGTTAATCAGAGAAGGTTTTTTCCTTAGTGCTTCGCTACGATTTTTGGTGCTTGTTAATTTATTTCTGACTGCGTTCTAGACCACGGTTTGGTCTTTGTTGGGATTCATGGTTATAACTCAATGTAGATTGTTTAAATGATGGAGGGCTTTAGAAAAGGCCATGGTTAAGTAGGATATATACGCGACCTCACACAAGCACCACCACGCATATATATAGCCTGACCTTTGTAGCATAAGAAATAAGAAGATAGCTTAAGAGACCAAACCTATACCTACAATTTCTAATTGATGCCCTAAAAGCACCCCAATTTGGTCAGTACCCAGAAAATAATCAAAAAACCAAAGGCAGAATGATGCAAAATGTAGGTTACCATTGACATAGAAAGAGAAAAAAGCTGCACGCTCGCTGAACTCTCCGTCAAACAGGAATCCACCCCCGACTCCACATTACCACAGGGGGTCCAGATGATTCGCGAGAGGAGGACAGAAGACAAGACAGGAGAGAAGAGAAGAGAGAAAGATATAGAGGAACAGGGTGAGAAAGGAAGCACCTTTTCATTCATACAGGATCCCACCCAATCTAGAAGGGAAACGGGGGAGGAAAAAGAAGAGAGAAAAGGAAGAAGAGACACAAAAGGAAAGGTCGTCTGCTCATAGCGCAATAACTGCTAAAAGGGTTGGCTCCGAGAATGATAGGCCCAGAATCCAATCCTAATTCAACTGCTTATTTGCCGGCTTCCCAGCCTACCCAGCTACGGGGCATCACACGCCAGACCTTGCACTCGCCACTGCGGAGATCGTTCAGCTTGAAGCTTTCCATCTTGACCTTCTTGCTCTCGCGGCCTTGTTCCCAGGCTCGGATCTTCTTCTTCGTGCCGTCCCAGTCAACGACGATACCTACGTGGTCGGGCTTGCCAACCTCAGCGCTGTACTTCTGGTGCATTGTGCCACGGTGGCCTTGGAAGCGAGCGTTGCGGAAGCTGACAATGTCACCAGCGCGGATTTCGTCGTTCTGGGATACAGAAGCATTGGCCAGGTTTGAATAGACCAAGGCACCGTATCCACGAGTGCCGACGGGGAGAAGAGCGTCAGATAGAGGGTTGAGCAGGTACTGCACCAGTCCAAATGGAGTGCCGTCTCCAACGGTGGAGTTCTGAATCGAGTTGACGGCTTCGGAAATCTTGGTTCCAAGATGGATATGGGCCTGCTCTAACTGATCCTGACGGGGCTGGAGAGGTGGGGACTCATGGCGCTGCTCAAGAGAAGCATCCGCGGGGTTCTTAGCGTCGAATTGGACATTCACGATCGTCTGGGAGTAATCGATGAACAGAATATAAACGTCCTTTGAGACCGATGTCTTTCCACCGCGCTTCGTAGAAGCAGACTCCTCGATCTCGAAAAGTAGATCCTTGCGGTTTTGGAAAACCGGAGGTGGAGTGTTGGGTTGGGCCCACCAGAGAGTAGTCTCAGAGAGATCAACATCGGCAGCAATGTAACCAAGATCAACCGACGGGCGAGAAACATCCATGGACCGACGAAGGTTAGGCTGATTTCTCAATAGATCCATCGATGCGCGCTGGCTTCGGGCTGCAGATGGAGATGGCATGCCTGGAGCCTGGCTTTGAGGAAGCGGAGGAACCAACGAGGGCCGCTTCTGGTGCGAAGCAGTGGCACTTCCCTGTGCTGGACTCTGCAGTTCTGGAGGGGCGTCATACAGATCATCATAGTCATCGTTCGCTTGCTGTGGCGGCGGAGGAGGAGGTGGCGCCTCAGGGCGCCCCTGCGGAATACCGGGAGATTTGGGGAGGCCATGCTGAGGAGCGGTGTAGTTGAAAGGATCATATTCATCATCATCACCACCAACCGGCTCTCTGTTCGGTGGGGGAGGAGGAGGTCCCCTGGGTGTGTCGATAGACGCGCGAGCATTACGGGGCGGCTGGGTTGGGGGTGGAGGAGGAACGCCTCTAGGAGCCGTTGGCGGAAGAGGCGGGGGGTTGCCGAGCTTCCTGGGGGCTACGTGGAGAATGAACAGAGACGTCATCCGTAATAGTACCCTCGTCAAAGCTGGAGTCACGCTCGTGAGACTTCAAGGCGTCCTTGTGTTTGACTCCCGATGCAATATCAGTGTCGTAATCCCCATCGTATTCGGTCACCTCCCCTTCTGCCTCTTCTCCAGCCTGTCGGGGACCAGACATCGCACTGGTGCGACTGTCAGTAGTAGATCGGCGACGAATTTGGCCGGGAGGAGGTGGAGGCGGGGCGCGTCCCTGCGATGGTGGCAAGGGTGGATTGGTTGGGATAGGAGGTGGTGGACGACTGGCTCTCTTTTCAGCCGCAGGGGTCAGGGCTGGAGAGGAAGCAGAGTCATACGTCGAAGAACGACGAGAATCCAACTGATCAGGCATCGCAGGAGCAGGCACAGCCGGTGGAGCAGCCGTGGGCTGACCCGTAGTATTCAATGATAGGTTGCTTGCATGGACCGACAATTCATCATCGGACTCTTCGCCCTTGTCAGCGGTGGTGGGTCTGGGTGGAACAGGCACAGGCCGGGCTGTTCATTATAGTCAGTATTGAGTTACAAGAATAAGAATGGAAAATTCGCAACATACCTCCAGGAACTGGCGGAGGGGAACCCGGTTGTTCAGCTGGCACAGGTGGAACAGGCCGTGATTCCCGAGGAGGCGGAGGAGGAGCCGAACGTTCTACGGTATTTAGCAGTTGAAATCAATCATCATGTTGTTGGTGTATCTTACCTTGAGATGGAGGTGCCGGGGGAGGCCGGTCAATAGATCCACGAGGAACTGCGCCTTCATGGACGACCTCTTCAACGTCTGGCACCTCGCGTGCAGAGTGTTGTTCAGTGATGGGGGTCGCCAGCGTTTCTTCCTCCTCCTTCTCTACATCTGTAGAAGAGGGGACCGGCTTGGTATTCAAGTTCATTCCAGGAAGGGGGACCATAGGAACTGGGGGTGCAGCAGCGGGCGAGGTAGGCTCAGGTTCGGGCTCAGCAATTCTCTTCTCAGACTCGCCAGGGGTCTTGGGCTTGCGAGCACCAGCACCAGGGGCAGCCATGCCTGGCATCGGCATACCCCCACCAGGTGGTCCAAAGAGACCCATCATACCCATACCACCACTCATCTTTGCCATTCGCGCGCGCAGTTCCATTCTGCGCTTGGTTTCAGGGTCCAATTCCTCTTCTTCCTCTTCCTCTACCTCGTCCTCTTCTTCCACATCGGCCTCCTCAGCAGTTTGTTCAACAGCTCGGGTCGATGGTTGACGCTTGGAAACTGGACGAGGCTGCTCCTCGTCGTCATCCTTGCTTGTAGATGTCTCTCCTGCGTCTTCGGAGTCTGCAGCAGCGGAGGCATCGGCGTCGTTGGTATCACTGGCAATTTCCTCGGTGGGTGAGAAGGGGACGGGTGGTGGTGCAGTGGGAGCTTGGGCTCTCACTGTATCAACACTGGGATCCCGGGCGGCCGGAGCTCCTTCAACCAAAGGAGACTCTGGTCCCTCCTCAAAGGCTGCGGGTGTCACGGGAACTGCGGGGGCTGCAGGTTCCTCTGAGGACTTCTTGGGAGGGCGAGCGGGCTTCTCTTTCTTTTGAGCTGCTTCCGCGTGACGCTGAGCTTGCTCTAATTGTTGCTTCTGAAGTAAGGCAATTCGGTCTTTCAGACTGGTTGGTTTAGGCTGGTCCTCTGCATCCTCTTCACCACCTTCCATGGGAACAATGGGAGGAGGGCGTGTCTCGGAGACCGGAGGCTCGCGGGCAACCTGTTCCTTGACATCTGGGTCCTCCTCTCTCTTATACACCTGAGGCGCAGGCTCCTGGGCGGAGCCTTATAAGCATCCCGACTGGGAGGTGGCGCGACGAAAGGCTTCTTGATAAAAGATGGCTGAGAACCACCAGGCTTGAATGGCGTAATTGGTGCTGCAGCAGGCTTATTGAAGGCAGCAATGCGATCTCTGAACGAGGATCCCGAAGGCTTCTCCGCAACAGCTGGGGGAGCGGGTTTGGAGGACGGTGCCTTGGAAGCGGGTTCAACTGGGGCTACCGGAGGAGCGGGAGCGGGCGCCTTTGCCGGCTGCGGGGGCGACGATGCAGCTTCTGCGACAGAAGTAGTCGCAGGCAGGGGAGGAGATTGGGGCACAGGCGGCTGTGGGGGTGCAATGTCTTGATCATCCTCCGCGGGCTGTGCCTCTACCTCGGGCTCGGGCTGCGGGTGGCTTTCGATCACAGGTGAATGCACTGGCGCAGGTTCGGGCTCCTTCTTCGGCCTGGGACGGGATGGGCGCGGAGGAGCCGGGGGATCATACTTTTCGACGAAGTTTTTCGGGAATATGCCCTCCTGTTTAGCCCCCGAGGCGTCTGAGTATTCACCGTAGTACCAATCGTCGTCCTCCAGAGCGGTGACGGTCACGATCTGACCGATCGGAAAGGGGAGGTCGTCATCATGGCCCGAAGCATACTCGAAGACCGCCCGGACCGTAAAGGGCGGGCTGGACATCTGGCAAGTCGAAACCGAGGTTCAGACTTGTGGGGAGGGAGGAATGCTGAAGTGTGAAACGGCAATGTCGCTAGGATATCTGTACAGGACGAATCGCCAGCTTCAATACTTTTAGCATGCAGTGATGTATGGAGAAATTAATCAATTCCTTGGTGGTACGAAGGTGTGTCAGCTAAGATGAGACAGACGTCAATGAGTGGTGCCTGCTAGGAGATGAGGGGGAGGGGGCAACTACGGAAGCACTCACGGTGGAGAACCGAACACCCTCGTCAGGGCCAGTGAGGAAAGGATGCAAGATGAAACGGGAATATCGGAAGACGAGGAAGCAGATGAAGAGGGAGAAGGAGATGAGGTAGGTGTGGTCGTCACTTGGCGGGATGAGGGAAATGGGCTCCACTGACGATCGGCGGCTAACAGCAACCAGGGAACACGTACATGGGGAATATTCAGGATATCAACTTTTAAAAGTAGGCTATGAGGGCAGAGATATGTTTGTTTTATGGATGAGAGCAAGCAATAGGAGTATTTCTGTTCAAAGGGGTCAAGGATACGATACTACACAATATAGACCGGACACGGGGATAAGGCAACAATTTCTCTACAGTACTACAGCACAAGTAAGTACTTGCTGGCAGTAACTTAACAACACTACTAAGTTTGTGCTATGAACACCTGACATATATTGCTTCTGCCCAAGCTACGTCAGCAATCCGGGGTTTGCCTCTTCCGCTTTACCTTCTCCCCAAATTTTCTTTCCCTCTTCATATACCCCTATCTTACACCATGGCGCAACAATTAAAGACATCTCTCCCTGAAACCTTTGCAGCTCTCAACGCCCAACGACCATCGCAACCGTCATACCTATACCCCTCACAAGAAGAGCAAGACAAATACCTCCGAGGCAGACCCGGGGCTACACAACAGCATCTAGAGATCGCCCTACAGCACGCACAGCAAATCCAAACCCAAAAGGACGCCGAAGATGTCATCCTAAATAGCATCTTGGACCTCCTCGACCTCCCCTCCAACCCAGCCGCCGACCCAGCCGCACCGTCCGACGAAGATGCACGGAAGCTGAAAATCTCACTAGCCCCCTTCCGCCCAAGCGACTACGACAACCTAATTCTGGAGCGCAACTACAGCGAATTGTGCGGTTATAGTCTATGTCCGAAACAGCATCGGAAAGAAAACAGAGGCAAGGGCGGCGGGTTTCGGTTCACTTATGGTGCGAAGGGGAGCGGGCCTGGAGGACGCGGACGCGCCGTGGATATTGTGCCCCAGGACAAGGTCGAGAAATGGTGCTCGGATGCGTGTGCTGAGCGTGCTCTTTGGCTCCGTGTGCAGCTGTCTGAAGTGCCCGTGTGGGAACGGCGGGCTGGTGATACGCGGGGTACGATGATTTTTTTGCTTGAGGAGGCACGCGCTAGACGTCAGAAGGCTCCTGCGGCTACGGGCACTGTTTCTTCTGTTGCGGACGGTTTGCAGAATCTGAAGCTTGGAGATAGGTCTCGTGAGCTTGCGATAGAACGCGGTGATACCAGTGCTGTTGTTCGGAATGGACGTGTGAACGTCGATATCAGGGAGAACGAGCGTGCTTCTCAGCGGGCTGCTGATGCTCCGCAGTTGCGCCCAGAGGATGCCATGGGTGGCTCCATTGAGGGGTATGTGCCCAGAGAGCAGCAAGACCGGCAGGCTCAGGATCAAGATGGAGACATAGATGTGCTCGATCAGATCTGAATGGCAGAGTTTGCCATGGCGTTTTAGGGGTTTTTCGTCGCTTCATTGTATATACCCAACTTTTTTTTATGTTAACTACGAGAAATGAACAATCTACAGAGACCATGCAGTGTGGAGCTGGCTTGCAAGACTCATCTAAGAATCGATGCAGAGCTCAGACCAAAGGTCTCGAGCTACTCAATCCAAGATACAAGACCTTGAACGAGAACCCCTACGTCGTTCAGTCTGGAGGGTAACCCCTACCAGGCAAACACGAGGAAAATTGGCAATCAAGCATCATCTCCTTGCGGAGAATCAGCGACACCTTTCTCAAAGAGAATCATGTTTATTCATTCCTCATCCAGGAATAGCCTCCACTCTAAGCTAAACCAAAGCTAGCATGGGCGAAAGCCAGCCAGAACAAGCATCGTCGGGGAAACGCCGGGAGTCGACCGAAGACCAGACATGAAATTTTTCTTTTTTCCGTATTCCGGGCCGCTAAATTTAGCGGGGACCGAAGCGACGGGGACGCTCAGCCTGCTGCTGCTGGCTGACGCTGACGACGTTGACCTTGAGGTTGTCGAAGCCGAGGGACTTGAGGAGGTCCTTGGTGTCGGCATCGACATCGAGCTGGCCGGACTCGGTCTGGGAGACGTCGAGAGCGGAGACCTCGGGGACGTACTGGTCCTTGCGCTCACGCTCCTCCTCCTGGAGCTTGAAGGAGATACCGCGGACGGGACCACGCTGAATACGCTTCATCAGGTGGGTGGTGTAACCAGCAATCTACGGGAATTTCGAATCAGTATTTTTTGGTCGTGAGCGTGATGTTGTGGTCGTGGAATCTCACCTTGTTGCGAAGACGCTTGGAGGCAATGATGGCGATCTCATCGCAGATGCGCTTGTTGGTCTCGAAGTCGAGGGTCAACTTGGGGTAGTAACGCTCGATGATGACCTTAGCGGAGCGCTTGACTGTCTGTTCAAGAAGGAAAATTAGATTGGTAATTATCTTGCTGGTGTTGTCTTTGTATGCTCACCTTGGTACGGACGCGACCCATTTTGGCGGTTGTTGGCTGGCGGGATGGATGTTCGGAGATTCGAAGTGTATGGCCAATTTGGGTTGAGTTGATGAGCGGCTTTCGCTTAGCCCTGTGCGGGTCCTTGCCCTAGGCCCTAATCACGGATCACGTGTCGTGCTATCTTGATTATGTCATCCATTTTAATCTTGCCGTTTTAGGAAGGCACTACGTCAACTGTGTTTGGCCTGGATCCGGGACGCTGGAAAACAATCGCTCAGAAAATAATATATTGATGCATCCGATTTAATAACTATGACACAGTCCAAAAGAAAATGAGAGTAGCTTTACAAGCACCAGTTCTATCATACATCCTTTCCGCTCCCCACGAACTTCACTATTTCTTATGATCGAGAGTTAAGGTTGTCGAGGAGGCTGCGAGCGACATCTTCTGTCCCCCGCATAGGCCTTCTCGGGGTGGGTCGGTCACTAGAAGACTGGAACCGAGGCTGCTGGTGCGGGAGTCTGTCCAGTCGGGGAACTGTCTGGTCGTCGCTGTTGGCGACATTCGAGACGCTCAAGCTGTTAGGCTTGGAGTGGTCTTCAAGTCCGTAAGGAGCCTTGGATGTTGCACTCGCGCGGTAAGAAGAAAGGCCAATGCGACCCTGGGAATCAATGGCAGCGCGGATAGGAGTAACCCAGTATTTACCTCCACCGGGAATGGAGGCATCGAAGTAGGTGAGGCCGGGAGGAGTACCTTGCTCAACAAAGGCCATGGCATTCAGGTCCTCAACGGCGATACCACCCACACCGGCAATAGCCCGGTTCATGCGGCCCTTGAAGCGGCCCTTGGGGCGCAAGATGCGGGCCTCGACAGGACGCTGGTGGGCCTGCGGGCCATATCGGGCGTGGTTCTGGATCAAGGCGTGCGAGCGTGTGTACGACAGACCGGCAGATGGGTGTGTCTTAGGGGGTCCTGTCATAGCATATTCGGCAGAGGACAAGCTGGTTGCAGGAGCTTGGTAGTAGCTGCGTCCAATGCGCTCGCTGGGGATGGCAGGGCCGGACGGCAGGTCGAGCAGATCGAAGACGGCAGGACCAAGGGCGCTGGGGTCACTGCGCAAAGTCTTGATATAGGTCTTGAATTCTGCGTCGGTAATGGTGACGGGTTGATCAATCAAGTCCTCCCCATTATCCTGGGCCTCTTTGCGGATCTCGGCAGACCGCTTGGCGATGAACTGCTCACGCAGCTTCTGCATAAGCTCGGGCTTCTTTCGGCTGACTTGTTTCACGTAGTCTGCAAATTCGGCCTCTGTCTGCCCAGCGAGCCAAGGACCGCTGTGTCTGAATTGTTTGAAGCTAGGGTCCTGGATACCCTGGCTGTTTTGGCTGTTCTGGGTGTTATCAAGGTGCGCCTCAAACGGACTCTGGTGCCTCGGGAGAACGCTTGTGGCGTAATTGACTCTAGAAGGTAGAGACATGGGCATGTGTAACTCCTGGAACTTCTCGAGGGTCATGGTGTGGTCCGCGGCGGATTCGAAGTCGGTGACATGTTCGTAGGTATCGAGGGCGTTAACCCGGACGACAGGTCTCGATGACTTTTCTGATGTCGCTTTAGCAGGTAAAGGTCGTTTCAGACCCCAATCGCCTCGGGCTAGCGATGATTGCGGCGTAACAATGGCGGCTCGAATAGGGTGAGGCAGAGTTGCGGTATCGGATTCGAACACCGCTCGTGATGTTGAGGGCTCTTGAGAGGTTTTGAGAGATTGCGGAAGTGCGAATAAACGGGACTTCCGCAGAAGATTCGCCGTGGGCGACAGCCTGGCGGAGGCCATGTTGTTCAATGGGTAATTTGATCTTGGAGTTAACGCGAGAAAAGTTGGCCGGAGAACACGGGCCAAACTGGTAGGGTGCGACATAACGACCTAAACCGCAACTTTGTATCTATTTGATCTTGGCCCTTTTAGCTCTTCGCTATATGGTTAATTATGATAAACCCAGTTTATAGCTCGATTTCATCGGAGAAGGACCAAATTGAAATATCTTATTTATCATTCCGCTCTAACTCTATGACTCAGCCCAGGAAAATCCTAAGCACCAACAGCCAGAAGAGAATCGACAGTGTCCACGACTGTCTTCTTCAGCGGAGCATACTTGATTCCCAGAACATTTTGCGATTTACTGTTGTCGTACCCGTAAATGTCTTTCGGGAGGTCGCTGGGAGAGTCCTTCGGGGGCAGCTTAGACTCTAGCTCGGGGTGGGTGTCGCGAATAACATCCGCAATGTCCTTGTTTGTGAAGAAGCCAGCAGTGACAAAGAATCTCTCACCCCCAGCTTCAGGGACTTCAATGGCTCTGACATGTGCGAGGGCGACATCACGTACATCAACCCAGAGGAAGGTGCCCGATGGAGCTAATTTATCCTTCATGTCGCCCCGGATGAGGTTTCTCATACGCTGGTTTGAGGTGTTGATGGCCTCAAGAGAGTTCAAGTAGTGAACAACGGGACCAAACACCAGTGGTGGGTTGATAGTTGCAATGTCGAAGTTTGGCTTCTCCTGCTCGACAAACTCCCATGCTGCTTTTTCTGCAAAGGTCTGATACATCGTCCCTATTAGCTCTTGCATTTCCTTCATGAAGTCCCAACGATGACTTACCTTGCTAGCCCTATAGACCTTCGAATGGTCCAATCCTTCTTCCCAGGTCACTGGGTTCCAATCCTTCTCGCTATATACTTTGGGATGTTGATCGGGGTTCACGATAGCAGCGAAAGAGGATGTGATGACCACCCTCTTCACGGTAGGTGCATAGGCTTTGATGGCTTTCAAAATACCCGTAGTTCCTTTAATAGCAGGGTCAAGGAAGTCTTTTACGGGGTCTTGAACATTAAAGTGGAATGGAGATGCGGTATGAAGAACATAATCGAATGGAGGGCTAGACTTGACGGCCTGTTGCGTTTCAATTAGTCTTGCATATTCCATGAAAGCAATTTGATCCTGACCTCATCAAATGCGCCATCCTTGGCCACATCTTGAACAATCACGTAAGAGAGCTTCTCCTTTGATGCATCAGGGTGAGCCTTGAGAATCTGCTTGCCCTTCTCGTCCGATCGAACGGTCACGACAGTATCAAAGCTAAAGCACAGTTATTAACAGTCTGCAACCAGTTATAGGAAGATGGGGGACCTTGGACATACCCATGTTGCAGTAGAATATCGACGATGTGGGCGGCAATGAAGCCACTACCTCCTAAAGCAGAGTTAGACCAATTCGAGGCCATGGGTTTGGTGATACAGCGTACCAGTCAAGAGTACTTTAACCATTGTGATTTGTGTCTGAAAATGTTTGGGATTAAGGAGGACAGGAAGTAACTATAAAGGAGGAGCTTGGCTTTAAGTATCCCCCGGGGGCCCCTCCATCCCGTCATCACTCCACCGATAAGGTTATATGAGGGGTTCAAGATTACAAATACTCACAGGTCAATTTGATGGATATAAGAAGGATATCAGTTGTATCCAAGTAAATCCGTAAGTCCATTGGCTGGCCATGCCTGTCTACTTGTCAGCACGTACATAATTGCCGTCTTCCTTGGAAACTCGGCTTAACTCCGGGACCCGAGGCCCATGTCTAATGAATTCAGTCTTCACCGCTCAAACATTCCATCGCAGCTGAACACATCCCAGACTAGGTATTTGACACAGTTTGACTGCTACGTTTCCTTCGGACAAATTGTGAGGTCTTTCAAAGCTTCCGTGAGGACTAGAAGTTTGGAATATCAATATCCTTGAATAGCCCTCGCACATGCGTCGAACTAACACCTAGCGAGTATCAGTTATTGATTGCAAATATTCGTCAACGTTAATCATAGATAGTCTTCAAGTATGAAAAAATGCAGTTCCGGCCTCGGCAATGGCTTGAACCCAGGCCCTCAGTACTAGAGCAACCAACAGGTAAGCACCGGCGATTTGACATTGGTAAGTCAGCCTCTTTTCTTAAGACTTCCTCGATAGCTAGACCTTGGCTCAAATTCGTCGTTATACATCAATGGGACTAGGTCCTAGAGTTACTAAGCGCAATATGTACATTACTAGCGAAAGTCCCGCTCTCCCTTAAAACGCTTCGAATTTCCGACGCGCTTCAATTTCCCAACCTTGAGGGCGTTATTGCTGAAGAAAATCCAAGTTTTCTCGCATGTATCCCTTGCACACTCAAATCCACGCTTCGCTATCCATCATCGGCACGGCTCGTGCTGAACTTGTGCTGAACTACAGTTACTTGAAGCGTAAAACACCAGACTTGGTTAGAAATATTAGTCTTCTATTTGAGTTAGTGTGTGTTTACCTTTGTATGACTAGAAATCTTGAAACAAACCAAGCTTTATAGACGTGGCAAATACCATATAATAGGGGTCAATACGCTATGCACCTTTCCGCCGCCAAAGCAATACTAAGATATCAGCCCCAGTTAGCAGCAGAGTGAATGTGAGATACAGACGTAAGGATACCTAGGCTACTTCTTTCTGCGCTCTCTTTCTTCCTTTCATTCTCCTCAGTCCTTCTTTATTGAACCTTATATGCCTCTCTTGTTGTACGACCCTTGCGTTGTCTAAATTATCTTGCTAGTTCACTTCACTACAGGATTCCAGAAGAATTGTGCATATTTTAAGAAGGACTGACCATGTTAGTGCTACCAAAACAGTTCACATGATAGTGTAGTTGGTAGGGGGCGCCCAGACAAAGATCAATGTCAATGAATCCTTTCACCGTATCAGTATAAATAACACTCCTGATTTAGGATTAGGATCATACTGATAATGCTGTTATATGCAAACCAGAGCCATCTGTAGGCATGTTATACAATAGACGTTAGATAAGTGAGGGTCGCACGTCGGGAACTCCAAACTGGCCCGTGCGCCCCTCGACCTTCTCCAGGCCTCACACATGACCATCCCTCTACCAACTCTATGCACTTCGCGTCTTTCTCTTACCCCTAGAGGTTGACTTCCAATGTCCACCTTGGGGTGTGTTTTGCAAATATGGCACAAGCAGGTGCAATGACGGACGTTACCCAAAGACTGTTCGTGGAGCTTAAGTCAAAGAATGAGGAGGCCAGAGCCAGAGCTGCCTATGAGCTCTACGACAATGTTCTCTCTGTCTCCAGAGGTACTGCCACGATTTTGGACTTCGGTGTCTGTCTGACTTGACTAATGTACCCACTTCTACAGATTGGCCCTCCGAGAAGTTTGTCGAATTTTACAACGCGGTTAGCCAACGCATCGCCCAACTCGTGGTAACCGGCGGTGACGCAAACGAGAGAATCGGTGGCCTGCTGGCACTCGATCGACTCATTGACTTTGACGGTGTCGATGCAGCCCAGAAAACAACGAGATTTGCCAGCTACTTGCGCAGCGCTCTTCGCAGCAACGACAATGTGGTTTTGGTTTGCGCGGCCCGATCGCTGGGCCGCCTCGCAAAACCCGGCGGAGCTCTTACCGCAGAGCTGGTGGAAAGTGAAATACAATCTGCACTAGAATGGCTGCAGTCGGAGCGCCAGGAAAGTCGGCGTTTTGCGGCGGTGCTTGTGATTCGGGAACTTGCTAAGGGCTCGCCGACGCTTCTTTACGGGTTCGTCCCCCAGATCTTTGAGCTCGTCTGGGTTGCCCTCCGAGACCCCAAAGTTCTCATTCGGGAGACCGCCGCTGAAGCCGTGGGTGAATGCTTTGAGATCATCGTGGCCCGTGATACCCAAGTTCGACAGTCATGGTTTGCACGGATTCATGATGAGGCCCTTCTCGGCTTGAAGTCCCACAATGTGGATTGGATTCATGGCTCCCTTCTGATTCTCAAAGAGCTGATCCTCAAGGGCACAATGTTCATGAAAGAGCACTACCGCAATGCTTGCGAAATCATTCTCCGCCTGAAGGACCACCGCGACCCCAAGATCCGCACCCAAGTCGTCCTCACTATTCCCATTCTCGCATCATACGCTCCTACCGATTTCATCGAGATCTACCTCCACCGGTTCATGGTCTATCTCCAAGCACAGCTGAAGAGAGACAAAGAGCGGAATTCCGCCTTTATTGCCATCGGAAAGATTGCCAATGCAGTGGGCCCTGCCATCGGTCAATACCTCGATGGCATCATCATCTACATTCGCGAAGGCCTTGCAATGAAGGCTAGGAATCGAGCGGGCGTCAACGAGGCACCGATGTTTGAGTGCATCAGCATGCTGTCCCTTGCAGTGGGACAGGCACTCAGCAAGTACATGGAGGCTCTTCTAGATCCCATCTTCGCCTGTGGACTCAGCAAGTCTTTAACACAGGCGCTCGTTGATATGGCTCATTACATCCCACCCATCAAACCCATGATTCAAGAAAGGCTCCTCGACATGCTGAGTATCATCCTTTGCGGAACACCATTTAGGCCCCTTGGTTGCCCTGAAAACCGACTTCCTCCCATGCCGTCTTTCGCAAAAGACTTTGCACCACACGAGCTCCATGCTGATTCCGATATTGCATTGGCACTTCATACATTAGGAAGCTTTGACTTCTCCGGGCACATATTAAACGAATTCGTCCGTGATGTTGCCATCAACTACGTGGAAAATGATAATCCCGAGATTCGAAAGGCCTCGGCCTTGACGTGTTGTCAACTATTCGTTCACGACCCGATCATCAACCAGACCAGTGGACATTCTATCCAGGTTGTGAGTGAGGTGATCGACAAGCTGTTGACTGTGGGTGTCGGAGACCCAGACGCAGAAATTCGACGCACTGTTTTGTGGTCTTTGGACCGCAAATTTGACCGTCACTTGGCAAGGCCAGAGAATATCCGATGCTTGTTCCTGGCAGTCAATGATGAGGTGTTTGAGGTCAAAGAAGCTGCTATCTGTATCATTGGTCGGCTCTCCAGCGTCAACCCTGCTTATGTCTTCCCACCGCTTCGAAAGTTGCTGGTCAATCTTCTTACAGGTCTCGGGTTTGCAACCACAGCCAGACAAAAAGAAGAGACTGCTCTGCTCATCAGCTTGTTTGTTTCAAATGCGACCAAATTGATCAGGTCCTATGTGGATCCCATGGTGACTGCATTGATGCCAAAAGCAACAGATACTAACCCCGGCGTCGCTGCCACCACCTTGAAGGCCGTTGGTGAGCTTGCCAATGTAGGTGGCAGTGAGATGAGAGGGTACCTTTCGCAGATCATGCCCATCATTCTAGACGCCCTACAAGATCTTTCGTCGCATACCAAGCGTGAAGCTGCACTTCGGACGCTGGGTCAATTGGCCAGCAACTCGGGTTACGTCATTGAACCCTACCTCGAATATCCTCATCTTCTGGCTGTGCTGATCAACATCATCAAAACGGAAATGACAGGCTCTCTACGGAAGGAGACCATCAAGCTTCTCGGTGTCCTCGGTGCCCTTGACCCATACAAGTACCAGCAGATCAGCGAACTTGAGCCCGACGTACACCACATCAACGAGATTAAGAATGTCTCTGAAGTTGCTTTGATTATGCAGGGTCTTACTCCATCCAATGAGGAGTACTATCCCACTGTGGTCATTCACACTCTGATGCAGAACATTCTGCGCGAGAATTCTCTGGCTCAATATCACTCGGCTGTTATTGATGCAATTGTCACAATCTTCAAGACTCTGGGATTGAAATGTGTACCATTCCTTGGACAAATCATTCCAGGGTTTATCTTGGTGATCAGAAGTTCTCCTTCTAGTCGCCTCGAATCATATTTCAATCAGATGGCAATCTTAGTCAACATCGTGCGGCAGCACATTCGTGCTTTCCTGCCAGAAATCATTGAAGTCATCAGGGAGTTCTGGGATTCTTCATATCAGATTCAAGGCACGATTTTATCGTTGGTTGAGGCCATTGCCCGGTCACTAGAGGGTGAATTCAGGAAGTATCTTGCTGGCCTGATTCCTCTAATGCTAGACACACTTGAGAAGGACTCAACGCCTCGTCACCAGCCATCTGAAAAGATTCTTCATACTCTTTTGATCTTCGGTTCAAGCGGAGAAGAGTACATGCATCTCATCATTCCATCTATCGTGCGTCTATTTGATCGACCGCAGAATCCAACAAGCATTCGGAAGTCAGCCATCGATAGCTTAACGAAGCTTTCGCGGCAAGTCAATGTTTCCGATTTTGCCTCCCTCATGATCCACTCTTTGTCAAGGGTTGTGGCCAGTGGTGACCGCGTACTGCGTCAGGCTGCCCTAGACTGCATTTGTGCTCTTATTTTCCAGCTCGGTCAGGACTTTACACACTACATCCACCTTCTCAACAAGGTCCTGAAGACCCATCAAATCACACACATTAACTACCAGATCCTGGTAACGAAGCTTCAAAAGGGCGATCCCCTCCCACAGGATCTCAACCCTGAAGAAGTCTATGCTTTCCCAGCTGACGACACCAACTTCGCGGAGATCGGGCAAAAGAAGATCGTTGTGAACCAGCAACATCTCAAGAACGCGTGGGATGCTTCGCAAAAGTCCACGCGCGAGGACTGGCAAGAATGGATACGCCGCTTCAGTGTCGAGCTTCTGAAGGAATCTCCTTCTCCAGCGCTGCGTGCATGTGCTAGTTTGGCCGGTATCTATCAGCCGCTAGCTAGAGACTTGTTCAATGCTGCTTTTGTGTCATGCTGGACCGAGTTGTACGATCAATATCAGGAAGAGCTTGTCCGCTCCATTGAGAAAGCGCTCACTTCTCCAAATATTTCCCCGGAGATTTTGCAAATTCTCCTAAATCTGGCTGAATTCATGGAGCACGATGACAAGGCTCTTCCAATTGATATTCGCACCCTTGGAAAGTACGCCGCGAAATGCCATGCCTTTGCCAAGGCTCTTCACTATAAGGAACTCGAGTTTGAGCAAGATCAGAACTCTGGTGCTGTGGAAGCCCTGATTACCATCAACAATCAGCTCCAGCAATCAGATGCTGCCATCGGTATTCTCCGCAAAGCACAGGCGTACCGTGATGTGGAGCTCAAGGAAACATGGTTCGAAAAGCTTCAACGGTGGGACGAAGCTCTTGCTGCTTACAAGCGTCGTGAAAAAACAGACCCAGACTCCTTCGGCATTACGATGGGTAAAATGCGTTGTCTCCACGCTCTTGGAGAATGGAAGGTTCTCTCGGACCTTGCACAGGAGAAATGGAACCAGGCATCAATAGAGCATCGCAGAGCCATTGCTCCTCTTGCCGCTGCTGCTGCCTGGGGCCGAGGCCAGTGGGAGTTGATGGACTCCTACCTCGGTGTGATGAAGGAGCAGTCCCCGGACCGTTCATTCTTCGGTGCTATCCTGGCTATTCACCGCAACCAATTCGAGGAGGCGAATATGTACATTGAGAAAGCACGCAACGGCCTCGATACTGAATTGTCTGCTCTTCTTGGAGAGTCATACAATCGTGCTTACAACGTTGTCGTCCGTGTTCAGATGTTGGCTGAATTGGAGGAGATCATCACATACAAGCAGAATGTCGGTGACCCAGAAAAACAAGAAGCCATGCGCGCAACGTGGAATCAACGATTGCTTGGATGTCAGCAAAACGTGGAAGTGTGGCAGCGTATGCTGAAGGTCAGGGCTCTTGTCACAGCTCCGCGCGAGAACCTTGATATGAGCATCAAGTTTGCCAATCTTTGTCGCAAATCCAACCGCATGGGACTTGCAGAACGATCGTTAGCATCGCTCGAGACGATAGTGGCCGATAGCAATGGTGTGCGCACCATCATTCCTCCAGAAGTCACATATGCTAGACTGAAATTCAGCTGGGCAAACGGACACCAACAAGATTCTCTCGATATGCTGAAGGAGTTCACCAGTGCATTGACCGATGATTTCCAGAAATTCAACACTCTCATGGTGTCGCAGGGCGATCACCATGGAATGAACGGGGTCAATGGAGCTGCTGATCCGAACCACCCAGATCTTATCAGCCTGCGTGAACGGATTGGAGATGCCAACAAATTCCGAAAGCTCCTTTCAAAGAGTTATCTCAGACAGGGAGAATGGCAGACAGCTCTCCAGAGAGGTGATTGGAGGCCAGAGCACGTTCGCGAGGTTCTCAACGCCTACTCTGCGGCCACCCAATACAATCGTGATTCGTACAAGGCATGGCACTCGTGGGCCCTCGCCAACTTCGAAGTCGTCACAACCATCGCCAGCCAAGCCAGCCGTGACGGTGCACCAGCGCCAGTTCCTGCCCATATTGTTACAGAGCATGTCATCCCTGCTATTCGAGGTTTCCTGCGGTCCATCGCTCTGTCCTTGACATCTTCGTTGCAAGACACTTTGAGACTGCTTACACTTTGGTTCAGTCATGGTGGTGATCATGAAGTCAACACCGTCGTCACGGAAGGCTTCACGGTTGTGAACATTGATACCTGGCTATCTGTGACTCCTCAGTTGATCGCTCGAATCAACCAACCTAACATCAGGGTCCGGAGTGCGGTCCACAGGCTGCTTGCTGAGGTGGGCAAGACGCATCCTCAGGCCTTGGTGTATCCACTCACGGTGGCAATGAAATCTAACGTGACCCGACGCTCTCAATCCGCCAGCAACATTATGGAAAGTATGCGGCAACATAGCGCCAAACTTGTCGAGCAAGCGGATCTCGTGAGTCACGAGTTGATTCGTGTGGCAGTCCTGTGGCACGAACTCTGGCACGAGGGTCTGGAAGAGGCTTCTCGTCTCTACTTCGGTGATCACAACGTCGAAGGCATGTTCGCGACACTTGCTCCTCTGCACGACATGCTAGACAAGGGTGCTGAAACCCTGCGCGAGGTATCATTTGCGCAGGCCTTCGGGCGTGATCTGGCTGAGGCGAAGCACTACTGCATGCTTTACCGTGAATCGGAAGAAATTGGCGATTTGAACCAAGCTTGGGACTTGTACTACACGGTGTTCCGCAAGATCAACCGACAGCTCCCACAACTATCGACTCTTGATCTCAAATATGTGTCTCCTCGACTGAAGGATTGCTCGGACCTTGACCTTGCTGTGCCGGGAACATACCAGAGCGGAAAACCAATCATTCGAATCATCAGCTTCGATCCTATCTTGCATGTCTTGCAGACAAAGAAGCGGCCGCGTCGTATGACACTCAAGGGCAGCAACGGAAGTTCTTACATGTACGCTCTCAAGGGACACGAGGATATCCGACAAGATGAGCGAGTCATGCAGCTCTTCGGTCTGTGCAATACTCTGCTCGATAACGACAGCGAGAGTTTCAAGCGACACCTCTCAGTCCAGCGCTTCCCGGCCATCCCGCTGTCACAGAGCTCCGGTCTGTTGGGTTGGGTTTGCAACAGTGATACATTACACGCTTTGATCAAGGAGTATCGTGAAAGTCGCCGTATTCTCCTCAACATCGAGCACCGCATCATGCTACAAATGGCACCTGACTACGACAGCCTCACTCTCATGCAGAAGGTTGAGGTCTTTGGCTACGCTATGGATAACACCACCGGCAAAGATCTCTATCGGGTGCTATGGCTCAAGAGTAAAAGTTCAGAAGCATGGCTCGAGCGGCGTACCAACTACACCCGGTCCCTCGGTGTCATGTCCATGGTTGGCTATATTCTTGGTCTTGGCGACCGGCATCCGTCGAATTTGCTGCTTGATCGTGGCAATGGTCGGGTCGTTCACATTGATTTCGGTGACTGCTTCGAAATCGCAATGCATCGCGAGAAGTACCCAGAGCGAGTGCCCTTCCGACTCACTCGTATGTTGACATTTGCCATGGAAGTCAGCAACATTGAAGGAAGCTACCGCATTACTTGCGAGGCTGTCATGCGCGTCCTACGGGACAACAAGGATTCACTGATGGCAGTCTTGGAAGCCGTAAGTGACTACTCATCTATCATTCGCCACCATCCACTAACTCTTGTTCTTCTAGTTCATTCACGATCCACTGATCAACTGGCGTCTGGGTGCCCAAGAGTCTCCCGACCGCGTATCCCTAACGGCAGAACGCCGCCAATCCATCATTGAGGGGGTCAACTTTGAGCATGGCGTCCAACCAGGCAATTTCTCCCGTCGCCGCGGGTCCATTCTCGAAGGCGGTATCCTCGATGGCCAAGAAAACGTTCCCCAGGAAGCCCGCGAGGCACAGAATGCCCGCGCTCTCCAGGTGCTTGCTCGTGTCAAGGAGAAGCTTACTGGGCGGGATTTCAAGCCCAGTGACGAGCTGAGTGTCAGCGACCAGGTTGACAAGCTCCTTGCGCAGGCAACCAATGTCGAGAACATCTGTCAGCACTGGATCGGATGGTGTAGTTTCTGGTAGTCCGGGTTGATCGTGGATTCTTTTGCTTTTGGTGTTCCATGGCATGAATGATGATATGATATGATGCGTGTCTTGTTTTATCTTGTCTTTTCACCTCGTATGTAAAGTTACCCCTGTTATTTTGCTCTTTTGATTTTTGATTTTCACATTTTCGAGCCTGTGCCTTCTGGTCAGTTCAAGCATTAATGTCAGTTGCGTTATGGCTTTGTGATTTCGCGGTCTGTGATGGTTTCTTGTCTTCCTACTACGATAGATTATTGAGGAGTTCACTTAACCAGCACAAGAAGCTTTAGAAACATCAATCTCATTCCTTCTTTCGGACTCTAGACCAAGGGTTACTGGCCGATGTACATGTACGCACTTACCTAGGTAGTTTGAAAGGTTGCGTTATATATGTCTACGACAGACGGTGACCTATGCCAGTTACACAAATATTATATAAAAATTTGGGCTTTAGCAGAGAGTGCCAGATTGTATTCTTCTAACATATGTAGAAGATGCTTTACTAAATAGAGGTAAAAATAAAGGTCATGCCAAGTCTGCAGATGGTTGGGAGCAGAAAAACGCCCGAGGCGGTAGACCTCATCAGACCGGATCTTGTGACATTTCCACCTTCCCTCGTCACAACCTCACAACATAACCAAAATGGGCGGTGATCTGAACTTAAAGAAGTAAGTTTCACTAAGGACCCTCGAAATAATGTACTGGCCCAATACTGACCCGACAACAGATCATGGCACCCATCGCTGCTCAAGAACCAAGAGCGCGTATGGGCGCAAGAGAAGCGCGCGCTCGAGGAGCGCAAGCAGATCGATCAGCTAAGACGTGAGAGAGAAGAAGAGCGACAAATGCAAGAGCTCCAGCGCCTCCAAGAAGCCTCCGGAAAAGGGAAGCAACAGAGCCGCGTCGACTGGATGTACCAAGCCCCCTCCAGCGCCACCGGCCACTACTCGGAGGAGATGGAGGGATACCTACTAGGCAAGCGACGAATCGACGGAGTCATACTAAAAAACGATGCCGACACCAAGAAGCTGGAGAAAGGGTCGGAGGTGGTGGGCAATGACGCCGCGGCAGGTCCATCTGTTGGGTCGGCGCGCGACACCATGTTGAAGGTTATGGCGGACCCGCTGCTGGAGGTGAAGAAGAGGGAACAAGCGGCATATGAAGCGATGGTTAAGGAAGCGATGCGACGCAAGGAACGAGAGGAGAAGCGCGCCCAGGGCGGAGATGGTGGTCGCGACCGCGGAAAGGAACGCGACCGTCGCCATCGGACCCATGACTCGAAGCGCAGACGGTACAGCGATGATGCGGGCGATGAGCGCCGCGACAGACACCACCGACGGTCATCTCCTCGTCGGCATCGATCCAGATCTCCTGCTTCGGGCGATCGACACCACAGGCACCGGAGTGAGCGTGAGCGTGAGCGACATGACGATGAGCGCCGTGGTGACAACCGTGACAACCGTGATCGGCGGAGTGATGATACCAGATCTCGTCGGGATGACAGGGATCGTGGCCGAGACCGTCGCGACCATCAAGATAAGACAGACTCGTACTCTCGTCACCAGGACCGCGATGACAGACGTGATCGGGGCCGTGAAGGCCGTGAAGGTGACCGCTCGTCACGTCGATACTCTCGATCCCCTCGCCCGTCTGGAGACCGCAATGGACGTCCTCCTCCCACCGAGGACCGTCGCCGAGACTTCCCCCGCCGTGAGTTCAATAACCGGCGGGACTCTGGCCGCGATAATGGAGCACCTTCTGCTCATCCCCCAGCCAACAAGCCTGATCCCAAGGAGATCGAGGAAGAACGACGCCGTAAACTGGCAGAGATGCAATCCAATGCCACTGATATGGAGGTAGACCGCCGCCAGCGGATCACTGATATCACTGCGAAGGAGGAACAACAGCAGGAAGCTGATGATCGTCAGCGCTCAGATCGGGGCAGGTTCATGTCTGATATGCATAAGCGGGTGCAGGAGGATAGTCTGGATGAGCGCATCCGTCGTTCTCGTGGCGGACTTGAGCGGATGGATGAGGACTGAGAACGATGTTCTGTATGAGATAGGTCTTCCTGTCTATATTTACTCTGTGTGGTCTCGATGCCTTGAGTATGGGATTGGCATTCATGATTCCCTTGGTTTATTTTAGCGATTAGCACGAACGTCGATCATTGATGTCTATTATTCTGTGTTCATATGCACCGACGCGAGTAAACAAAGTCTTCTCTACCTCTGGGTTGTGTCCTGTTTCTACGCTACATCGCACTCTGGCCATGTAGGGAAAGGATATCAAAGGGATATTGACCGTACTGGTTAGAGGGGGCGGGGAAGCGTAGTCTCAGAATTTGGGAGGAATCCAGAAGTTTGAAGGCGCGTTGAGGTCTTGTCAAGGTGACTGATTAGATCTTAGTGTATTAGAGTTGTTTGTTACCCCGGATTTCCTATTTGGGCCGACGTGGCCATTTGGTGATGTTTTCCAACTTTTGGGAGGGAGGAAATGCAGTCGCTGATGTAAAAACACGTCCTGGTGGCTTGAAGGCGCGTTGAGTAAACCTTAAATCATTTCAACTATTCGACCTGTTTGTTCACATGAAATGTGCAAATGGCCATCTAACGCTGATATAACTTTATGATCCAGTTACTGCAATGCCTCACATCACTTGAGCGAGACTTTCAAGCTCACACGATGCTGGACTGCCTACACTCAACGAAGAAAGATCATCTTACAGGTCAAGGAGAAGGTATAGATCAACGTCGCTTCATATAGGATATGCCAGGAATACCCTGTTCAGTCTGCTGGCCACAGCAGGACCTCCAAATTATACAGTTATGCTTCGCTAAAGAAGCGATTCTCCGGTCTGAGCAAACCAAAGTGTTCACGCAGCGTCGACCCCGTATAATCCTTGCGGAACAGACCTCTCCGTTGCAGCTCTGGAATCAGCCTATCCGTCACCTCTTCCAGACCCTGAGGCAAGAAAGGGAATGTGCAAGTGAAGCCATCTGAGGCTTCTTCCCGCAACCAGGTCTCCATCTCATCAGCAATATCACTCGGCGAGCCGAGGAAAGCCAACCCTGAATACCCGCCATACCGCTGCGCAAGTTGGCGAATGGTCAAGCCCTCCTTCTTAGCCAGCAGCTCAACACCCTCCCTGCTCGTCTTGCTCGCATTCGTCTCAGGCAGGTCCGGCGGCAAAGGACCATCGGGATCAAAAGCACTCACATCAACCCCAAGAGAAACCGACAAAGACGCAAGTGCACTATCATAATGTACCAAGCTATCCAACTGAAGCCTCTTCTCCTGCGCATCCTGCTTGCTATCCCCAACAATAATCAGCGCAGCAGGCAATATCTTCAAATGATCCCTTTCCCGCCCAGCCTTCACCACCCGCTCCTTAATATCAGCATAAAGCACCTTAGCCCCCTCAATATCCTTGGGACTACAGAAAACAACCTCAGCTGTCTCAGCAGCAAGCTGCCTCCCAGGCTCACTCTGCCCAGCCTGCACAATAACCGGCCAACCCTGCGGCGGCCGTGCAATATTCAACGGCCCACGCACCTTCAACTCCTCCCCAACATGATTCAAAACATGCATCTTCGCCGGATCAAAATACTCCCCACTCCCAACATCCCGCGTAAACGCGTCGTCCGCAAAACTATCCCAAAGCCCCGTAACCACATCGTAGAACTCGCGCGCACGCTTGTACCGATCACTATGTGTCATGTGCTCATCAAAACCAAAGTTATGGCTCGATTCCGGATTCCCGGTCGTGACAATATTCCACGCTGCCCGCCCATTACTCAGGTGGTCCAAACTGGCGAAGCGCCGTGCAACATGGTACGGCGCATCGTAGGTCGTGCTGGCTGTTGCGGCCAGGCCGATTTTCTCGGTTACGGCCGAGAGGGCTGAGAGCAAGGTGAAGGGCTCGAAGGATGTCACTGTGTGGCTGCGTTTGAGGGCCTCGACGGGCATGTTTAGGACGGCTAAGTGGTCTGCCATGAAGAAGGCGTCGAATTTGGCGGCTTCGAGCTTTTGCGCGAAGTGGATTATGTGTTTGAGGTTGAAGTTTGCGTCTGGGTAGGAGTTTGGGTAGCGCCAGGCTCCTGTGTGGAGGGAGACTGGGCGCATGAATGCTGTTAGGTGTAGTTGGCGGGTTGGTTTGGGGTCTGTCATTTTGATGTTGGTTTGATACTCTGTATAGTGGTTGGATGTGAGATTAATGCGTTATAGACTTAGATGGTGAGTATAGATGGACTATATAACCCTCTATATACCCCTCTATATACAGACTTATCGAGCTGTCATTTATCAGCCGATTTATAATCTTCGGCCGTTGGAGAGATGGCGTGCTGGAGCAGGTTGCTTGCGCAAGCAGCTTGTGTAAATGTCAGCTTACGGGAGTCTCTCAGCAGTGGCTGTGAAACAAAAGCTTCCATAGCGAAGAATTAGTAGATGCGCACTTCCACAAGAACTAACGTTTGATATGAATTCGACAAATGTATAGATCCATTGCCATTTTGGGAAGAGCGTCCTTCCTGCCACATCATTAGGGCTGCCATCTTCCATATGTATGTCTGGTACAGTGATATCTCTCCTTCCAGATTATACATACCCGGATATACCTGCATAGCTAGACTTTAAGGTAGCTTACTTGTTGCTTGACTCTACATGAACTGGTTCGTAGGTTCAGGGGCAGACTGTCCGTAGAGAGACAAAGAACAAGGTAGAAACATCGTTTCCGAGATGGAAAAGGTATCTAAGTACTACTCAACAAACTGAAATGTCTCTTCACCATACCCAAGCCAAACACGAATCTCTTCTAACGCAGCTAAGTCATTCTCAAAGAAAGAGTGCTTCACCTTCTCATCATACCATTCATAGGTCCGACCAACATCCTCTAGACTCTCTCCCAGCTTCCGACAAGACCCAAAATCAATAATAATCGCCCTACCATTATCAATCATGATATTGTTTGGATTGATATCATTATGTACCAATCCCAACGAATGAAGATGCCTAATCCCCCTCTCGATATCTGCCAGAATCGAGGTATAGTCTTTCCCTACCACCCGTGTATTTCTCAAATGTCTCTTGTTCAGACTGCCTGGATTGATCTCTTTGAGAAGGGTACGAGGATATTTCTGCAGACAAAGACCCGTGATCATACCATTAGAAACCTGACAACCGAGATAGGTAGCAATATTAGGATGTGCGTGCCGCCGTAAGAGTTCGTAAATCCTGACTTCATGAAGGACATCCTCTGCAATAGAATTCGGTCGAAGCCCTTGACTGATTCGATCGTAACTGATCAATCGGGGGGTCTTGACAAAGGAATTGGTTGGTAGTGTCTCAGGCGCTAGTGTGAACTCGGCAGAGAAGGTTGGATTGTAGGCCGAGATGGGTATTTGGATGATATTCTCTAGGTCGTTTGTATTGACATTTGAAGGGGATGAGTAGCGGGCTTTCAGCTTTGCGTGGTATAAATTGCCATTCATTCGATATACCATGAGTGTGCCTGCGAAGTAGAAGCCATTGTCTGAGTCTTCGTAAGTCTCGTTCATCTCTAGCACATCTTGCCCTAGATTTGGTGGTGCTGACATGGTTCTTGTATATTTTGTAGTGTTAATAAGTGGCATATATCAAAAGGCAGATCAAAGCTCACCTCGTTGCTATTCGCACGTACGGGGATTTCTCACTGAAACGGCAGGGGAAGATAGACGTGTAAGGGGATGCCTCTTCAATCGGTGGCATCTCTGGGGAGGACTACCGGCTGCCTAAAGACGTCGTATCGGTATGCCCAACCCGCACACCGACATTTGATTGGTCTGGAATTGAATATCATGATGGTTCCCAAATACTATGGAAACGTCGTCGGATAGGTGGCTTAAGCAGTGATCTACTGTGCAGATTACACCCAGGCCACGTAGCTAGACGATGATGTTAAGTTGAATGAAGACTTGACTACAACTTTCCAAAATGGTAGACAAAACATAATCTGTAATTACTAGGCGCAGACAACACAAGAAAACGTGTTCTATCTACATGTACAATTATACCCCTCCACAACCTCAACATGGAATTATAACAATAAGAGCTCACCCGTAGCAGCGCCACCAGCCAAATGTGGCTGATAAACCTGCTGCTGGTTCTGAGTCACGACATACTGCGATTGAGGCGCACCACCACCACCGAGATCCAGTGAAGCCATTTGCTGAGACCCAATACCACTGAAGTAGGCGTCTGCTGCATCGGCCGCCTCGTTCATGTTACTGGGACCTGCGGCTCCCACAGGGTTGGCGACGGGAAGAGGGAGGTTAGGAGGGGAGGAGCGTTGACTGGGGTGACGGGGTCACCGGTCGTGGTGATTGTGGCAAGGCCGCTGTTACTGGTTGATGCGGAGGCCATGTTTGCGGTGGGAGGGTTGTAGTCCAGCATATTGCCTGTGCCGTCCTCTGGGCGGGAACGCTGCAAGGCTGGGCTGGGTAGGAGGCGGCGAGGGCGGGCCGAGCGGAAGACTTGGTGGATGGGCTTGAGGTAGACGGTGGCGAGAGTGCCGACGTTCAGACAGAGTTCCTCCAGAGTGCGGGGATCCAACTTCTCGCTCTCAGCTGTGATCGGGGGCTTTTGGCCCATGACGACCTGCTTGGCGGTTGCTGGGTCTGTGGATAGTAGCCGCCAGTACATGTAACCACGGTCACGGAGATCTGGGTCATCTGTTTCCTCAGTGCACCATTTTAGTACCTGCGGGACAAGCTGCTGGCCCTTGGTAGGCCGTTGGATAAATAGTTTGACGGTAGCCGTAAGCAGGGCCAGCTGCACTTCGACCGTTTCGTCGTGGAAGGTGGCCAGATAATCCTGAAGCAGACCATCGGAATTATCAATGCGGTCCGCATACTGGCCAATAATCCAGATGACGGCTGCCTTCGCCTCGGGTTCGTCGAGGTCGTCGATGTTACGGAGAACGTGGCTGATTATGCTCTCGTACTGGTTGGGGTATTTGCGGAAGATGTTGCGAATAACCACAGTAGCCTCCTGGACAATGTATGGGATCTTGGCGTCGACCAGCTCCAATAGTGTGTCGATACACTGTTTCGCAGAAGACTCGATCTTAATCGCTAATTTGCCAATGGCCCGAACAGCCTTGCGAACAAAGTGTACGTCAATTTCAGTGGCATATCTGCAAAGATTATCAGCATATAACCCAATACAAAGGATTGGAATATACTTACTCGCGGAGCTCTGCTAAGACCACGCCAATGTTGTCTTTCGTGGTGAGCATGAACATCAATTCCAACTTGGTCACTTTGACGTAAATTGGGTCGTTGTAGTTACAGAAGAACACGCGAATATCATTCCGCAATACTTCGGGTCTCTTCTGAAGAATTAAGATAGCATTTCGCAGGGCCAGATATTGAACCTCTGGCGGCTTTGAAAGCAATGTAACGAGAGGTGGGGATAGTTTTTTGCATAAGGAGGTGATATGCTTTTCACCAGAGATGTAGTTCATGAGGTAAAGAATGACTCGGCATGAGGTGAGAACGACGGCAGAATTTTGGTGAGAGAGACGTGGAGCAATTCGCTCTGCTAACAGAAGCGCCTCCGCGGCATCTTGGGGCACGTATGCCATTAATGCTTCAAGAATGTAAGTTTGACCCCATCTATTGCAACTGTTAGCACATCAGTCCCTGAATGTGGATGAAAGGTCCTTACTCGGAGCAGTCTGCCAAAATGGATACCAGTTTTGAGGCGCTGACATAGTCGATAGTGAGAGAGATCGACTCGCTCCGGCCCCAGATGTCCACCAGCGAAGCCAAAACGCTGGATACAACAGTCGGATTCTCATCCTTCAACATGCGATTGAGTCGATCGATCAGATCTGAATTCTCCACCATCTTCTTATCGTGTTCATAAAGCTTGGCGACACAGAAAGCGGCCGTCTTGCGGACATAAGGGTCGTTGTCTTGCATTAGGCGTTTGAGGGGCTGGAAGGTTGCTTCAACGAACTCGCGAACATGTACATATGAAATGGTCCGTAATGCAAGCGCGCGCACAAGTGGGTTGTTATCGGCCATATCCTGCAGCGCAACCTGTCAGCTCAAGTCCACATTCTCTGTTCGATATCGGGGCCATACATCAACCAAAATCGGCAGTGCCTTCAATGCGACCTCCGGCTTCATTCTCGAATAGTTGACCAGGAACAAGAAGCACCTAAAGCAATATCAGCATCCAAGCCCGACCCAATCGTGAACACCGAAAGCGGCATTATTCTCTCAGACATACATCTTCTTGATCTCCAAGCTGGGCAGATTCATACAGCCGATAACGTCCGGGAACAAGGCCACCATATCGTTGTTGCTCATAGTCATGTTGGCGACAATCTTCTTGAGGGCGATCTTTTTGGCGGAGTAGTTTTTGTCCTTCTTGCCGCCACTATTGAGCTCCAGCCGCAGCTCCGCGACCTTCCCCTGTTGATTCGACGAGCGTGAGCCATTTGTTGGAGCGAAAGGTGCAACAGCGAGAAACATGGGGACGAAATATGAAACAGTGCGAGTTCATGCAGTATATCGCAGGGGTATACCAAATGCAAGAGAAGCGAGCTGCAAGCAAATGTCCGAAGAGCCAAAGCGAGCGGATAGAAACGAAAAGGCGGGGAAAGGCAAAGGATCATGCGATCAGACAGGAGCTAACGTACCCTGGCGAACAACTTCGCGTCTCCCCCAGAACTCATGGCTGCGATATGGGCGAATAGCGTTTGGGGACTGCTAGGCGCGGGCTCTTGGTGCGGATTCGGCGGATTTAGGCTCTTGTCTAGTCACCGTGCGAACAATCACATGCGATATCGAGGAGATCGTCAATGACACGGAACTAAAACAGGTGTGAGATTGAGCTCGAAAGGGTTCGAGGAGGGCGTATGGTGGAAGGGTCAGAAAAGGGTGAGACCGAATGCGTGTTCACTGCACCGCTGCGCGTTCGGGAAACTCGGCAGACAGGATCATTGACTGGACATTACAGGTAATGAAAGATGCAAGGAATTAGAAGAATCGCGAGAAGTCGAGAGTGGGAGAGAAAGGAGAATTGTCGGAAGGCGGAGTGGGCACTGCGGAGGAAAGACCTCCCTGGAACCTCCCGTTGCTCTCTTCCTCTCCCCACACCACATTTACAGTCTCGACCCTCAGCATGTCACAAACATCTCTGCCGCCACCTCCTCCTCCACAATGGGTTGTTGCGCTCAACTCCCCCATGCCGCGCCCCTCAAAGGCCGCATCTAGTATCCCGGATCCGCCAGGATTCTCGAGCAGCCGGGGAGGCAAGCAGGTGAGACTACCCCTTTGGACATATGGAACGAAGCTATTAACACAAATATTCTCAGCGCCAACAGCAGCAACAACAAGCTACCGCCAAGAAACCCGAGGATACCGATGCGCTCAAGATGAAGAAGGCTTGGGAGATCGCCATCGCCCCGTCCAAGCAGATCCCCATGAACGCCATTATGATGTACATGTCCGGCAACAGTCTTCAGATTTTCAGCATTATGATGGTCATGATGCTCTTCAAGGGTCCTATCCAGGGTCTGATTAATACCAACGCGGCGTTCGCCAAGTACGATACCGAGTCGACACATTCGCGTCTGCTCGGAGTGAAGGTTGTCTACATGTTGATGCAGCTGCTATTATTGGCATTGGGAATTTGGAAGGTTAATGCGATGGGTCTATTGCCGTAAGTTTGCCTACTGCATTGTCATCGTTCATTGCTAACATATCCGGCTAGAACCACGAGATCGGATTGGCTAGCGTGGGAGTCAGAACGTCAACCCTTGGAGCATGCTCATTTTGCTTTCAGGTGATATGATATAATATTGGAATATTGTCGGGAAGAGGCAGATTGAAATGCATCCGTGGATGATAGTCCAAACGAGAAAAATTGCATGTCGTGACCTTTGCCTTGGATCATTGAAATGAGAGCTCTATAAGCATGCATGTTCTCTAGCACAGAGCTCTAAATAAGCATCAACAGAAAGCGCTATAGCGTAATAGTCGGTGAACGGTGCCATCAAAACGGCCAACTTGTGACTGTAGTTGGTTATACAGGTCCCCCCTCACCTCCCTCCGTTTCCCTGCCTGAATTCTTGCAGCTCTACGTTGCATTCTGCTAGACTTATTCTGCACTTCTACTCTGAGTTCTAGTTTACCTTGAACACCCATTGACGATACTCCGCTGCCCAAAATCGCTATCCAACACGGTAAAAGTCGAACTTTCCTCCCGTATCACAGATTTCGCTAAAAGAACGGTGGCTTACCAATAAGCGCAAATTCTGCTTTCGAACCTGTTAGATGAAGTTAACGGGGGTAACCAGACTGAGTTCGTTGAAAGATGATGTCTAGATTACAAGCAACAGCATAGGGGTGATTGTTGCAAAGTAAGAAGAGTTTATCAAACACAGCGAATCTGAGCTTCTCAAGTGTTCAGCCGCAACTGTTCAGGCCTTGGCTAAGGCCCAAGGTTCTGTTCATAGGGCTACATGTGCTACAAGGTTGCAAACACTAATTCTGTCTTTGGCGAAGGGCCACAAGTTTATAACCCGAATGGCTAGATGCTGTTGTCGAAGAAGGGGATGCCAAAAAGACAGAACAAATTCTAGCGGTGAATGAGAAGATACAGATTCTGAATCTTAATGGGAGACATGCGTTATAGATGGACGAGTTTAAAGATGAGATGGAGTGATACGGATAGGGATCTCAATGTCCAGCTTTATGACTTACACAGTTTGAGTTGGGATTTCTTTTCTTTACAATATAGCGAAAGATTTAGGTGGATTTGGATACGTGCCGGGAAACAAATTGTCATGATTCATGAGGAACTTGTTCCAAACACTGCGAGATAGCAGTTCGGGGTTATGTCATTGAGAAAATGAATTACCGCTTTTAGCCTATGGTATTGTGGTTGCGGATGTCTTGTGTCAAGTAACGAACGGTTGGTCACTTCTCGCTTCTTAGGGCACCCTCACCCCCAACCTTAGCCTCCTCCTTCACACGACGCTCCTCGCGCCAATGAGGTCCTTTTCGGATGACAATCATAAGCAGCGGTGTAGTTGCCAACATTATAAGTGCAATGAAAGTAAAACACCATCCCCGGCCCATAGCCGAAAGCATAGGATCAATGAGCGCCGTTGCACCAGCTCCCAGCAAACAACGCCCGAAATTGTTGGCAGCAGTGGCCTTGGCCGCTTGTGTTGGGTATAGATCAACCAGCAATGTACTGATAGTATTGAATGCACCCGTCAAAGTCAATCCCATAAGGAAAAGAATACATGTTGGTGCAGCAAGATGGATCCCGTAGTTTAAGAACCATCCAAACACAAGGATGCTGAGGCTACCTAAAGCGAGAAGAGGGAATGCAATCTGAAGGCGAGCTTTCTCGATGGGGAAGTTCCGCAGGTCAGTGTGCCGGTTCTTGGCCAAGGGGAAATTCAGCTGCTTCGCGAGTCGGCGGTAGTTGTAGTCCAGGAATTTGCCATTGCCAATTGAAGCAATCGTGGCACCGAGGCCAAATGGAATGTAGCAAAGACCGACTTGGAGATCGTTCAGGCCATATAGCTCATTGTAGATGGAGGGAATAGTTGCGCTCACATCATAGAATCCCGCAAAAAGAATAGCATTGCAGAAGAGAATTATGCCGACATCTTTCTGAAAGACAATGGCGAGCGTCTGGAAAGGATTGGGGAACTTGAGTTTCTGCTTTGAGGCATTGGCAGGAGAAATAACGCCCTCTTCACGGGATTTCCTCGATTTGAGGTGGCTGATCAGGGACATATTCCATTTTTGAGGAGGCAGTGACCCATCACCGACAATACCACGAGCTGTTTCTGGGAAGAAGACCAGGAAAGGTATCATGAACGCTCCGGCAAAGATGGTCAAAAACCAGAATATGGCGCGCCACCCCAGGTATTGAGATAATAGACCACCAACCACTGGTCCCACTGAAGGTCCCATTAGAGAGCCAGCAGTTACAAAGCCCATGTAGGAGCCTCGTTGGGACGCAGTGGCCACATCGGAGACCACGCCAGATGAGAGGGCGATGGTGGTGCTGCTTCCTGCACTCTGCAGACATCTGAGCACGAAAAGAGCTGCATAGTTGCTCTGCAGGGCAAGTCCGATATTGGCTGCAATGTAGATCGTGAAGCAGACAATGTATGCTGGTCGTCGTCCAGCTTTGTCTGCAAAATCGCCAATGAACATGGGCGACAGTCCTTGGAAGATCTGCGCTCTGGTCAGTTATCGCGTAGTAGGAGTCGGACTATAAGAGGACCCACCATATAACTTGTCAAAGTTAGATTGATCAAAGAGTTGGACACATGAAGATCCTTCGCTAAAGTGTTCAAAGCGGGAAAATAGATCTGGGATGAGACTGGCGAGAAAAACCCAGCCCACGATGCCATAAAGACAATATAACGCCGCTGGCTGTCTGTGAAGACCGAGTAGTCGACATCACTGACATCTTCGCCTTGAGTTGCTGCTTTTCGCTGTGATTCTGGGTCCTGTACAGAGGTTTCTTGTATTTCCTTTTCCGTCATGGTAGGCGAGGAGGTTACAACCAACCATCAGGTGATATGCCCCAGAGAGCTGTGGGTAGATAGAGTCAAGAGTCATATTGCCTTTTTTCACTATCCCACAAGTGGAGGGCCACCCAATTGCGGAGATAATAAATGGGTGCCGAGAAGCCGAAGCTTTGCTCTTTGACGCTGATCGGCGGGTTGAGCCGATCAGCACATAAGGCGCTATTATAAGCAATGGAATACAACATAAGCAATAGAACAGAGTTATTGGCGTATTTGATTGTACAGTATTTCTATGTTCAATTTGAAAATCCAGAGTCATGTTACGTGTACCTGCACTATGAAAATCCTTCCTTTACTCCGCAGAAATGGCGTCGGAGATTGGGCTTATGTCCGATGTATAGGTCGTAGAACTGTGACTAGCCACTCAGCGGGCTTTGACTGCATCTTTGCACGCCTGCAAGAATATCTGAGAGAATTCCCACACTTCGGCGTAGGTGTTGTACAACGGCGCAGGGGCAACTCTCACAACATCTGGCTTCCTCTCGTCAATAACCACCCCGTTCTGGTCCAACTGATGCAGGACATGATTTAACAATCCTGGCTGGAGACGCAGACTGAGCTGAGCGCCTCGCTCGGCTGGGTTTGAGGGTGTGATAAGGGTAAACGGCTTATCTTCGGGCGGTGCATCCAGAGGATACTTGAGTAACAGGTGTTCCAGATAGCCTGTCAGATTCAAGGACTTTTGCCGGATCTCTTTCATTGTTGCTCGATTGAAAATCTCGAGGGATGCGACGACAGCATTAATGTCCAGAACAGAGGGGTTCGACAGCTGGAAACCAGCCGCTCCGGGTTGTGGTTGGAATTCTAGATTCATTAGTCTTGCATCCCATACACCAACTCCACCAAATACATACTGTTTTCCATATTGAAGCGTGTTTTGATGTCTCCACCCCACCAGCCAGAGAATCGAGGACGGAATGTCTCGTCACTGTCGGGCTGTTTCTCATCTACGCGGCCGTGGCGTTCATGGACAAATAGACCTGCTATTCCACCCGGTCCGCTATTTAGATACTTATAATTGCACCAGGCTGCAAAGTCCACGTTCCAATCGTGAAGACGAAGATCCACGTTTCCTGCGGCATGGGCACAGTCCCAGCCGATCATGATTCCCTTTGAGTGGGCGTGCGCCGTGATCCGTTCGATGTCAAAGTACTGTCCTGTGTAGAACTGAATAGCCGAGAGGAGTACAAGTGCCGTACTGGAAGCATTGTCATCAATAATTTTGAGGATCTGTTCCGTACTCAATGTAGGCATATCGAGATTCTCGGGCTCGATCAAAACCATGGCCTCCTTCGGGTCAAAGTTGTGATGACGGATTTGAGACTCGACTGCATACTATGTGTCCGTATCAGTACCCAGAAACATTCCGCAATTATCATGGGTTACTACCCGGCTGGCAACATACATGATCACTGGGAAAGGCCTTGCCCTCCAGGATGATCTTGAACTTCTCTTTTGTTGGACGGTAGAAGCTTGCCATTAACAGGTGTAAATTGGCAGTCAAGGTGCCCATTACCGCCACCTCACTATTAGAGGCACCTACAATAGGAGCCATAAGTTTGGAGGCTGCAGTGTCCACGTCAACAAAAGGAGGCAGTAATTGATCTTCATGTGGCACAAAGTGCCCAGTCACGCCCTTGGTTGCCCAAGTTCGTAGATACTGCTCGATATATCTGCGAGTGCTGTAAGGTTGAACACCCAGTGAGTTACCGCAGAAATAGATGCATTTTGGGTCCAATGCTTCATCGCCTACTGAGAAATAAGCAATTTGAAATTCAGAACAGATGCACGAAAGCCGAGGTCTAATACCTACCCTCATCAACAGCGAGTGTCTTTCTCGTCAGGTCCTTTTTAGATGGGATAATGAACTCATCCCGGAAAGACCGAAGCGGATCTTGCGCATCGAGAGCCTCAGCATACTCTTTCTTGTATGCTCTGATATCATCCGTGTAGTGGAGCGGGGGACCGCTTTTGATATCCCGGACGTGCTGTCTGGAACCCATGGCAGCCAATTCAGATCTGAATCATGAATCACGGGTCAATCTGATATCGTGACTTTCACCTGCGAGCTGCAATTATTGAGGCTTGCAGATGTGCAATTGCCTGCAGTCCCCCACCATTCGACGATCCCTTCCCGATCAAGATATATTCTGCCACCCTCCCCCGACTGGTTCTGACCAATGGTGTCACTGCCGAAATGACTAACCCGAAGTAATCGCCCGGGCGGAATGGGATGATTTGATATCTAAGCAAAACGACATTTCTTCTTGAGCCTCTCTCTTTCACATATACCATATCATACCATATCACACAATGCCACGCTCTCTATTATCATCCACAGCTGCTCGGCGGCTATCACAAGCCCCAGCTTGTCGCCTCTTCTCAACTTCTCGCTCGACTTGCCTCTCCGCATTCCCCGACGGTCAATTCATCTCTCGCCGGACAGCCACTGTCGCAACTCGACCACTTTTCCAAGGCTCAGTTCCATGCTCCCAAATCCCTCGCTCCATTCGTCAGCGCTACGCCGGGTTTTCATCCTCGCCTGTTCGCCCGGCTACCAAGGTCACGCAAAATCCGAGAACCGGAGATGACGGAGAACCACTTGAGATTGCCATTTCGCCACGGGCTGTGGAGGTACGTTGATAATGGTCTCTTTGCAATTTCTTTACCTTTGCTTTTCTGTTCTGCAAGATGTATGCTGGGTCGCATGGAAGCTGCCTGAGCTGCCCTGGGAAAGTGTTGGGTATTCTGGTCGTTTACTTCAGATGAATATGGATGGCCAGATGCCCGCGCTATCAACCCTTCAGTTACTCTTCCAAGTACATGCGACCACAGGGTGTGGAGAACAGGGCTTCCCGTCCGCTCAGCCGTACTTAAGCCACACGCCGGTGAGTTAGTAGTTAGGTGGGTGACCACTAGCGAATCCTCACTGTTGCATGTTTTTTTATCCTCCCTTTTTTTTTTTTTTTTTTTTGGCTATTGCAATGCTATCTAGTTCATCTACTTCCAAAGACCCAAGCTAACCCAGCACAGCGTCTCCGCGAAATCACAGACCCAACCAGCTCTCCCTCCGCCACAAAAGAAGAGAACCCCTACCACCACCTCCGCATCACAGTAACCAGCGGTGGATGCCATGGCTTCCAATATATGATGTCCTTGGAAGGAGCCTCCAAGATCGACCCAGAAGAAGATACAATCTTCGAAGGAGAGCCTGACGCCTCGGGTGCAGCAGCAGAGTCAGCTGGCGATGCTAAGGTGGTGATGGATGAGCCCTCGCTCGAATTGCTGCATGGCAGCACTGTGGACTACACCACTGAGTTGATCGGAAGCCAGTTCAAGATCGTTGATAACCCCCGTGCCACAAGCAATTGCGGTTGCGGTACCAGCTTTGACGTTAGTGATTGATTGGGGAGGCTGTTGGGAGATATTTTTGTCTTCGTGTAAATCATATTGCATACTGTAAACCGGATAGGTAGTTTAATTGCATGCTATACCCCTCTTCTCTTTCATATTCATGTTTATTTGGATGTGGTTTTCGGATTGATGGTGTACACAGAGCCCGCTATAAGGTCAACGGAATGCAAAAACTCAATAGTGGTTCTATGTCTGCTTCAGTTACGTTGGACAAATAATCACCTGAGACACAAGGTGTCAAGAAGCCCGCTACGCAGAAGATTCAGTTTTTCAAAATACAGCCATAGTTGCCCTTTTTGAATAGAAGTAAATATAGCAGATAGACCAGGGTCTTCAGCTCAGGGGAGTTCAACGAAGAAATCATGATTGAGTTTGGCCATAGGAGATTACATGTAGCAGTAACCTTAAAGACTCGGTCATATATGATCATGAACTTATCAAACAGGTGCCCAGTTTAAGGACTTAAATGGAAGGAAAAGCCATCACAATGGTCTAGAGTGGATGTATGTAGAGTATCTCGTTGATCTATTGCTTCATCAAGTAATTGCTTTTTTATCTACCTGACACAAATACTCTCCTTGCTGTGTAACCCACACTGACTTCAAAGAGACAGAGACAGCAAGACTAGGACAACGCATGAAACAGCGGACGCCCACCAAAGAAATTGCGATAATCCAACTTGATTTTGAACCGACCAGGAAGCCTTACCTCCTTTAGTCCACGGGACAGATGACATCGAACGAAAAAAAGTAAACAAGAAACGGAGAAATGGGGGTGTGGGAACCGTTAGCAGGGTAACATGGGAGGGGGCAATGAGTAAAATATGGGAAATGAAAACACAAAGTCGGCAGAGAAAAAGAAAGAAATTCATCTCAAGTCATGTCCGTTCCTCTTCTTGTAAGCAGAAGACTCTCTCCGCTCTTCGCTTTTTTCTTTTCAACTCTCGGCACACTTATGAGACACCGCTTAGTAGACGCGGGCAAGGTTGCGCAGGTACCAGTCGACCAGACGGCGACCGGCCTTGGTCTCACTGACGTGGATCAGGTCGTTCTCAAGAGCGTAGTCAAGGTCGTTGGCAATGGCGGGCTCGCCATCCAGCAGGCCACCCTCAACCCAGCGAATCTGGCGGCTGCGCTGCTTGTTAACCAGCAACCAGGAGCGGAGCTGCTCGGGGGACACCTCGAGGAAACCAGCAAGCTTCTTGAGGTCCATGGTGGTGTAGAGCTTGAGGTAGGAGCGGATGGTGGGGTTGAAGAGAGTGTTCTTGACCTCATCCATGAAGATGGCGGTGTGGTGGTCGACGGGGTCGACGTTGGAGGCAGGGTTGTCGAAGTCGGGAGGAGTAGGGTTGATGAACTTGGGGCAAGAGGAGCGGAAGAGCTCCTCGAAGACGGGGAGGGCCTCGGGCCCACCCTTCTGCATACGGTAGAACTGCTCGCCGTACTTCTCGCGCAGGGCGGAGTGGATGGTGTCATCCAGACGGGTAGGGTGAAGAGCAACACAGATGGCGATCAGGGCGTACATCTGGTCGTTCTTCTTGGCAATGGCATCGTAGTTGTTGCCGCCCTTCTGGAAGTTCTTTGTCCGAGACACATACACGAGGATGTGGCTGAACATGCGGATGGCATCGCCGTAGCGGCGCATCATCATGTAGGAGAAGCCCACGTAGTAGTAGGTGGTGAAGTGGGCGGCCATCACGCGGGCGAACATGGCTTTCTTGTTCATCTCGATATCGTCGAGGGTCTTCAGTGCCAAGCTGAAGTCACCGAGCAGGCAGTGCACGCGCAGCAGGCCGATGATCGAGAAGTAACCGAGCATCTTATACAGGGGGCGGGAGCCGTACTCGCCGGCAACGGTAAGAGGGTCCTCTCCGCGCTTCATGGCAGCCAATTGCTCGTTGATTTGCGAGCGCTGGATGAGGGAGTACAGCACGTTCAGCACTGAGTAGCAGCCCCATGTATTCGGGTTCTCGCGGAGAAGCTGGGCTTCCTCCTCATTAACTCCACCGCAAGCCACGCGGTTACGGTAGCGGCAGAACGATTCGAATTGGTAGATGAACTCATCAATGACATCCCAAGCCCAGTAGTACTGATAGTGAAGAATGGCATCGTTAGTTAAATTAATTCTCTTTCAAGAATACGTTGACCTGTTGATTCCACAAATGCCAAGCATTTCTTTTCATTCATGGCATTCAACAACAATGGTCGGTGAGACGGAGCACCTACCGAAGGAACCTCCAAGTCCACGGGGCCATCCGAGTTCAGAATGTAGTGGAAGAGACTGCAGTAGTTGTCATAGCTGGCGAACTTGGTCTCGAGAGTCGCCTGGTATTCCAGCGGGGTAGCGGCAGCGGCCAGCTGAGCCTGGAGGTCTTGGGTCTGGGAAGCACCACCGTGGGATGTTGTCCGGTCGAGCTCGCTCATGCCATCGTCGAAGTTGACCTGCTCGCGGTAGTCGTTGACCATAGCCTCCTCCTCAACGTCGGACTCATCGTTCAGGTTTGGGCGCGCATTGGCGCGCTCGTCGTAGGACATATTGGGTGTGGGAGGAAAGAGAAGGATAAAATCCGAAGAAGAAGCCGAGATGAGACGGCAAAGAGAGGGGGGTGGGGAGGGGTCGGGGGCGTCGGCGTGTGCGATTTGCCAAAGACGAATTTTGTGAGGGTTTTCGCTAACACCTGTGTTTGCTTATCTTTTATCGGGATGAGTAAGCAGCCTACTGTCAACTTCAATGGGTGCTTCTTCGTTTTCACTTCTTTTCTTGATTTTTCAGATATAATACAAGAGAGATGTGGTCGTATAAACTGCCAGAGAGAGTGTGTGTTATTGCCAGAAAGGGATATACGTATCTCCGTTTTCGCGAGATAGCCTCTGAGTCCATACTATAGACAAGCATCACACAAATGAACGAACACTTCGAAGCTACCTAAACATTGGTAACCTATTATTTCTTCATGTATAGCCTCTAAGATTGCGCTTCTGCTGGTCTCTGGCCAAACTTCTAACCTCTAATTTCTAATTGGACACTTTCTTTCATTCCACGGCTGGATGTGATGTGTAGGCGGAGTAGCGCCAGCGCCGGTGGAACAAAGTTGATCTCGAGGTACCAACCTTCGAAGGGATTTGTTCATCTCTCCTACATCACCCTTGCAACAAGCTTAGACTTACATTTCTCGCTTGATGGGAATGTAGTGTAACTGAGGAACGGCCCGAGTGTGGTTTCCGGCTCAGCTCAGCAAAGTAGGACGGGCAGCACTGGTGAACGCCAACGGTAGGTACCCACAGGGACATTGATCACTTATAACACTGTCTGGGGATTACAGCATCTCTGTCGAGTTTTGCCCGCTAGCCTCTTAAACTAGTCACTCTCTTTGGCCAGCACCAGCTTGTCCTTCTCTTCGGCTCTCTTGGTGTTACGTTCACTCGTCACATTGCCCTTCGCATCACCAACTTTGCGACGCCATAAACGACTTAAAACATCAGGATTGTCTTCTACCAGCGTCGTGTCGTGATACAAATATATTCATATACACGAATCCACACTGAAGCTCACGCCCCTCGCCCCTCCCAATGTTCTGGGTCATCGAAAAGTGCAACGGCCTCGGACGGTAGCTTGAGGTTTCGGCGTAGCGCCTGTGCCCGGATCTCATGGATCGTGTCGGCTGTTCGCTTGAACCTTTTTCTGAGAGCGGTGCCAAACCGACTGAGCTCAACAAATGCCTGTCTTGATTCGTCACTGTCATCCAGGTGGCACGCTAGAATCCGAAGGCCTGTCTGCGTGGCATCGACCATTTGACTTGGTATATATTTGAGACCATACGATTCGCGGTGGATACGAAGACACTGCGCCATCTCCTCCGCGGATTTGACCTGGTAATACCGAGCCTGTTGTACGAGTCGTGGCTGACTATGGTCATTCAAAAGATCAAAGAGAGATATGATGGTGTGAAGGCATTTGACTCTTCGCACAGTATCAGCACAGGAACAACCTCCAACTCAGGTGAGCAAAGGACTTACCGCAGGAGGATAACTTGGGGAATGGGATCACGCTTCAATTCATGCATCTGGGGCCAGCGCCCGAGCCAAGCAGTCAAACGATCGAATGGGTCTTCGGCCTGTCTCCATAACTCTTCAAAGCTGGTGCCCCGGCCTTTCTGAAGAACAAGGTTCTGGACTTCGATTAATATTTTGGTGATTTGAGCCATCCCTTCCCGAACATCTGGAAGGCGTGCTGGTCTTTTGTCATAGGTGATTTGGTTTGAGCGAGGATACGGGATCCAGTCAAAATCCTGGTTGCCACATAATTTGATATCCGATGCTGGGTATATCAATGGAGCAACCCACTGCAGCTCCATTGACATTTCTCTGCCCGAACTGTTAGTCGCTGCCTTTACGACCATGGATCCCTAGGTGGAACGCGTGACCTACGAGTTCAAGTGGAAAATTCCCCAGGCAGTGATTGTACGAACACGTTCAATCTCGGGCAGCATCTTGTTTTTAGGTCGAGATAATGTCGAGGGATGGAGGATTCTCATTTCCTCGGCCAACCGAACAGCCTGCCGAAGCATCAACCAGCCTTGTCCAACTTGCCCCTGGGATTTGAGCCTGCGAATATCGTCAATCTCTCTCATCGAATGATCGATACTCTAAAAATTAATGGGCCACATACACACAGCACATCAAAAGTAGAGCCTGGATGTTTGTTAAACTTGGGCGACCGTTTTCGGCTTTCCACAATCTTTCTGCTTCGCAAAAGAAACTTCTGCCACGTGAAAATGTATTTCCGGGATGTGAAAGAACATCAGGGCTATCAGAATATGCCTATTTAGGTTAGAAACATGACAATCTCAACTGAAGGGCAACTGCGTCATACACTGGCCATTGATAAAAGACTGTTGACGAGAATAGGTGCACAGAATTCCGAATTCAGTTTTCCGCGCCGCATATGCGCGAGAAAAGCACCCTGGTCAAGGATTTGAGAGCATGGATGATCCCAGGTGAAGTAAAGCGAAATAAGGTGTGAGACCAAATAATCATCGTCCGTGACTTGTGTCCACGGCTTGGCCTGCACCTCGAACAGCGGTATATCGCACAGGCTTTCCAGCGTGATACGTGCATAAGAGCCGACTGCTGGTGGCTGAGGAATTTCAACGTGGATCTCTTCTGGGGAGCTTGTTATGTTGCCCGGATCCGAAGGCCGTCTCACCCCAGTGTTTGAAGTTTCCACAGGGTAGTCTTGATCCTCTAATATCGCCAAGGTGTTATCAGTCAAGAGCCCATTGTTGTCTTCAAATTCCGTGGCAGGACTTCCGAGAGCCCGGGCGACATCTTCATTAGAGACACTGTTCCGAATTATGCCCACAACTTTGTCGCAATCGGTTTTATCAGCCGAGCGGATAGTGTCCAACAAAAAATTTAGCAGATCTTTGTGATCTGTCAACTCTTGGATCGTCCGCTTCACGGCTACCTTGCGCCTGAGGTCTCGACTCGGATCAAAGAGGCATTCGAGGTTAGAGGCACTACAGGCTTTGCATTTACCGGGTGGCCCAGAACACTAAACGGAGGTGCGAGTCACGATTAGCAAGGTTCTTCGATTTGAAGGTTTCTCATGAATACCCCGGGACAATCTCAAAATAAAAGCAACGGAGGCTTACCTTTCTCTTTGCTGCCTTGCAGGCAAGACACGCCGTGGAGTTCTTCTTTGGTCTGCTGACACCCGTTGAACTATGAGGAGCAAAAGTTCGTGAGGGCCCCGGAGCCAGTGCCGGTAACGGTTTCGTGTTGTCGGGGTGGCCCATGATCATGATCAAAATATCAACCCAAACGGGTTTTATATGCAGAATGTTGTGTTTCGAACAGGCTGAATGAGATACACCACAGCTTAAGTCTTGACAGATGCAAGTACGTTGAAAAGTTCAACACCCGTTGCTCTTTCTTGCAAAAGAGGTTTGCTGGGACGAGCAGATTCGTTGCAATATAACGTTGGATTTGTCTTCTAGTGTTTCGTCTTATGTGTCACCGAAGACGGCATTCAGAGCTTCATCGATTCAGTATCAAAAGTGGTGTAAGATGCCATGTCGTGAGGATGAGGACGTTACGGTGCGGTGGCTGCGTTATGTATGACGAATGGGACCCGACGAAAAGCCACCCATTCTGGAATCGGTCGAAGTGATCAAAGTTGACATGCAGGTGACAAAATCCAAGAAACAAGGGGGTCGCGTCGGCAAACAGAAGGAGTGGGGGGTTCGACGCCTGTCACACAACCGGGGTAGCCCGGTGGCCCAATATCGAATGCAGCAATGATTGGAAGACTAAAGATACAGCAGCTCCCAATCTGGCATGGATGATGCAGATGGGGAATGGCTATCGAGACGAAGCTAAACCTGAAATATGGAAAGACCACGAAACGAAGAAGTGGAACAAAGGGTTCCAAAAATGGAAAAGCGAAAACGAAAAAAAATCCCCCAAGGTTTATCAATACCATAAGTTACCACAAGGGACTGCCCGGTCTGTGCCCGTGGTAGTGGTACCCAATACTAGTTTGATGCCTTTGTCGGGCTAGGCACCGCGACCGGTATTCGATCGTCATAACAGCCAATCTCAGCCCGTGGCTGATCTGATGCGCTCACAGTACAAGAGCATGGACTAGCGCATCCTGTGCCCCCCGCAGCTACGCATTGTTTGTGTCCTTGGTCCTACAGGTATCAGTGTCTGTGTCCGGGATGTCGAGCATCGGATATCTAGAGGTACTTTGGACTGATACTCGCCACAGGTTCCATGCACGCCTGACTTAAGATCTTACTAAACATTGATGTGAAGCTTCCAAGCCAATCACCGGTTCGGCCTCCAGTTCCATTAGGCCATGTGCTGTATTTGAGTCGAAAATGTGATAAGATGTCGTCACGCTTGACTCTTGTCTACAGTAATATACAGGGAATCAACTATTTTCAAATAGGAATCGCCTTGCGTCTACCCATGTCAAACACGAAAATACCTGCAGTGCTTGCTTTACAGAAATTTTGATTTCAACCCAGACGGGTCAGGAAAAAGGATCCTGAGCTCGGGGGTCGTGAAAAGGGGAGATTCCAATACACTGGTTAATGGGGAACCACAAGATATGCTCCTACACGTTGTGATACAGTATGCAAGTGGCAACTGATGAAGTGTAAGAGTACCGGTACATTGGATCAACCTTGTACCGCCCCAGTTCCCGGTGGATCGGCCGGAGCAAAACACCCAGGGGAAAGGAACGGTCACGAAATTTCCAATCCCAGATCTACATCTCCTCGGAAGATGTTAGTCTGGATTCTAATTTGTCATGCAAGTAGTGAACCGGGCTATAGGATGGAATGGTCCAATCCCATCTCTCTCCTCTCGGTCAAGGCGCCCCTTTGGAACCCGATTTCCTTTATAAAACCTCCACACACTGCAATCTTCTTCCGCCGTCTATTATTGGCGGTTGAGATCCGACCAATCGGATTTTGCAAGTCGTACGTCTCCGTGAGATTCAGTATCTTGGCAGTTTGTTCGATATCAAGCAAAAGAAATTGCCCACATCCTTGTTGGCGACACGCAAATGATGTTGACCGCACAGAAACAATATAAAACCGGTTGAACATGCAGCGGAATCCTCTTCCGCGGCAATGAAAGTGTATTTTGAGTTACATACGCAAATATTATTAATTCGGTACTTTGTACAGGATTTGCAGGCCCGTTTGAACTACTGTGGTTTGTCATCTCTTTGTCCACAGATTATAAGCTATACTTACCGAAAGCGGAAAATGCTAGCCAAAACCAAACTAGGAAGCAAACTTCCGGACCTTTAACCGAATTATAGGCACTAGTCTCATGCTCCGGGACCCCGGTCATAGGCTAAAATATAGATGCAACAGGTCGGATTCTGGTTGGGCCTCAAGTCATAGCTTCACCTGAATACTCCAACCTATCGCTTCTATCGGAAGTAGGTCTCGTGCTCTTGGAATATTGCAGCCATAGGTTGATGCCAGGGTCTGAATACCGCGACATCGCTATGCGGCTGAGATCCCCTCATTCCGTGTTCAAGGCAACAAAAGGGTACCGACGGGGCCGAACTCCCTTGCAAGTCCTGTTTTAGTGTATACTAATTTCTGCAATGCAACGACACGAATCCCCTGGTACTTGCATGTGTGATAGGCAAAGCTAAGAGATACAGATAGACTAAAAAGTAAGAAAATAGAACAAAGAAGACCCCATTTCAGCAAATAACCGGATCCATATAGATCTGCAGAGACGGAATTGCCGCATCTCTATGGTATATTGGGCAAAGTAGGGTTGATGTCCGCTGGAAAACGTAGCCGGGTTAGCCTGATTGGCCGGATGTTTCCCCCGTCATCTTCGTACCCCCATACGCTCCTCTTTTCTTTTCGTTTTCCGCGTGTTGGTATAGGTCGGGTTTTTCTTCCTAGCGATTTGGCTTGCATTTCATTTCTCTAGTTTCAGAACATGACACATCTCGATACCCACCCAGGTGTCTCTCCCTATGTCAATCTAGAGTTTTTCACTTTTGGTCGCTGCCACTGCCGCTACTGCATTGCAGCTCCGTCTTACTTGTAGGATACCTAATCCTAACGTCACAATGCAGATCCGATCGCTAGTTTTTTGCTTTTCCCGTCTTTCCACTCGTTTCTTTGGTCCGGTGATTTCTCATGTCAAGGTGGCTTCGCTGTTTATGGATATATCGATTTTGACGTCCGTGAACTAAGCTTAGGGGAGAGGTTGCCATGAGTGCTACTTTCCAGCCACCCATGAGGTCTGACGTCGGATCGGCCAGGTCAATGCGTTTGTTATCCGGTCGGTGTGTTTCGGTGACTTGGTGGCGTCTTATGATTGAACCTTGTACTTGATCTCAACTTGGTGGGCACTATATTAAGTGCTGTTATTGACTTTAAACAGGCTATCTAAGACTTTGATGCAGATGATTCGTTGCGAAACTTCTGAATATGGCCAAACTTAATATAGCTTCGTGTTTTCATTCGTGGCAAGCTTTGCGGCAGGTTTGTGTACCTCTCAGATGATACCTCTCAGATAATATATCAGGGATAGTCTGTCGATCTTAGTATTATGACGGATGCCGAGCGGATGACGGATGCCGAGCGGCTGACTGTAGAAATTTGTAGAGATACTCATGTTCGTCAATTTCGTATAGGGATAGAGTATGAAAATGGACCAACGTATCCTGACAGACTTGACAGTTGACATTGGTTTTTAACTGTTGTATATGGATCACCTATTCTCGTGATGACTCTTCGCTGATACATTACCCCCAGAAAGTGTCTGGAATATAAGGGCTGACTGGTATGACACCCGAAATGGATTTCTTGCCCAGCATTATTATTGTCATTTCTTGTCTGTTGCGTAGTCCTGTCCCACCCACTTGGGTCTAAATGGTCCTGCTTACCCTTGCTTGAGCTTTGCTTCTAAAGAGATCTAAAAGTATCTACATTAACGTCGTCCATGTATACTTTTCTGTGAAATTTCACCCATCAGGAGGGCCGACTTCCAACACCTTTATAGGACATATCTTTGTTCATTTTCGAGGATCTCTTCTAAAACGGATTCTAATGCTGGTCCTCAAATGGATGGCTATACAGGTTTTTCTATAGCTAACTAGTGGCTAACTATAGGATCAAGCATAAAAATAAAGCGATATAAAGACGGTAATAAATTTCCCAGCTCTTCTGTCCAGAATCACTAGTACTCCAATTCAATGAAACTTGCACGTAGAACCAAGGTCTTCCTCTAAAATATACTAATAGGCCGAGCGAAAAACCGCACTAACTACAGACATATCGTAGTTAGGGCTAATATCCGTGCATCGCTTGGCTGCAGAAGTACCATATCTACAAACCCATGCCCTAAAAAGTATGCTTTAGACCCGCTAGAAACTAGAACATTAAAAACTTACTTCGGTTTCCCTCGGCTCTATAAAAAGAGCCCTAGCCTCCGCAAAGAGAAGGATCGCCACCATCAAGTGCAAGCGTCTCAATACGCCCTTCCATCCAAGCCTTGCGGCCCTCCATTTTGGCCACCTCGGCCTTCAGCACAATATAAGACTGAGCTAAAGCCGGTTTCCGATAATCAACGTTCAGATTAGCCGTGACACCAACCCTCTTGGGGAAAATGGCAGAGCAACATCGGCAGAAGGTATCATCTATCAAAGTCGCTATCAGACCGCCGTGGATGATACCCGGATGACTACAGACATCTCTTCCGACATGTAGAATCATCACCATGCGTTTGCCGTTAGTTTCGTTGAATACATAGGGTGGTACCGATATCATTTGTGTGCCCGCAAGGGATCCGGCCAGGAGTTTTCGGTCTCGAAGCAATTCGGGACCGTTGAGATGGGGTCGTGACTCGGTGAACTTTGGATTTGCTCGTAGGGTACGGGTCACTGGATGGTCTTGGATGAAAGTGTCGATCGCTTTGGTTGTTCTGTATGTTGGTTGGAGGAGACGGAGGGTCTGGGTCTCTACTTTTGCGAGTCTCGTAATCGACATGATGTAGTTTGTGGAGAATGAGGGTAATTTACGAGGAATGAGTAGATTGAACTCGAGTGGAATCTGCACATCGCTACTTCAGATTGGAAATGGTCGCCTATATATGTTCTGTTGCACCTCCCTACCCTTCACACGATGTTCACTTCGTGTGTGGCTAGTACCTCATTTGATTTGCTATGTTATGTGACTCGACATGAAGCTGCATAATCCCAGGCTACAATAAGCCCAGTAGGATAACTCCAATCGATTGAATTTGTTTTCGTTCTTGCACACCATCTGTTTCACTAGTATAAGCGGAAAAACCACGCAGAAAAATATAACTGGCGAAGATTCGTGATATATGCCAGAGACTGTCCAGCGATAATGGATCTTGCTTTCCTAGATCGATGGTACGCATACATTAAATATTCTAGAATAAGATTTGCCCCTCTTGTACTTCCCAATGTGCTTTGAAATGGAGCTATCGGAAATGTGTGATGTATGCCGACTAAAATTGTCATGTCGATCAGTGCCTAGATTGATTCACCTACTTCTCATTCATCCAATGCCATTACAATGACATATTGTATGTTCCTGAGTTCAATCAACCAGATACAAGTGTTCTTCACATATTCCCTTACATTCTTCAGGGATAAATAACACTTTGACGGTTAGCCTCGGAGATGTCAACCGGGCCGAGTGGGCCAATAGATCGATAACGACTATCAGCATTGTCAAGCGCAGGGCGTAAGGCGTAACTATTGGCATGTTGCACGAGCAATGAAACACAGGATTCGTCATTGCAGAAAGCAGCCAACCCTATTTAGAAAGGAGACTCGATTTAGAAGTGGCAATTGGTCGAAACATGGGGAGAGGCGACTCCCGCTCGGCGTTGAAAACTTTTTCTCGGTCCGCCCTGATACCAGAGGGGCATTCCCGGGGCAAACCGCTCAACTTTATAAGACAGTTGGATCCTGCTCTTTGTATCAAATATCAAATATCAAAGGCAAGGTATGTGCATTTCTTCCTATAGTAGTGGATCGTCGGTTAACCCCACGACTAGTGACTCATACCAAAACAACACCTTGAACATTCCATATCAAGGCAGTCAATTCAATTGATCACATACATTCACCATGGGTTCCATCGCTCCTCATGTTGCTGAACTTGATGGCTCTAACTTCAACATCACTCGCTCTACCCACCTGCGCGATGTGCCTCTCCCCGGTTCCCCTGAGGAACTGAGCCACTCCCACTGTACTGACCACATGGTCACCGTGCGATGGACCGCGGCCAAGGGCTGGGAGACTCCCGAGGTCAAACCCTACCAGAACCTCAGCATCCCCCCAACAGCCTCGGTGCTGCACTATGCCACCGAGTGCTTCGAGGGCATGAAGGTGTACCGCGGATACGACGGCAAGCTTCGTCTCTTCCGCCCCGATTGCAACGGCGAGCGTCTGAACAACAGCTCCCAGCGCTCCTCCTTGCCAGGATTCAAGTATGACGAGCTGAAGAAGCTCGTTGCCAAGCTGCTGCAGATTGACGGCCCCCGTAAGTCCCAATAGCCTCATACGCGTCGTCTAAATTATAGACAGCCGCTAACAATAAGATATAGGCTGGCTCCCTAACCCAGGCTCATTCCTGTACATCCGTCCCACTGTCATCGGCAATGGTCCCCACCTGGGTGTCCAAGTGCCAAAGGAAGCCCTCCTGTTCATCATTGCCGTCCCGTGGCCCGACTTCACCAAGATGCCGAAGGACCCCCAGCAAGCCCCCAAGAAGGGCCTGAAGCTGTTCGCCTCCTCGCCGGATACTATCCGCGCCTGGCCCGGCGGTTTCGGCTACGCCAAGCTCGGCGCCAACTACGGTCCTTCTCTGCAGGCTCACGGCCAGGCCCAGGCTCAGGGCTTCGATCAGATCCTCTGGCTGTTCGGACAGGATCGCCAGGTCACCGAGGCTGGCGCTAGTAACTTCTTCATTGTCTGGCACAATGCTGATAATGGCAAGCTGGAGCTTGTTACTGCTCCTCTGGATAACCAGCTTATTCTGCCTGGTGTAACCCGCCGCAGTGTTTTGGAGCTTGTTCGTGAAAGACTGTCTAAGGGCCCTGTTGGCCAGCTTGCGCCTCTTGAGGCTGTTGAGCGGACTTTGACTATTGGTGATATTGAGAAGGCTTCTAAGGAGGGCCGTATCGTTGAGTCTTTTGTTTCTGGCACTGCTGTGAGTTTGTCCCTATTGTTTTACTTTTGAGTTTTTCGGATTTACTGACAGGATATCCTAGTACTTCATTACCCCGGTTGCCATGATCCGCAATGAAAACACTGATATAAGCACCCTCGGTGTCAATGATGAGCCTGCTGGTTACGCTACCCTGATTAAGTCATGGCTCGAGGCCATTATGTTTGGAAAGGTAGAGCACGACTGGGCTTACACCATTGAGGAGGAGAAGCAATAGAGGAACATATATTATGTGCACATGATTTCCGATTTCCATAGACAGTTATGATTTCAAGAATGTTGTTGGGATTGGGTTATACATAGATTTCTGACTGCATTATAGAAAAAGGTCAGCCTTCCCACTTACATTGAAAGCATATATTCACGCTCATACCAGTCCTAAAAAGATCAAAGAAGTCGCAGTTCAATTTATAGGTCAGAAGAACGCAGCAGATACACTGAGAAGCTGAGGATAAAGCATCATAGGGGAATCGTATATTATTGTATATCATTAAACACCTAGGAAAGCCAGTCATCGTCCTAGCTTCGTAATTATACATGCATATCTCCATCTCCTAGATCAACAATCATAGGAGCATATTCTCCAGTCTCCTCATCCTCATCATTCTCCTCCATGTCCATCTCCACCTCCTCGCCGTCCTCCAGTTGAAGCATACCCCGGCGGAGAATGGCTTCGCGATGCAGCTCCCAATCATATTCAATCCTCAGCCATTCCTCAAGCTTGTCAAGCTCAATTTTGACCATGGAATCTTGTCTATTGCCAACAAGCTCATCAACAGATTGTCGAAGCTTCGTGAGAAGCTTGCGCAAGAACGCTCCACCATCATATCCATCAATCTCGAAAAGTCCACCATCAACATCATCACACCGCTGCAGCTGTAAAGCCAGTAACCGTAGAACCTCACTCATAAACTCGTCCCTATCGAGAATTGCCCGCCGAGAGGTGAGAATGAGCTCAAGAAGCCTCTTCCACTGCTGAAGACACGAGTAGTTCATCATAGTAAGCACCATAAGGAACGTAAGCTGCAGCTCTCCAAGTACCTGGTTCCCCCAGAAGCATCCCCAGAATACCGATCAATCAGCTCTCCCAGAGCCCAAGACCGGTCCTGCGCAGCTTCTGTCCTTTCACGCCCAACAGCACCTTCTCTCCACGTCCGCTTCAGATCAATTGGAAGAAACCCGAACTCCCGTTCCTGTTCTCCGCCTGCCTCGGGACCTTCCGTGCCTTCTGCAGGCGAGTCAACGCCAGGAATATGGTCCGCATCACGGTTAGCTGTAGAGGCAGACGTCAACACCCATCGCGGATGACCATCAACATCCACCTCAGGATCCCCAAAAACGCGCGATAACAGGACCGGTGAGATTCGATCCGTCAACCCAAACCAATCCCTCCGTCCATTCTCCTCAGTCTCCTCATCATCCTCAACCTGAGCCGCGGACTGAGCCAAAACCGGTTCCTGATCATTATCTTGACCGTCATCTCGGTCTTCACTCTTCTCGGCCTCATATTTCGACTTAACAAGCATAGACCTCGAAATCCGACTCCGATACCGAAACAGACCCCCACTCTGCCAAACAGCACCCAGATTAGCCTTGTAGCGCATAGCTTCCTGCCGAACAGAATCGCTCTCTCCATTCAGCGAAAGCAAAGATTCGGATTTGGCACTCCATTTCCAAATGTATATTTCCGGCGCGAGATGGTTCTGCCGCTGTGTTTGGCTTTGCGGTACAAGTCCTGTATCATTGCGTCCTTTGCCTGCAGTGTTTATGTCGCCGATATAGAACCATGCGCCGCTGCGGAGGGAGAGGGTTTCTGTTGCGCCTGTGTAGAGGAAGTGCCAGCCTGGGGGAGGTCGCGGATGCCGTGGAAGTTTGCGGTTGAGGTGAAGGTTATCAGGTCGATGCCGACCAGGGTTTTGGGGGGAGGTCTGGGAGGAGGATTGTCGGTGTCGGTTTGTGAGTTGTCATTTTGGTGTCTTGGTGGATTGAGCTCGAGGTTGGCAGGTTCAGTCTGCTGGGAGCTGATTATGACGCGCTGGTTGGCGCTTGGTGTTGCGCTTCAGAATTTGAGCGGCTCGAGATTGCGGGGTTTGATCTTAGGTCCGGAGACGCCGGCTTAAGCTAGCAATTGGTTTCTGAAATACAATTGGGTTTCATAAAGTTGGAATAGATGCGAGTGGAATCTAGACAGCGGGTGGAAGGTAGGTGACTAGGACTGACGTGAAGCTCATCTCCAAAGACTTATCGACCCCGCCAGAGCTCCCCACAGGGCCTCGGAGAAAACTTCATATTATAATTCAAGACTACACTACAACAAGGCTCATATAGAGCTTACTGGAAAGCATAATATATAGGTCAAGATATTGATTCAGATGCCAAAGACTACCTAATACAACACCCAAACCCAAGGGTAAAATTTTCAGCGTATGAAAAAAATTGAAGACCAGGCGATCAATGCCGTTCTTCGCGTTTATTCCATCCACAGATGCGAGAGAAGCCCGCAAATAGCCTCCAATCCAGCCAAGCAATGAACTTGCAAGGGGAAAAGAAAGACCCAAGCTGCAAGCGCACAAGCTTACAGACGGCGACCACGGCGACCACCCTTGCGACGAGTAGAGTCGGAAGGAGTGGGGGTGACGTCCTCGATACGGCCAATGCGCATACCGGAACGAGCAAGGGCACGGAGAGCGGACTGGGCACCGGGGCCGGGGGTCTTGGTGCCGTTACCACCAGTGGCACGGATCTTGATGTGGAGGGCGTTGATGCCGAGCTCCTTGCAGCGGACAGCGACGTCCTGAGCAGCCAGCATGGCGGCGTAGGGGAGGACTCGTCACGGTCAGCCTTGACCTTCATACCACCGGTGACACGGCAGATGGTTTCGCGACCGCTGTAAGCCAAGAATTGTCAGTCCGTTGTTCTTTGTTGCATGACGCTCTGTCGCGCTCGATTCCAACTTGCTTGGCTGGGTCGATTGCGAATGATTTTGATTCGAGGGTTACTCACGAGAGATCGGTAACGTGAACGAAGGTATCGTTGAAGGAGGCGAAGATACGGGCAACGCCGAAAACGAGCTTGCCTGTTCATCGTTAGTACCTGTCCGACTCTCTCAAACTGTTGAACATACCATCACCGGCGAGGGGGCCGAGGGAGACGTTCTCCTTGGCGGCAGCGGGAGCCTTCTTGCTGGGAGCCATTGCGACGGTTGGTGGTTAGTGGATGGAATACGGAACAGAGAAGAGAAGATCAAAATTCGATCCCACTTAGAGGGAAAAAGTGGATGTGTGCCCTAGCGTGAGTCTCGGTCTGTGATTGGTCATGACCAAGCGAGTTAATGCCTGATATCCCAGGTCGCAACCGTTACGGGCTGAAGTCGGCCCGGCGGGCGGTGAGTCACTAGCTTGGTTGCCTATTTAAAATTTTCTTTCTCCCATTCCAAATGTCTTCAGCATTGCAATTGATATTCTCAAACTCGAGTGATAAAGCTCCGAGCTTGTGATTCAAATTGATCACGCTTGCGTAACAAGTACCAGCTGTGAGACTGCGCAGAGACTGCAGCCCGGAATGGGTCGCACCAAGGAAGATGCCACCATCGGCATCATCGGCATGGGTGATATGGGCAAGATGTATGCCAATCGCCTGAGTGCTGCTGGATGGAGGTAATTGGACATATCCCCCTGTTACGTCAACAATACGGGGCCAAAGATGCTTCAGGTAAGCTTTGTCTTTTTTCACCCTTGTCTTTTCACACCACCCCCTTTCGAATGATGACTAGAGTGCATTTGGCTCGAGCATGGCTTGGTTGTCACTATTTCACCATTCTGGTTGATAGTAAACCGCCCTGCTGTCGATGATGTAACAACCACGCTACCTTACTTTTTATGTCTGATCCTACTCAACTTCACTCTTATTGCTTTCACTCATGCTATGGTTTTGAAACTTTACTAACAAGTGAAAAGTCTTCTAGATTCGCATCGGGCTACTGATCACTAACCTCTAGAAATGAATTTACTAACATGGGTATTTGATGTCAAGGATAAACGCGTGTGACAGACCTGAGAATTATGAATCTTTAAAACAAGAGTTCGCTTCTCAAGTACGTCCCTCGGCCGGGGTTATAACGCTCAGAAGCTCATCGTATATAGCAAGGAGTCACCATATTCCCAAATGGCCATCTCGTTTCAAGAATTAGCGATTTCATTGTGTACAGTGTAGAGGCTGGAGTCATCGACAAGGTCGTGGCACAGTACGGACCATGTATGTGTCGAACCAGAGCAACTGGTCTCTTCCCAGCCCAAGCCCAAGTACATTCTGACTCGGAATCAAGCAACCAAACTCGGTGCCATCGTTGGAGGTCAAACGTCCTGCAAGGCTCCGGAGCTTGCTGCATTCGACAAACACCTCCCTGCTGATGTAGAGATCGTATCCTGCCACTCGCTGCACGGCCCCAAAGTCAACACGCAGGGTCAACCTCTGGTATGGTTGCGTCGCATGTTCTATTCTCGACCAGCCCAAATGTCCGTTAGTAACACCGTGATATAGGTTCTGATCCAACACCGCGCCTCGGACGAAAGCCTCAAATTCGTTGAACACATCCTCTCCTCGTTCGGATCGAAGCATGTCTATCTCACCGGTGAGATGCATGACCGTATCACCGCCGATACGCAGGCCGTCACCCACGCCGCCTTCTTGAGTATGGGAACCGCATGGCAGGCAAACAACCAATTTCCGTGGGAGCATGGACGCTGGGTCGGCGGCATCGAGAACGTCAAGATCAACATCACATTGCGCATCTACTCCAACAAGTGGCACGTCTATGCTGGACTAGCCATTCTCAACCCGGCGGCTAAGCAGCAGATCCGACAGTACGCAGAGTCGGTCACCGAATTGTACAAACTCATGATTGGAGGACACCGGGAAGAGCTCAAGCGTCGAGTGAAGGCTGCAGGTGCTTCGGTGTTCAAAGCCGGCACTGAAGGACAGGATTTGCTGTTGAAAGATGAGGTCTTAGACCAATTCTCTCTATCTAACCGGCCGCGCGAGAAGTCACCACCGAACAGCCATCTCAGCTTGCTTGCTATTGTTGACTGTTGGTCGAAGCTGGGCATCGTCCCGTATGACCATATGATCTGTTCCACGCCGGTATGGTCGTTCATGGAGATGTCATTCCCAATTATAATTGGACTAATGTTTTGCAGCTTTTCCGTCTTTGGTTGGGTGTGACAGAATACTTGTTCCGGAATGACGACCTTCTCAACGAGGCCCTGGACACTGCCATCGACGACACCACTTTCCGTTCTGATGATCTGGAGTTCACGTTCGCTGCACGGGTTTGTTCTGCACCATCTCTGCGCCTCTGCCGGGGTCAAAGTAGAAGACTTGATACTAACCTTTGTTTAAATTTCAGGCATGGTCCGACTGTGTTTCCTTCGGCGACTTCGAGTCTTACCGTCACCGGTTTGAGCGCATTGCAGAGTACTTCGCGCCGCGTTTCCCTGAGGCTGCCACTCTTGGCAACCAGATGATGAAGACCATCCTGGAAAAAACCACCTCCAACAAGTAATGAAATGATGAGGATGTATGATATTCTTGCGATTGCATTGTTTCGGTGTAAGGTAAGGCCGAGGTTCTTTCAAGTTCAGGGCTGGGGAATTGGTTTGAGATATGTGATTTTATGCTGCAACAAACCTTTGTCTTTGACTCCGTATATCCAAGTATGATCTTAATTCAGTAGACACCAGGCAATAAACAATATGCCGTGGATTGCTTAGCCGTTGTCTTCACGTGCCCACCCGGGGATAAGATACCTTAGTCATCATCGTTTCTCTCGAGAGATCAGACTGAACCGAGTATCGTTAGTAAGAGCAGTTGACGATTACTGCTGTGTTGATTCAAGTTCGCTTTCCCACCTGTCATTGCTGCTTGATCAGCTGGCATGATCGTGGCCTTCTTCTGATCATCAGTGCGACCCGTGACTGCGCCCCTCCCTTACGCTTCCCCATACTGGAACCCTTGCTCCGCTCCCTTTGAAAGAAGCAACTTCAATGCAGATATACACCACCGGACACACTTGCGATAGGTGAAAGCGAAGCCCGCGCGGCTAAATGGAGCTTCATGGCTTCCGGGCACAACTCAGCATTCTCCGCGTCGACCCAGCATCGCGCTTTGGTGGATGGACGCTCTTCACTCAGCCAAGATGACAACTCAGCAAACGGTAGCTGGAATGATGGCACCCCACGTACTGGGAGGATTGGGAGGTCTGAGTCTGGAGGTAGCAGCAATATGGGCGGACGAGGGTCGTTGGCACCCTCGTTTGGCGGGCCAGGCAGCTTCAGTGCGGAGCTCAAGAGCATGCACTCCCGCAGTGTCACACCCCGGCCGGATGGCCAATATAACAGACGTGCCAGCAGATCAATTGGCGAGGAGGACCTACACACTACAGAAGAGCGCCAGGCTTTCCTGCGGGGCAAAATCGCGAAGGAGACCAAGATTAAGACCGGAACTGAGAACATGCTAGAGGCATTACTATCCAAACCTCTGAAACAAACCAAGGACCAACGAATCAAGGTGGAGTCGGAGCTGAGCTCTTCCAACCGCAAACTGGTCGAATTGCAGCATGAACTGGAAGAGGAACTTTTACGTGCGCAGGCGCCGGCCTCGTCCCCCCAACGCAGCAGCCGCCTTTCTGGTCTCTTCCGGGGCAGTCCCATGCGTTCACCGTCTCGCAACAAAGACACTGGTGGGTCAGTGGATGGAGACTATCAAGAATATGGAGAGGCGGATATGGAATCGCCGACATACGTGCTTTCGGAGACGCTACAGGCGCTGGAGATCGAAGGAATGTCCCCTGATTTCTATGTTGAACGTGCCAATAGCCTAGTTGAGCTATTCAGACGACACCCTACCTTAAAGTATGACCTCGCCTGGCCTGTCTTTGGCCTCCGAGTTCAGGTGATGCTTCTGAGTGACAGCAAAGAGGTAGTAGCTGCTGGCTATCGATTGACACGGTACGCTATTGCGGACCGTAAGTCTTTGCAGACAATCCGATCGTTGCATACCGATGAGCTTGTGATACTGTCCCTCGTCAAGGAAAGCAAAGCAAGCATTGAAAGGGAACAAGCTTTGAAGTTCGTGAGAGGCTTCCTGGATGTCAAAGACGGCGTACGAGAGATTTCACGCGCCATTGTGCGGACTATCGTTGCTGTTGCCGAGCACCATGAAGATCGTCTCCGGAGCATCTCGATCATGACCCTGGCCGAGATATTGGTCAAAGATCCCGAACTGGTCGCTTCGGCTGGTGGGTTCGCTGCCCTACACGATGCGCTGGCAGAAGGGACCTTTGGCGCTTCAGAGAGTCTGATCTCAAGTTTCCTGCATGTGGTGGACACGCCGCGCAGCAGAAAGTTCCTGCAAGGATCTGAATTGGAAGCCGTGCTCACACCTTTCACTGATTCATTATCAGATTCACTGCGTAGTGGACGGTTAAAGACTGCAGCCCGGGCAATTTCGGCGATGCTGAAGACTTGGCCGGGACTGGTCATTCTTGCAAGGCATGACTCGCAACCGTTGCGTTCTCTCCTCGACTCTCTTCACTATGATGATCCCACAGCCCGAGACCTGATCATGGAACTATTATTTGACGCTCTGCGGATCAAGCCTCCATCCTGGTCATCATCTTTCCTTGCCGGTAGGAGACTCACAACTTATGGCAGAGTCTCTAACTTGCGCTCTGATACCGAGTCAAGGGTTTCCCGTACCTTCAATGACACCAATAGCAACAGGTTTGACCTTACAGCCCACTTCTCTACCCTTATCTTGGCTGGCTTGGTTGAGGCAGGGCTTGCAAAGACCCTCTCCGATGTCATTGAGGATGAATCGGATCTTTCTCTCAGACGCAAGGCAACCCTACTATTAACAGAGGTGCTCAAGCTTGCGCATCATTCCCTCCCACAATCTGTCAGCGCTAAGCTACAAGTGCTTCCTCATCTGATTCCGCCAGCCGTCAACTTTGACGTTGACAACCACGACCTTTCAACCACAACAATTTTCCAAATCGAAAGTATCAACCGAACACTGGCTCGTTCCGGCGGATATCCCAGTGGACAGGGCCGATACAACATGGAGTCTGATTTATCAACTTCTCTACTTCCCGGCGAACAAGGGAAGGACAAACTAAGCCCTGCCATGGACGAGACCCAGTTCCGCAATGCCATTCTAGAGACCCACGTTCTCAACACCGTGAATTATACGAAGTGGAAATGGGATCTGATCCACCGTCTGGTTGAGGGCCCTCTCACAAATTCGAAGCGAATGGACGAGGCAATCAAAGGATCCAAGTTCATGAAACGACTCATTGGATTCTATCGACCTTTCAAGTACCGATTTGCCATGATTCCAAACACAAAGCCGAACCAGCGTTATGTCCGAACTGGCTGCGTCCTCATGCGCACTCTGGTCATGACCCCCGAGGGTACCAAATATCTGGCGGAGAACAAATTCCTCCGTCAGGTTGCAGAGTGTCTAGCTCAGCTGGATCGCATGAGTGGGCTGACCTCTACTTCGCCACTTTTTTCCCAAAAGCAAATGGCATCTACATTGAGTGGAGGTTACTTCGCGATGTTGGGAACCCTAAGTGGTGATGTGAACGGGTTGCTCATGATGGAGCGCTGGCACATGCTCAACATGTTCTATCATATCATTGAGCTGCGAGATCGCAATGATCTCATCCAGACATTGCTAGGGAATATGGACTACAGCCGAGAGAGTCACCTCCGGGTCATGCTTTCCAAAGCCCTGACGATTGGCTCCAAGGAAATTCGGATCTTCGCAACCAGACTTCTCCGCAAGTATGCGGTCGGCGATGTCTCATTATCACCTCATGTGGCGATCGGAAATGCGGAATGGGTGGTCAAACTTCTTGTGACCCAGCTCTACGACCCCGAAGTCACAGTCTGCCAGGTCGCTGTCAAGATCCTGGAAGAGGCGTGTAACCAACGGGATTACCTCGAATTCGTGGTCAAGTGCCGGCCATCTCTCGATCACCTTGGTGAAATTGGCGCGCCGCTATTACTCCGGTTCCTGTCGACTTCAGTGGGCTACCACTATCTGGACGGCCTCGATTATATAACACAAGAAATGGACGACTGGTTCCTCGGCCGCAACGATACCTATGTTGGTCTCGTTGAGGCTGCACTCTCCCGGGCTTATGTTGAACAACCTCGACGGGGTAGCCTTGCTCCCGAAGATCTGGTGGACCTCCAGGATATTGGATTGGTACCACCGCATTTCTATCGAGAACTTGCACGCACCGCCGAGGGTTGCAAGCTGCTAGAACAGTCGGGCCATTTCAACGAATTTGCCTGGACAATTCGCGATTTCAGACTGGATGAGGAAGAGAACGAAATGCTCCTCAAGGCTAAGGGATGTCTCTGGGCTGTCGGCAATGTCGGTTCAATGGAACTCGGGGCGCCATTCCTAGATGCCGAGATTGTCGAACGAATCGTGGAGATAGCAACAAGTGCAGGAGTCCTCACCATGCGAGGTACTGCCTTCTTCGTTCTAGGCTTGATCTCCCGCAGCCGACATGGACTTAAAGTCCTACAGGGACTAGGCTGGGATTCTGGCGTGGATCAAAAGGGAGACTCGCTAGGTCTTTGTCTTCCTACCGATTTCCGGAAGCTATTTTTGGTGCGTATTATATTCTATCTCATTCAGCTCGTCGTACTTATTTGTTTAGATTTCTTTCCCGGGTTACAATTCAGAATCGAAACGCACTCCCCGAGAGAAGCTCAAGGAGGCTACCACGGACCCTGACCCTGTCAATCAGAAGATCCTCAAGTTGATCGTCGACATGGGCAATACCGTGCTCTCCAAACGAGCCGCGTCAGATCTTCATGGGTACGTTTGCAATTTACTTAGCCGGTCTTCTTACGTCTACTCACCATCCCAGCTTGAAATCCAAACAACCCGAGCGATTCCACCAAGCCCATCTCTTCCGAAAAACTCTTTGCATCCTAGAAAGTCACCATTTCAGATTACCAGCTCGACGATTTGCCCTGGACTTATTCGACAAGCGTGTTCTGCGTCGAATCGTCCTCGACGAAGATACGGACTCGGATTCAGACTCTTCGGCTAATTCCAACTCTGAATGAACCTCATGAACGCTCTTTACTGCGGCTTTTTGTCTTGCTAATATACCCTGCACGATGGCTGATCGGGTGTTTGGCTTTTTGCACTCTGAGCGATGATTTATGCATGTCCAATCTATGAATTTCAAACTGCTAGAAACTTTGAGTATTTTGTTATGCCTATATGGCATGGCGCAGAAGCAATTGAATGAGATACGGTTCACAATAAATACATGTGCTCTTTTAGTAGAGATCCAACTTATAGCCGAAGTTGTCGTTGACATATGTGGCGTCCAACCTCGGCCAGATCAGATCAGATTATCTAAAGGTGACCCGCCCCGATAACCACCCAAGCTCCACGACACCTCTCAAAGAGCCGATGCACTAGCACCAGCTCAGCCATTTCGAATACGATATCGCCATTTCCCCTCTGCAATGGAAGATGCAGCAGAGTCCGGGTCCCCAACACCGCCGCACCAGAACCCCATGCCGACCGCAATGGAGAGCTCGGACATCTCCAGCTCCGAAGAGCATGATCATGCGCCCAGCGGCACAACAGATGAACCTCACCTCGTCGTTCGCCTGATTCAATGTCATCACTGCGCCCGCCCCTTGCGCACCCCGCTCCGACTTCCATGCGGCAATACCGTGTGTCGGGAATGTTTACCCCCGGTCCGACAGCGGACTGGTATTACATACCCCGTGGCTGAGGGGAGGGAGCAGGGGTTTACATGTTACTGGGAAGGGACTGACAGGTGTGTTGGGGAGCATTGTGTTGGGGATTGTGGTGTTGATGTTCTGCTTGGGAAGTTGGTGGGTGTTTTTGGGGATGTACTGGCCGGGCCAGAGGACAACATCTCTCAAATCGGGTCAAATAATGACGGTCGAAGGGTCCTATGGAGGTCCAGTGAGAAGGGTCGGGTTGAAAGCGCAAAGCTGAAGCGGCGTGGGTGGCTAGAGGGCATTTATGCATTGGCACTGGAAGGTCGGTTTCTTTCTGATGCCTCCGAGGTGGTCTATGAAGATCCCCAGGGTTCGGACGGAAGTGCAGAATCGCGAGATCTCGTTCAATATCAAGCATTGCGGGACAGCCTACGTGCCGAGCTTGACTGCCAGGTCTGCTATGCGCTCATTCTGGACCCGATTACTACTCCCTGCGGTCACACCTTCTGCCAGAAATGTGTCGTGCGAGTACTGGACCATACAGATCTGTGTCCGATATGTCGCCGAAAGCTTGGCATGCCAACTTCCTTGAAAGAAGAGCCTATGAACAGGACCATAACCCACCTGATCGATCAGTTCTTCCATGAACAGATCGCAACTCGGCGGGAAACTGTCGCCCAGGATGAGATGGGCACGGATTACGAGAAGAATCTACCACTGTTCGTGTGTACGCTGTCGTTCCCTACGATGCCTACTTTCCTTCATGTCTTCGAGGGTCGGTACAGACTTATGATTCGACGGGTTGTCGAAAATGGAAATGGAAAGTTCGGTATGGTCATGGTAAACCGCCGTGGCCGGACGCAGCCAGGGCAGCTGGAGAATGTCCCTTTCATGCAGTACGGGACACTGTTAATGATCGAACGCTATGAGTTGCTTCCAGATGGCCGCAGCCTCGTGGTGGCTACAGGCATTTCGCGGTTCAAAATTCTAGAATCTTCAATGCTCGATGGATATCATGTTGCCAGAACAGAGCGCGTGGATGATATCTCGTTGGCGGAAGAAGAGCGGCTCGAGTCCATGGAAACTTCGGCAGCAAGTACAGAGCTCTCGTCAGAAGGCAGTGCTCCTGAGCCTTCATTGGATTCTATGTCAACTCAGCAGCTCCTCCTATTAGCAAGAGAATTTCTCACAAACCAACGCAGATCAGGTGCACCTTGGCTGCATCCGCGTGTCATGTTAGCATATGGACCCATTCCCACAGATGCATCCCGCTTTCCTTGGTGGTTTGCCAGTATCTTGCCTATCTCCGAGGAAGAGAAGTATCAAATCCTCTCTGCAACCAGCGTTCGTGAGAGATTGAAGGTCTCGGCAAAATGGGCGAGGCAACTCGAAGCTCGGGACTGGTGGGTTCAGCAGCTGCCCTCGATTTTCGCTTCTTGATTCTGATACTTCTACACAGGTCGACTCGTTCATCGCTATACTCTGTCTTGTGACTATCCGTTCCCCTCCTCATATTCTGCATAATCCCTCTAGTATTGAGGCCATTGTCAGCATTACTCACTTCTGTCTCACCGAATGTCTTTACGTCGTTCACGCCATTCTCCTTATCGATTTCTGTCTCTTTTGGTGATTCGGGACTGTCCACCTTTGAAAGTGGCTCACACATGCCTAATCATCACGACTATCCCCGCGAGATTGGTCAGCAAGAGCAGAAAGACGAAACATACGTTCCACAAGCATTTGTCATTGGTGCGTTCATGGCCATATTCTTTGCCCAGGTTGGTGTGAATTTCTTGCAGGTTGTGAGAACGGGAAGGCGCAGACGGCGTGTTCTGGAAATGCAGTTTCCACAGCCCTTGCCCCAGCGAAATCAAAATCGAGGTGCAACTAGAGGCACTGGGGTTGATACCAACGCCGGGGAACAAAATGTAGGACCACCTACCCCGGGGACTGCTGCCGCTGAATAGCCTCCAAATCTGGGATGATTTGATCCCTAAAAGTCATCAAAATCGGCACTTTCGTTAATACTGCCATATGACAAGCACTTATATCCCATTTTTCAACGAACTGATACGATCTTTTGTCTGTTATCTTTATCATCATACCTATGGCAATCTATTCATGGCTGCCATGTACATATCGCTAATCAATTACCGCAATATCAATCTCTATGTCCATAAGAAGTCAGAGCCCTCGATTGCTCATTCGCGCCTGGTTCTGCTAGAAAGGGCTACAAGGAACTATTCTGCAACTTGCAATAATCCATACTCAAAGTGATGCAATAAAAGTATACCTCGCCGCTCTATGAAGTGCTTATGTAATCTCGTGTATTTGCCCGCGTCTTCTCCTTCAATCGAACCACGAGCAGCCAACAGCGCGTCATGAGTCTAATCTGCTCAAGCCGTCCATAATTCCAGGCGGTATTAACCCTGTTAGCCCCATACAGCATCCAAAGAGGCCGGACGGCCCCAACACAGCCATGACCTGGTTCTCATTATCACTGGGCCCGGCTGCCTTGGTCCGGCTTCACGACGTCTTGATATGTCTAGCCAAATTCAGCGAAACCGTCGCCATCGAAGCAGAACTAAATATTGTACGTTGATTCATCCCGTGGCTATCTGATTCGATGTTCAGAAATCGTTGAATGGCGTTTCTTGGCTAACACTGCTCTCCAGCTCCGCCTAAGTGCTCTCAATTCCACCAAGACGGGGTTTGCATCCTTCGAATTTGAGAAGGATGTTTTCTTTGAGAAGTACTCGTTCAGTGCGCGTGGTGATAGTCGCGGTGGAAGTGTTTCATTAGACCGGTTTTTTTGCCAGATTTATATCAAGGTGAGACCCGTTGCATATGCTTTGAGCATGGTCATTGAAATGTTCTCTCTTTGCTAGCTCGATGCTAATACAACTTAGGCACTTCTCTCTATCTTCCGTGGAAGAATTGATAGAAACAAAGATACCGCTGTGGAACGCTGTGACATGGAACTTCATGAAGATCCACAGCAGACAGAATGTAGATTGACAGTGAAGATGATCTGTGGACTTGGTGAGATACACTGTCACTCTCATCTTTTCTAAATCTTTCTAACAAGTCCTAAGGTGTGATCAAATCATACAAGCTCACCTACGAGCCAGCGGCGATCCAACATGCCGTCTTCGACAAGTCAAAGGCTACAAGCATGTGGACAGCCGATCCAAAATTCCTAAAGCAGCTCATCGATCACTTCAGTCTATCAGCTGAGCAGCTAGACATGTACTCCGATTCCGGCAGGGCAGTATTCACAAGTTTCACGACGAAGATTATGGAAGGCAAAGGTATGCACACATCCATCTCAAATCCCAACCGCACAGCTAACCCCAAGCAGAAGTCCTAAAACACCCGGTGCACACCTCCGTCGCAGCCGACAAGCGCGACTTCCAAGACTACATAGTCGAGGAAAACATGCACGTGGCAATCAACCTAAAAGACTTCAAAGCAATAGTCGCCCACGCCGAGACAACAAATGCAACCGTAACAGCACGCTACACAAGACCCTGCAAACCCCTCCAACTAGAATACAAATTCGAAGGCGTCAACGCCGAGTTCACAATCATGACCCGCGGCCAAGCAGATACCGAAGACGTCCCGACCTCATCGCGCGCCACAATCCCCCGACAAACACCCGCTCCAATCCCAGTCTCGAGTACGAGTCACGTTCGAGCTCGACCCTCGGCGCCGAATACGCAGATGCCACCGCCTCCACCGCGGAGTAGATCCATCCGTCCACTTACCGGTTCATCTACGCAAGAGAATCTTTCTCAACGGGCTGGGTCGGAGAGACCGCTGGCATCTGGCCTTTCGATGGAATTCGATAGTCTTTTCGTCCCTGCTGATGACGATCGACAGTGGGATGAGATGAACGAAGGAGAAGAACCACAGGATATTCTTGGCTGGGACGCGTCCGGGACGCAGGATGCATTCGGGGCTTCGCTTCGCGATACCGAGCCTGCGTTCTCAAAACGGGATGAAGAGCCTGAGGATGAGATGGGGTTGCCGCCTACACAGCGTCTATCTCAAGTTCGTCACTTGGGCTTTTTCGATTGAGGGGGTGGCATAACCACTCGGTGCTGAATATTTCCATATTTTTGGCGGTCATGGTCATGGTCATGATACAAGCATAAAACTAGTCGCACACCCAGCTCCAACACCAATAATCCGTTCACCAGCAGCGCTCACAGTTTCAGGTAATGGAACGATATTATATGTCCCCGACACATTACCTTGTGGATCTGTATCCGGTCCGCAATTTCCATGTTCGCCCCATCCGAATGCTGCCACCTGTCCGTTTTCCAGGAGTGCGAGGACATGCTCGCTTCCGACGGCGAGGTGGACGGTTGGTGGGAGGGTTGGGGGTGGGAGTTGGCCGCGGTCATTGCGGCCCCAGGCTATAATGGAGCCGGGGTGAGGATTGGGAGTAGAATCGGCGTGTTGTTGAGTGTCGGTCTCATTCGCCGTAATCGAACCAGATGCAGGAGCAACATGTACATAAACACCATGCCAACTAGCCCCAATACCAGCCGAAGCAAAGGGAATACATCCTCTCACTCCTCCACACACATTCTCGTCTGAATCCGAAAAGCCCGATAAAACCTCCGGAATCCCCGTAACCCCCCATTTCATCCCCGAATCAGCAAAGACACCGAGCTTCCCGCCAGACCCCCAAACAACCGAGAACTCCCGCCCACAGGCACCTCCCTTCACAGGAAACGGCACATCAACCTTCGTCGGCCGACAGACAATCTTTGATTCACGGTTCCTAGCACCGAGTTGACCTTTCCGTGATCCGCCCCAGCCGTAGACATCCCCGTCCGAGAGAATCGCTATTGTATGCGCCATACTACTCGATAGGGACGTAATCTTCGTATCCTTTGGTGGAAAATTGGGTATGCTTGTCCCTGGTTGGGTTGGGTCTGTGGTATTATGTGTTAAGGTTCCTTTTGGGGAGGAACCGGTAATATAGATTTTGTCTTGTGTTTCGTTTTCTGATGATTGATACTGTGGCTGTGGGATAGATGCCACGGCAATTGTCCCCTCCCAAGTCGCAGAAACATGTTTGAAAGTCGAGACTTCAGATCCGGTGATTGAATCTTTGAGGATGAAACGGCGGAAATGGGATATATTTCCATCCTCATCTTGATTTTCATATCGAGGACCACACCGTCCATCTATATTACAACCAGCCACATAAATAGCTCCACGTTTCGTCAGGAGGAGGGTGTGGTTTCCCCCTGCTGCGATGTGAACGATATCATCATCGAGGATATTGGTAAGGTCTGTCTTTTCTTGATGTGTCGTATCTGTTGCATTTGTAATGTCTGTCTCGAAAAGACATGGAGTAGGTATTGAGACGTCTTCTGTATGACCGATTCCTAGTTGGCCTGATCCATTGGACCCAAAGGCGAAGAGTTTCATTGTGTGTTTTGGGAGTTTGTAAAAGTGAGAAATTGTGTGGTTATACATCCAGACTGGGCGGGGCGTGGTTTAGTCAGCATTCACTCTTTCCAACCTTGGAACTCGGAGATCTCACTTCCTAACCTTCGAACTTCGAACCTTGGCAGGAGTGCTGTATCAGTATCGCTTGCTCTTTTATGACGAGCCTTGGGTTAGTATTGCTTGGCGGGTATAACTACATTACGCTGATTAACAGTGATTGGCAGCCCAAAATGGTTCCTTGGACGCCGGGTTAAGCTCCCTTCTTACAGACTAACCTATACTATATTCCGATAACTACTGCCAGTTTGTTTTGCGTAGACACAAAGCACGTAAACAGCCAGACAGAAGTCTTCTCATGTCGCTGCATATTCGACCGCCTGTAAAGCCCGCTTAATCACATCCACCGTTATATCATATAGCTGGGATAGCCTCGGAAGACGAGCAAGTATTCTGCGACTTACAATAGTCTGACAATCTGTTCCTCCAGTGGGCCAAGTATCAGCATTTCCTACGTCCGCACTGCCCTTTTAACGAGGAAATCGTAAATGACGACATGAGTTGGGAGATTCACCCTTGAACCTCTCACTCCTCCGTCGGCTTCATATCTTGTAAACGAAATTGTGTTGACCGCCTTCGTTGAATCCGAAAGAACCCTACGGCTTTTGTCGCCCTTAACGTTGGCTCTCGTCCTTCTATAGTGATATTAGCTTCCTTGACATTCGCAGTCTCTTATGAGAATTGCGAGGCTAACTTTTGTTTTGAACTGGTCGATATCTATACGAGACGGCCGAGATGGTAACAAATCGGAAGCAAACACCGATCCGCAACGGTTCATGCTAATCACCATCTCAGCTGTGATGGGCTCGACTACATTGATAAAATCGGGATAGAGATTGAACTGTTCTATTTAGCGGTGGGAAACGTTCCAATAATGCTTTGAGTAAATATCCCCATGTCCTGGATCGAGAAAAGCGTTCTAGATGAACCTGAAATCTATCTTACTGGAGCACCCACCTACACTCTTCGATCCTCGAAGCACAAGTAGTAGGCCCGGTAGAGTTATCTTACAGAGATCACATAGCTCCGTAATATACGTGTTCAATTGTAAGATTCATACATGTGGCATCTCCATGCCCTACACCCAAAGTAACGTACTGGAAAAGTTCTGTTGGCGCAGATTCAAACTCCGAGAATAAGGAGACCAAGCGAAGGAAATTTGTATTGAGAATTTGGGGTGCTGTCTCACGGGTCATCGATCAGGGTTAGTCACCTAGTTGAAACATTATGTATCAAAATAATATGGATGTGCGGTCAATAGACGCGTATTTACCTGCAGGACTCGGCGGGAGTAGTCGTGGAAATCATCGATGCTGCCATTGATTTTGCGGCACTCAGCCAGATAGCTTCCGTCCAACCGAGAGTCGGCTCTCGAAGCCTCCTGACCGAAGTCTCCATCTCCATAATAACCATCGGTATCGTCAACTCTCGTCTGGGCATTGCGCTTCTTCCTAGATCGCCAGAAGAAAAAGAAAGCGCCGCCTACGAGAGCTGCGCCCCCACATGCTCCGCCTACAACTCCGGCGATAAGAGCGACATTGCTGTGTCCTTTCTGCGTGTCGTCAGCTCCATCCGTGCTTTGGTTACTGATCGCGGGGCTATTAGTCTTTGAAGTTGTCGAGGCGCTCGAAGTCGAAGTCGTGGAGCTCTCGTTCACTGCGATGGTACCCCCCAGGCCTGTAGTATAGACCGAATATAGATTGTCACTGCCACCTGTGCAGCGAACTCATCAGCAAGGGGAAGAAATTCTTGAACCGCCGGATGAGGTAGCATACAGATATCGGAGGAGAACCCAGGACACGCCTGGTTACATTGCCCCTTGGGAACCATAGCTGATGGTGGTGGCAGCTTAGTACCGCAAAGGCACTCATGGCCCCTAAGGGCAAATGCTGCAGCGTCAGTCTTGATACATTCATTCAAGCACCATCCAAAACTTTGATAAACATATGATGCTCGATTGGTGAGACCGTCGCTGCTGGAGTAACAGCCTACATATGTCATTGCAGGCGAAGCTCGTTCCGAGAAGCCATTATGGGTTCCGATAACCCCCAAGTCGGCAGCAAGCAGGAGACCCGATAGCGTCAAGGTAATTGGCATAGTGAACATCGTGCGTAATAGCAACCAAGGAAACCCTGGATGATCATCAACTCAGCGATTAAAAAGGTGTTGAATTTCTCGGATGAGCTTGAAGATCAGGAAAAATAAATTTGAAGTGGCAGAAGCTTGAATTATATCTGTTTGGATTAACGGTTTGGCATTGCTTCTATCCGCGGATATTGGGAGATCAGGAGACTGCTATACGGGAAGGGGCTCAGACCTTAAGCAAAGTGACAAGGTTGAACTACGCAATTAACCGAAATCCTCACAATCTGCTCAGTCGCTATTTAATAAGTCCAGGCCATATAAAAGCGATTTGCGCTGCTCTTGGTCCTTTTCACCATCATCATGGGAAGAAAATACACCACAAACACGACGCTTGTTATCGAGTTCACAAACTGTTCGTGTAGCTGTTCAACCTTGAACACGGAGACAGATCGTATAATCCATGGAACATAAAATTCGGGGTTCGTGATCGCAACGCGAGAGCGAGAACGAGAGAGGAACTTCAATATTGTCAATTCCTAGAGGACTCGAGAGTATGACGCAATCATCCTTTGTATTTCTTACGAGTAACGTTTACTCGAACTAAGAGACCTTGAATAAAAAAGTTCGATATACCTCAACACTAGATTACTCAGAAAAAGAAAAGATAGATCATTGTAAGATTCCATTCGGGGGGTATGAGGTATCAATATCTAACAGCGATGGATCGCTCTATGCAGCAAACATCCATATAGCAAGCCTGCAAGCTTGACAAAAGCAACGCGATGTATATCCAGTGATTTTGACCGTAAAAATAAACATAGAAGGAAATATATATATATATATGATGAAAGCAATAGCTTATTAAGACTTCTCGTTGAGGTTCTCCTCGGACTCGCTCTCGGCGGGAGGGGGCAGGGTGAAATTGTCCTGCTTGGATGCCAAGTTCTGCTCCATACCCTTGAACATGGGGCTGGTACGGTGGAAATAGGTGTGGACGTGGCCCTCGAGGAGGGAGTCGTCGGTGTCGAAGTTGTTCTCGTTCTCCTTCTCGGCGACCTTCAGAGCCATGGCGGCTTCCCACTCGGCACGGTACTCCTCGACCTTCTGTTGGTAGTCGAGCTCGGCGTTGTAGTAGCGGCCCTTGCGGAGGATGTAGCGCTCGTACCAGGACAGGTGCTTGGGGTGCACGGCGGGACCGTGATAGTCCTCCTCGCGACCCTGGCGGAGGTACTCCCAGCGGCGCTCCTGCTCCTTCAGATCCAGACCAGTGGTATCGGGGAGGAAGAAGGCGGTGATCACAGCACCGGCCAGACCGAACCAAGGCACAACGTAAAACTTGGTCTGGGTGTCGATGTAGTTGTACAGGACAGACGCCAAGAGAGCACCGGCCTTACCCCAGGCAGCGGACATACCGTGGGCCGAGGCACGAATGGGGGTGGGGAAAACCTCTGCAGCGACCAGGAAGGAGACTGAGTTGGGACCGAACTGGTTGAAGAAGGAGCTGAGGAAGTACATGGTCTGGAAAGACTTGATGTTCTCGGGGCGGCGGTAGTAGTCGTAGTTGAAGGCGGGGATGATGAAGAGGATGAAGCAGAGCATGAAACCGATAATTTGCATCCACTTGCGACCGTAGAGCTTGTTGTCGATCAAGAAAGAGGCCAGGTAGTATCCGCACAGCGACACACCGACGTTGCACAAGTTCCACAACCAGGTGGGCATAACAGACTCGGAGGCAGGGCTGATGACCTTGATGAACTCGCTCTGGAAGAGCTTGTTACCGTAGAAGAAGACATCATTGGCGAACCAGCCGCCAGCAGTGGCAAAGATACGGAAACCGAAGTACTTGAAGGTGAGCTTCAGGGACTGAGCATCATAACCAGTGACAGAGGCCTTCTTCTTGGCGGCGGTGAGCTGCTTGCTGGCCGCCTTCATGTGGTAGGCACGGTAGTACACGAGCCACAGAGTGCCAACGGCGGGGATGGCGAAGGAGACACGGTAAGTCCACTGGACGGAAACGGTGGAGTAGGGGTTATTGCCACTTCCGTGGTGGAAGCAGAGCAACAAGATGATGAGCAGGACCTGGTTGAAGAATTGACCCCAGCCCTGCATCAAGAAAGCACTGGTGACCTTGCGGCCACGGTGCAGACGGTCCTCCTTGGTAGAAACCTTTCCAGAGCCGACAGCGTTCTCCATACCACTGGTGGCGGTCATGGGGTACTCGCCACCAACACCAATACCGTAGATAAACAGACACCAAGCATAGCAAATCACCCAGCCGTTCTGGGTCACACCCCAGGCGGCAGTCAACATAACCAGACCGAGAAGCATGATCGTGGCATCCTGAATCAGACCCCAGCGGCGACCAATCCTATTGCCGTTAGTCTCCGAATATCCAAGTTAAGGTTGTGGCATTGAACCTACCAATCACCGAGAACTCCAACCAGGATCTGTCCCACAATGATACCGATAATCTCGAGGTAGTCGACGGCGTTGATCCATTGCTTGTTGCAAATTTCGTGGCTATCCCAGCAGGCGGGGAAAGCTTTTTCGAAGAGCGGCTTGATGTTACCGATGGAGAAAAGCACGTAACCCTCCAGACCGAGACCGGCACCGGGCAGGACCATGTTACGGAAGTAGTAGGAAACAGGCGAGAGCGGGTCCTCCTTCATCATGGACCAGATGCCGCTCAGTTCGCGCTTGGCTTCCTTGGAGTCGTAGGAAGTCACGAAACTGATCTTCTTGAACAAGGGCAGGTCGGCCCAGTAGGTACCCTCGGAGGTATAGCTGTCATCGGGACGAATGAGGGAATCGAAAGCTCCCTTCTCGTTGATATCCATATCCTCCAGCGGGTTGTGGTCTCCCGACATGTCAGGCCCATGAGGGGCGCGAGGTCCAAAGTCGGTCATGATGGCTCTTGGCTCTTCAGATAAGAGTTTGCCGAGAGAGTTGGCAAATTCAATTCCACCAAATGGGGAGGTAAGAGAGAGTCGAAATGACCACAAGAGAGCGTGGCTGACTGCAAGCCAAGTCCGTGGCGATCAGCTTCTTATAAGAAAGAAAGAGTGGGAAGAGCAGAAAAAGGCACATGTAATGACAGCCATTTCTGATAAGTCGGTGGCGGACTCCACTCGGCCCAGAAAAAAAAAAAAAAACCTTCCGAGGAAAGAGCGATGGAGACTTCGGGCGAAGGTCGCCTGGCCGGAAACAGAGAAGTGGGGCACCACGGCTACACTGGAGCTACCGTCAACCAATCAAGAATGCACGTGGGGGCAGAATCTGAACGCAGATCGACACCGCCTGCGGTTCACGGCAGATCTTCGCGGAGACTCAACACAACGTTAACATCGAGTATTTGTGTGGCGTGTACCATCACCATTTACTGTGTGTCAATTACTCCATGTCGACATATTCTACACCTAATACTCCATTTCTCTATGATAAGTATTCAATTGAATGTACAATGCATGTGGTTCGGACTAACTATTGTCTCAAGCTAAAATAGAACCTTGGAAGGTGGCGCCAGACATCTCTTAAATCCCTGTCACTCTCGCTCGGACACACGTGCACACTTTCCGGGGCGGGCAGTGGATATAACCAAGCGTGATGTGATAGGCTGTGCCCCTTTACGTAGAGTACACGCTAGGAGACTCGGGGGGCTATCCATGCAGGGCCTGCGACCACTCAGCGTACAGCATTCACCCATGTGCTCCTCCTCCGCATCTCACCTCTCAACGTCAACTCTCCTCGCCGTCCACACGTGGGAGCACTCGCGTGTCAAACAAGAGCCAGTATCCAATGAATCTACATAGATTGAAGGGCTAGGATATCATGGCTGACACGGATCCACGAAGAACAACCCATTCGACCTAAAAGTATACGTTCAGACATGCGATTTGAACCAACCACACGACCAAATCCATCCATGCCACCAATATCTGCGCCGGGCGGCTACATCGGCTTGGCTAATGCTTACTTCACGCCTTTAGCGTTTGATCCAGCAAAGCCATGCATGTCAAGCATTCGGCGTAGCGAGCGAGGCGTCGCCAAGTGAGCTTCTACAATGCTTGGTGCGCTGCCAGCGAGCGTCGCACGTGCTCCTCTTCCGCGCTTGTTGCTGGTTGACATGCCGTGTCAGCCAACGCGCACAGAGCATGTCCTGTCTCGGGGAATGGTCTGCTTACAGTAGGATGTGGTTTGAGAGATTGCAATCTACGTGTACTTCTTTCTCTACAGAGTACCCACTGGCCACTGGCCCCTACTGCTGTGCCTTGTGTATGACACGCTCGCTTTGCATAAGTGTGGTTTTGGTTCCGGTTTTTTTACTTTGTTTCAGGGGCTATACTTGCGTGGAGACTGGGCGATCTCGGGCTCATGCACTGCACCGAGATTATCTCTTAGTGTGTGTGTTTGATCTGCCGGCCAATGGTTGTGCCTTTATGACATTCCAATGTTCGTGTTGGATGTCCGGCCCCTCTTACAGTAGGTCCCGTCTCCCTGCATCACCCGACACGCCTAGAGATGCATGCATCAGATGCCTTCTAGAAAGTGGATGTCTTCTGGAACGCCCTGCTTGTATCAGCTATTGCTTGCATGGACTCCACCAGCTCATTTCACCTGTGGACTGGCAACGTCATCCAGGATGACCAGATAGTTCACCGTAGTACCGTACTCGAGCAGAAAGTCCGTCGGTATGTCCGAAGCTTAACCCAGATCCAATTGTCCAGCCATAATACCCGTAGGATCCGATTATAGTACCATCTCATGCTCATAACATGTTCGTGGCGCACCTCTACCTCCTTGCAGTAGTCCAGCCCCATCTCCGGATCTCTTGACCATGTACACCACAACCGCACTAAACGCTCCTTCACTTTCACTTTCATTTTCTCGGATACTCGGATGCTAGTGTAACAACATGCCACTAGTTCATCTTGTGGCTTTTAGCTTGGATCGTTTCATTTCCCGCGAACATGTTTCTGCCTGGTCGTAGGGGTTGCCCGTGGTTGTACGGCGGCTTTTCATAGGGCTAGCTATGCTGTGTGATGTGATGTCACTGTATCACAGTGGGATCAATCGGATGACCTCGGATTTATTTGGTGCTTACCAATATATTGGTGGAGATTCGCGGATTAGATCTGGATGTAATGTCCCGTTCGGGTCAGATGGGTGAGTGGTTTGGGATGGGAGTTGCACGACTTTGTTTTTGTTGGACTATTTAAATAGTAAGTGGTGATAAATGAGTGAACTGGCATGGCTATTGGCTGTGGGGAAAGTCAAATGCTTCAACTTACTTTTCTTGTGATCGTGGGATCTATCTGGTGCTGGTGTGATAGGTTTAGTCCTTGTTGATGTTGCGAATTTGTCGCGTTGGCACAACGCAAAACTCACAATTAGCATTTCACCGGGTCACAAAAGATCAAATAAATGAAATGCCAACCTTGGGAAGAATTTAATATCTGCGTGGTGAATAATCCCCGAGGGGCCCTACACCTGCTCACGGGCACATCCGCGCGACAAACTAGGGCAACAACGTCAACCCTACCAAATAACCAACCAAATATCCCAACTAATACCCCAGCCAATACCCAGAATCCTCCATGAATCCAGACTCGCCCATACTCCTCCAAAACCCCACAGTCGGCAACAAGACCCCCCGTGGCTGGCAACATTCCCGAAGCGGGCAGGGTCAACCTCACCACACTCCCTTCCAATTCCAACTTCAGCCATCATACTCGAGCCTGGCATTTACAGGCGATAATATTTCCAATGATCAGAAATCTGACACATCAGGTGCAATGCATACATACCACGGCGAACTCAAGTTGGCACTACACGCCAGAACATGCCCAGACACGCTCACCCCCTCTCTGGCAGCCCACGTCTGGAATGACGAGATCGCGAGAAATCGACGCGACCGATCCATATTCCAGAGGGGTGGTAGTGGTATATAAGGATCTGGGGATCGACTGAATCATAGATTCCCAATCTGGCAACGAGCATCGGTTTTCCTTTTGTGTGGTTGTACCACTTGCTACAGCTTCACGACTTATTCTATCTACAACTGTTCCTATTCACAGTTGCTATACTGTCATACTTGACATTATTCGACTGTCGGTCCGACCAGATCAGACTACAGACCAAACTACAGACAGACAACAGCAACAATGGCAATGATAGACTTGAAAGGCCTGTTCCCAACAGTAACAGCCTTCATCGCATTTATAATCACAATCCTCTGCCTCTTCGCAGGAACGCAGAAGAACTTTCTCAATGGCGCTGATCTCTTAACTGTAAGCCCTATACTCCCCCATCACATTTCCATACCTACCCTTCAACAAAAGCAGAATAAACGGAACTAACCAAAAAAAAGCTCTACACCCCCTCAAGCCAGACCAAAACCCAAACCACAACCCAAACAAACGTCGCACACGATTTCTACTCGATCCATATAATGTCCTACTGCCAGGGCGAACTAGGCACAACAGACCCAAGCGCGGGCGTTACGCGTAACGTAACAACCTGCTCGAGCCGCACGATACTCTTCGCTTTCGACCCGACGCAAGCCTGGCCCAAAGAGGTCACCCACGGCGCCGAGCTGGACTGGCCGCGAGTCATCGCTGATGATTTCCACGCTTTCCGTATGACTAGTCGCGCTATGGCTGTGCTGTATTGTATGGGCGTTGGCGCTATCGGTGCCGTGCTTATTGGGCGTGTTTTTGAGACGTTTATGCCGTGGGGTGGTCAGGGTCTTTTTGAATTTTGGTTTTTGATTGTGAGTATTATCCAACAGCTGTCTTATTCACATATCACATTCTATGCGGGTGGTTTGGTCATATGATTTTTTGATTGTTCCCCAGATTCGGGATTCGGTGTCCGTGCTGTGCATGGTATGCCCCGGAATACTGCATCATATCACTATGATATGAGATGTATCCCGATACTATGTGAGATGGATGTGCTGAATACGACGGTGGCTAACCAAGACCAACCCCAGCTCGGAACCTTCAGCATAAGCATCGCATCTGTAATCGCAACAGTCATCGCCTTCGACTTCGTATCCCTCATCAACGCACATGGCGAGGGGTCGAACGTGTCAGCGCACTACGGCGACAAATTCCTCGGAATGACCTGGGCCTCGGCGGGGCTATTACTCGCCGGCAGTGTAGCGTCCTTCGTGAACGTGTTCATTCGTGCAGCACGAGCGGTGCCAGCGCCTGCAGTTGAGAAGGACATAGAGGGGTAAAGTAGAGGGTACAGTAAAGCGGAAAGAGTAACGCACGAGAACCAAACGGGGAAATAAAAAGGGGGCCAGTCGGAGGACTGATAGCCTGGAGAGGGGGGAACGGACGACTGGGGACGGGGTATGATCGGGGCAACTCGCCCATTCCAATTTAGATATTTGTTAGACACGATGTGATTTTGAAATGAAATACTACCTTACTGAGCCCAATCTGACTTCAGTGGTAATGTAGCTGAAATTGCAGTTGCTAATCCGGCCGCTTGCTTATGCTAGGGGTTTGGGTTTTGGGCGCGTGTGGCCAATGGGCGTGGTGGGGGTTTGTGTGAGCTGGGAGTCTGTGGTGGTGAGCGAGGTTCGTGATAGGCAGCAATGAGAAGGAAAGCGACAGAAGATTCGACTCTAGTCCAGATGTGGCTCTAGGCTTGATAGAAATTCATCGATGCCATTAGAATCGTGGGAAATGAATGGGAAGTGGGTAGTGGGAGTTCGAGACTCCCCTCTAGTAAACGGGCAAAACTGGGTCTACCGCTATCCGACGTCACCACTGTGGAGACTTACAGTATGCGCGATATCAATGAGATTGTGTTCTACATGTAACGAGGTATAGGGATGATTGGATTATCGGATTATTGTTTGAGGTATAATGGCTACAACAGATTCTTATTATGCCTCATTTTAGGGTTGCTCGTAGGACCACTGTACTCCGGGCATACCTGAGGTAGTTTTTCGTTGGATTCCCGGTTTGTCGGCTGGCGACTCCGGCTAAGCCCCGAACTGCCAAGGGTTGTCATTTGTTGCATGTCAAAGCGCGAATGCGAAGGGGATGCTGTAGGCGTAGGCGGGATTTCCCGGGGCACACCAACCCTTCCTCGGTGAGTTCAAGCCCGAAGGCCTGTATGGCCATGACCCTAGATAACGGAAGTGGTTGACGAAACGGGGACGGGGGAGACAAGACAGGACAGGGGAACGGGAATAGGAAGGTCAACATTGCCGATGTTCTGGTTTCAAGTGGGGGAGGACGGAAGAGACTATGACGGTTCCAAACAAGGCGGAGGTTAGTCCCGGATATCTATGAAGTCATCTTTTGCTTCAGCCACTCCCTAGACTCACGGACATGGCGTTGACTTTATGGCACCTTCTTGAGTTTAAATAGCTGCTCTTTCCCCCCTTTGACTTGCGATTTCCTCATTAGTCCATAGTCTCTTCTCTATCCCAACTTCCTCTTCTCTATCCCAATTTCCTCTTCTCTTCTTCTCTTCCTCTCTACACCTCTCACCTTTCCCTACCTTTATACTTTTCAACTCTTTACCTCTATACATCATGGAGAAGAAAGCTATTCACTTCGGCGGTGGTAACATCGGCCGTGGCTTTGTTGCCGAGTTCCTCCACTCTGCTGGCTTCGAGGTGGTCTTCGTTGATGTCATGGACAGCATCATCTCCTCTCTACAGAACACCAAGTCATACCAAGTCACTGAGGTCAGCGAAGAGGGCGAGTCAACCAAGACCATCACCAATTACCGTGCCATCAACTCCAAGACACATGAGAGCGATGTCATCAAGGAGATCGCAACGGCCGAAATTGTGACCTGCGCCGTGGGTCCCAAGATCCTCAAGTTCATCGCCCCCGTGATTGCCAAGGGGATCGAAGCCCGCACCGACCCTAGCCCATTGGCCGTCATTGCCTGTGAGAACGCCATTGGTGCCACTGACACTCTGCATGGATTCATCAAGGACAACATTCCCGCAGACCGTGTGGACTCTCTCCCAGACCGTGCCCGCTTTGCCAACTCTGCCATCGACCGCATTGTGCCCGCTCAGGATCCTGACGCCGGTCTCAACGTGCGCATTGAGAAGTTCTACGAGTGGGCTGTGGAGAAGACACCCTTTGGCCAGCACGGCCATCCCGATATCCCAGCCATCCACTGGGTTGACAACCTCGAGCCCTACATTGAGCGCAAGCTGTTCACTGTCAACACTGGCCACGCCACTGCTGCCTACTATGGATACCACCACGGCAAGAGGACTATCGCCGAAGCACTGAAGGACGACTACATCCGCGGAGTTGTTCGTGATGTTCTCCAAGAGACTGCCGCGCTCATCGTCGACAAACACGAAATCAGCGCCACCGAGCAACAGGAGTACGTCGAGACCATCATTGCTCGCATTTCCAACCACTACCTCGAAGACAGTGTCGAGCGTGTGGGCCGAGCTCCAATGCGCAAGGTCTCCCGCAAGGAGCGATTCATCGGACCAGCTGCACAGCTGGCCGAGCGCGGAGGAAAATTCGACTCATTGATGGGATCTGTTGAAATGGCCCTACGGTTCCAGAATGTCGAGGGGGATGAGGAGAGTGTGGAACTGGCCAAGGTGCTCAAGGAGAACTCGCCTGCAGATGCGGCTGTACATCTCACCGGCCTAGACCGTGACCACCCACTATTCCCCCATGTGGTCAAGGTCGTGGACGGCGTACAATCAAACGCAAAGTAGGAACCTTTCACCCCGCCAACCTCGATCCAACATTTTAACATCACTTTCCAGGGAGGCAGGGCAACCGCGCATCTGATTTGACTTTCAGCTCTTCAGCTCGCATGGGATATGGCGAATACCAGGTACACGGCGCGACGGAGAATCGGATTAGGCTTTGATATGACTTTAACGAACTGTAGTATGAATAGCAAATGAACAACATTCACAATCTCTCTTTTTACAGTCTTACAACTTACTATCCACCCAAACAGGCGCTCTCTTCTCCACAAAAGCTCTCAGCCCCTCCTTGATATTCTCCCCTTCATTCAACCTCTTCACCCAAGTCTCACTCAACATACTAGTAGCCTCATCCGCCCCAATCCCCTCCCATCCCAACTTCACTCCCTCCCGACTAACAAGCACCGAGTCAGGACTATTCCCAGCGATAGTCCCAGCAACCTCCAAAGCCTTCCCAACAACAACCCTCGAGACCTCCCTATCCACCTCCTCCTTCCCCTTCCCACCATCAATAATCCCACTAACATCAACAACAAAATTAACAAGTCCCCACCTCTCGCCTTCCTCAGCACTAACATTCCGCCCCGTAAGAACCATCTCCATAGCCCGCTGCTTCCCAACAGTGCGCACAAGTCTAGGCAACGCCCCCGCCAACGCAACAACCCCGCGCTTCACCTCGGGCAAACCGAACAGTGTTCGCGAAGTCGCGATTACCAGGTCGCTGTTTATGATCATTTCCGTTCCGCCGCCGAAACAGAGCCCGTTTACGGCGCAGATTATTGGTTTTTTGCCTTTTCGGCGGGCGAGCCCGCCAAAGCCGCTGGGGGGCATTGGGGTTGTCTTTGATGTGGTGGATGAGGATGAGGCGCGCGTATTCCATTCTGTTGGCATTGTGTTAGTTAGATCTGATGGACCCAGACCCCTTTAATTGTGATTTGTAGGTGTGATGGAGTCATGGAGTGTCTGTGTCTGTACACACCCTTCAAATCAGCCCCGGCACAAAACGCCCTCCCCATACCCGTCAGTATACCCACGCGCATACTCGGTTCCTCGTCCATCCATTCCCAGACTGCGTGAAGGTCTGCGTGGCCTTGGGCGTTTATGCAGTTGAGGTCTTTTGGTCGGTTTAGAGTTACTAGGAGGATGTGTGGTGCTGGGTAGGAGAGGAGGGCGGCGTGCGGGGTTGGGGGTTGTATGCTGAATTTTGGCATGTTGGCGTTGGATCTTGAGTTTCAATTGATTGATGTAGGATTGTATATTGGGTTCGGTGGAGCTTGGAGGCTGTATTTGAGTATTGTAGATTGGATTGTAGGGAGTGGGAGTTGGGGTTATTTGTAGATGCGGAGAATCTGATGAGATGCCGAGGGCCGATCGGTGTGGAGTTCTCGGCTTTGCCGTAGATTACTATTCTCTACAGTGTTGACTACTGACCCCTGTATAGAGTATTCGGTCTACTCTCCGTGAAGCAAGTACAGTAGACCTGGCTGGATTTGTGATTCTCATTTGTAGTTTGTTCTCTTGACAGGTAGAGAACAGATCAACTCGCCCATCCTATTAACGCCGGAAGCCGCTCTGCGAGCAAAATTTACTAGTTACCATGGATATCAATAGGAGAAACAAAACAATTGCCATAGAATCGTGGCTATCAATAGCTGCCACACTCATGCCTTGTTGATCCAGCCGCTGTGCACCATGAAGTCGTAGATGCGACTGGTCTTGGAACCCTCGATCTTCAGTCATGTCAGTAAGAGATTGCACAGTAGTTGGAGTGAAAGGATGCTGAACATACCTTGCAAATTGTTCTTGCGTCTTTCTTCTTCAGGCTGCCGCCTTGCTTCATTGCTTCCTTCAATAATGTCTCCTTGATCACGAGGTATGGCTTTGGCATAATACGCAGCACGTTGCAGACCTCTGTTTCCTCCTTTGTGAGGAGGTGTAAGTCGGCTGCGGTGTCATTGTCCAGTTTCCATGGTGATAACCCGCTCAGTGGCGGTACTACGTATTTCGTCTTGGCTGGCTGAGGAGGAGGTGCATCTCCGTCCACGGCGAAGGCGCGGTCAAAGTCATTCAATGGTTCATCATTGGCATCTGTCGGTGCGTGGGGGTTGGCAGCCTTTTGTAACCGCAGCGGCAGTTCGGGTGTTGTCAATTGAGTCGCCGCCACCGGAGTCTCTGTTAGCTGTGCCTGTTTAGGACGTGCGCTGGCAAAGCGATCGAACGAGCCCTGGGGAAGCAGTCGTTGTACGCGCTGCTGCTTATCCTGCTCATACTTTTCGCCGGCCTTCAAGTCCCCGATGCCCATCTGTCGCCATTCTTGGAGTTGGGAGATGGCCAGGCGGAGGTTGTGCTCGTACTCCAAACCTTTGTTGACATCTTCAAAGTCTTTCCGGTTCATCATCCGTGCCAAAGGCTTGGCTTTGTTCAACAGATCGCGCTCCTCCTTTGATCGCTTCTTATCGAGGGCAGTGTTCTTGCGGTATTCGAGGAGGTTGTGCTCGAAGAGAATCTTCTTGCGCTCTGTTCGCGCGGTAAGGCGGGAATTATAGATGTCAACCACGGTCATCTTCAGCTCCGTCTCTGCATCAGGCTCGCCGTTCTCATTGAGACCAGCTCCAGGCTCAAAGGTCATGTGTTGCACCGCCTCCTCGGCATCGTTCAAGAACTCCGTCTCAAACTCCAGTCGTCCAGGCATGTAGCCTTGCACTTCGTGACATGCCGGTACACTGGCAGTTGGTTTCTGCTTTGGTGTGGTGGGCGGTGCGGCCTTGGCTGCATCCTTGCGCTCTTCAATGCGCCGTTTCTTGCGCGACTGGAACTCCTCCTTCGAGATCGAATCTTGTAAGCTTCGATCGTCTGGGTCGGCGCGGTCTGCAAGCGGGAAGTTGCCGCTCTCGATGTATGTGTCATAGTAGTGATCGCGCACTTCGTCCTTGCTGCGGTAGCCGCCAATGTGATCTGCGATGTCGGCCCATGAGCCGAGTCCATAGATCTCAGCGCCTTCCAGTAATAATAACTCCTCATCAGCACCCCAGTCTTCTTGGAAGATGGGAACGGAGTTCTGTTCAATCACTTGGAATGGATGTGAAGCGGGGTCGTGGTTTTTCGAGCTTTGTCCGGCGGAGAAGCATGGGACACAGAGGTCATATTCGGGACAGGAGGGATGTGAACACGAGATGCGAACCTGATGGAAGGATCAACGTTAGCTTCTGGGTGATAGACACTCATGGTTGGGGTCCTTACTGTTGATGTGACATCAATGGAGCACACGTCGCAATGGAACTTGGTGCCTGCCTCGGTGCCGCGCGATGCGGTCTTCTTGCGAATCACACCCATTGATTCAGTAACTCTTTCATCCTCCGCTTTGACGCGTGTGTCAAGGACCCAGTTTCAAAGGGTCGAGGAGGGAAGAGGTGAGGTGAGGTCCGGGGTAAGTCTCCGCAGATCGGAGCGGGGAATAATCGAAGCTTAAGCTTCAGACAATAGTCACGGTAGCCCAATAGTCCAATAGTCCAATAGTCCTGAGTCGTGAGTCCTGAGACTAGAGTCCGAGGCACAGCTGTTGGTGACGGGACGTTCACCCTTGAATGTGGCGGAGTCGTGGCTGAGCCTGCCTCTGGCGTGTATTATTACCATACAGCCCTATCGGCACTTCCGTGACTGGCTCAGCCAACCACAGCGGTAATCTATGTATTTTGTTTACAGGGGCTTCCCCTCTTCTCCTTCACTTCCATCTTCATCTTCAACTTCAACTTCACTTTCTTTCATTAGTTGTGCTTCCGGATAAAAGTGGTCTGACTCCTTGTGCACCGTTGCTCCTTTAAAAAGGCTTTCTTCTCGGGCCTTTCGCATGTGTTGATCTTCGGATTCTGGCACTCTGCAACACCACGCATTGCGGTCGGCTTCTTGGACTTTCACATCTTCACTCTTGATCCTCTGCACCAACCGCCACGATGTCCTGGAAGCTCACTAAAAGTATGTTCACTGGCAGTTGGTCTCCCTCTCCCCCTCACCCGTCCCTGCACTGCAGACGACCCGAACAATGGCTAATTGCATATGCTTCAGAATTGAAGGAGACGCATCTGGCGCCCCTGACCAACTTCGGTCGATCGTCCTCTACCTCGACGATCAAGGGCGACTCGAATGGTGACGAGGCCCAGACACCTGTGGCCTCTAACACTCCCAGTATCTCTTCTGCCACCCCGTCAACAAATGGAATTTGTACGTAGTGGCTCCATGATCGGGTGTGCATCCCACTAATTGCTTCAACAGCGGCCTCCGAATCTCTTGTCTCTCCTCCTGTGGCTCCCGTGAACCCAGGTATTCTCATTGTCACTCTCCACGAAGGACGCGATTTTTCTCTGTCCCCTCATTTCCAGCAGATCTTCAACTCGCATTTCCAGAACAACTCTTACGCACCATCGTCTTTACGCCCTAGCACCTCCTCTTCGTCACATTCATCCCAGAATCAAGCAGGCTCCTATGTGCCCTCAGGCCGCCCACAATCCACAAGTGGGGGAATAAATGCCGCTCCCACTATCCACGGTCGCTATTCCACCAAATATCTTCCTTATGCCCTCCTTGACTTCGAAAAGAACCAGGTCTTTGTGGACGCTGTGTCGGGTTCTCCCGAGAGTCCATTGTGGGCCGGTGACAGCACAGCCTTCAAATTCGATGTGTCCCGGAAGACAGAGTTGAATGTGCAGTTGTACCTTCGCAACCCTGCTGCTCGGCCTGGTGCCGGTCGTAGTGAGGACATCTTCTTGGGCGCATGTAAGGTCAACCCTCGGTTTGAGGAGGCCCAGCAACCATACGTGGAGGATCCCAAACTGAGCAAGAAGGACAACCAGAAGGCGGCTGCGGCTCATGAAGAGCAGGCACGTCAAGCTGGTGGGCCTGGTCAGTCGGGTGCCGAATGGCTGGATCTTCAATTCGGTGCTGGCTCGATCAAGATTGGTGTTTCTTTCGTGGAGAACAGGCAGCGCAGTCTTAAGATGGAAGACTTTGATTTGCTCAAGGTCGTTGGCAAGGGTAGTTTCGGCAAGGTCATGCAGGTCATGTAAGGGACCAATTTTTAGGTTTTTGGGCGATACTAACTATCTGGATAGGAAGAAGGACACCGGCCGAATTTACGCCCTCAAGACCATCCGGAAGGCTCACATTATCTCGCGATCGGAAGTCACACATACGCTTGCTGAGCGATCTGTGCTTGCACAGATTAACAACCCGTTCATTGTTCCACTGAAATTCTCATTCCAGTCGCCTGAGAAGCTGTATCTTGTTCTGGCATTTGTGAATGGTGGAGAGTTGTTCCATCACTTGCAAAGGGAACAGCGATTCGACATCAACAGAGCCCGTTTCTACACCGCAGAGTTGCTGTGCGCTCTCGAGTGTCTGCACGGATTCAAGGTTATTTACCGAGATCTCAAGCCTGAGAACATTCTTCTCGATTACACTGGACATATTGCTCTTTGCGATTTCGGTCTTTGCAAGCTGGACATGAAGGACGAGGATCGGACCAACAGTATGTTTCATCATTTCTGTGACCCTATGCCCCCGCTAACTGGATCTAGCCTTCTGTGGAACTCCCGAATATCTCGCCCCCGAACTTCTCCTTGGCAATGGCTACACGAAGTCCGTCGATTGGTGGACTCTGGGTGTCCTGCTCTACGAGATGCTGACGGGCCTTCCCCCATTCTATGATGAGAACACCAACGAGATGTACCGCAAGATCTTGCAAGAGCCTTTGACTTTCCCTACCAGCGATATTGTCCCGCCTGCTGCTCGGGATCTTCTCACTCGATTGCTGGACCGTGATCCCGTGCGCCGACTGGGCGCCAACGGCGCTGCTGAAATCAAGTCGCACCACTTCTTCGCCAACATTGACTGGCGCAAGCTCCTCCAGAGAAAGTACGAGCCCAGCTTCCGGCCGAACGTGGTATGTATCCTTTGCTGTATAAAATATGGCCAACTCACTAACATTATCTAGGTGGACGCCCGTGACACGGATAACTTCGACCGCGAGTTCACTTCCGAGGCACCCCAGGACTCCTATGTCGAGGGACCCGTCCTGTCGCAGACCATGCAGCAACAATTCGCAGGCTGGTCCTATAACCGGCCAGTGGCTGGTCTCGGCGACGCAGGCGGAAGTGTCAAAGACCCATCCTTCGGTAGCATCCCGGAGTAGATAGAGGTTTCCTCTTAGCGTCAATTTAGATCGAGAATTATTGATCGGTGAGCCAGAAAGAGAGATTGGGAGGTTTCATAGAACGCTTCTCCTTTGTTACTTTTTTCACTGTGTACGCCTTTCATTCACATATCACCAATCTTGATCTTTTCTTTTCTCTCTTTGTTTACTCTTCATCTTGTTGATTTCCCCATCACAAAGGAGTCTGTGGCATCTTGATATCGGAGTCGCTCCCTGATCTCGAGACGACATTGTTTCTTCTCGTGTCATCTTTTCTATTGAGCGCTTTGGTTTGGATTTCTTTTGCTCGATCTTCTTTGATTGTGTTTCTCATTCCCTCCAGGCAGGTCCCTTTCTTCCTTGTTTCGTTCGTTTTCAGGCGGTCATTACCTGTCCCCTTGTTGTGTATTGTCGATAAAACTTTGCAATGGACAATGCCAGAGAGTCTTGGATCTATCATGATATACTATTGTAATAACCTGTAGATGGGGCCTGAAGGCCATCGGAACAAAGCTAAATACTTTGGTCACCGAGCCTCTTGGCGCTGTGTTTATAGTAGACTGAATCATCTGCACATGGTGGATCATCTACGAAAAACTTTTAGGGCAAATTGAGTATCTCTAACCATGTAAGAATCTGTCGTCGCTAATAAAATTTCGCTAGATCAGAGGCAAGCCTCTGAGATGGTATATACCTATATTCCTAGTGTGTGTGCAGCAGTATGCAGCTTTCTCTTACCAGTGTGGGAAGCCTCGTGCGGGCTGATTCTCTGCTCTTGCTTCCTTTGCCTTGGCTGAGCGTGAGGCAGGTGACGAGGTATATCAAAAGTTTTGGGAGGGTCTTGGCTGGGGCAGGCTTCAAATTGGGCTTTGTTCAAAATTTACCTACGCTAGTTACATTTTATCATCCATGGATTAATTGGAAATAAACTCGATATACGTTGATGTGTGCTAGAATAATCCAACTACATCTATTTGCAGAGAACTTGGGGTTTGATCAATGTCGAGAATTTTCCAAGGCTGACCGTAGATTTCCTAAGCTTCTGTATCCTCCGTAATGTTTCTATCAGTGAATAAGCGGTCCTTAGAATGTGCCTATTCGCGGCAAGGTCAGTAATTGCAGCTTTGATTAGGGCACGCCTTAACCCCCACCCTTACATGCAGGACGCCCTGCGCCCTACTCTGTAGATACAGCAGTTTTGCTGGAAACCATGCTGATTTGGAGAAAAGAGCTTCATATCTTGATCGTCATTTCAAGCGAGAGCATGGTCATTTTTCCATATCTGAAGTCTTGAGCTGGAGCCGCCATTGTTCCACTGCACCATCCTATACAGTATCTCGAGAAAAGAGGACAGCACAAATTACCATCAACAAACTACAGTACAGTAGATAGGAACATATATGCATCAATAATATAACAACAGACCTAACCAGGCCGGAACCTCCTGGATAGAGAAAGAACAGCTGTAATTGTATCTAGCCAGGCTCAAGGTTTCCTCCAGATCAAGATACATCGTAGCGGAATTACACAAAGTAAGAAAAAAGAAAAGAAAGTCGGACACACGTTAAGACGCCGGTCGCAATCAACAATCAACTGACTCGTCAGTCGGGGAACAAACGATCTACCTAACTCTCCACCAAACAGAACCCTGGTGCTTTTCCTTTCATTTACTCGGCCTCGGCAGCATCGGCTTCATCCACCGCCTGCTCCTGCTCTGCTTCGGCTTCAGCTTCGGCCTCAGTTTCAGGGGCGCCGTTGGTTGCACTGGCGGGCTCTTCATCTCCGTCTCCGTTGATGTCAATCAGAGACTCGGATGAAGGGGGCTCGGGGACGATACCCTCCTTCTCTAGTCGGATGTACTCATCCCACTCGGGGAAGAGGTCGTCGTCGGTAGAGGCGACGTCTGGGGCACCGGGTGGGACACCGATGAGGCGGGCGACCTTGGCCTTGTTGGATTGCTCTAAGGACTCCTTCCATTGGACAACGAGCTTGGCAGCACTAGAAGGCTTGTAGGTCTGAGCAAAGAGGACAGCCTCGGCGATGCGGTTGGTCTGGATGAGAAGAGCAATGCAGCCATCGATATCGCCGAGGGACCAGAGAGTAGAGAAGGCGACGTTGTGGAGGCCAGATTCAGAGGCCTGGGCAGCCAGGGACTTGAGACCTTCGCGGTTGTTGCTGGCGGTGTGCAGCAACAGCAGAGAACCGACGTCCTTGGCGTTGGTGAAGCATTCTTGCGCCAGGGCGAGGTTCCAGCCAGCCAAGGCGGCGTCACCGACGATCTTCCACTTGTGCTCGACGTTGGCCTCGCGGGCGATCACCAGGGCAGTCTCGAGGTCGTTCAGGGCGAGAGCCAGGTCGAAACGGTGCTCGGGGTCTGTTGCGACTTCGAGGGCCATCTCCTTGTATCCTTGGCCTTCGAGGAATCGGGCGACCTTGTTCATCTGGTCTTGGGGAACATCCCTGAGGAGCTCGGCGGCCATGTCCATGTCGCCGCGCAGCACCACTGTCTGGTACTCGACCATGCTGAGGGAGAGGCTGAAGGAGGTGACGTTCACATCCTTGTCGGCAAGGTAGATACGACCATCCCGGGGCAGGTAGCCAAGGACGTACATTGGTTGGTCGAAGTGGGAGATTGTGTAGGTCTGGTCGCCGACAAGGTAGTTCAGGCGGTTTGTGGAGTTGGTGTAGATGAAGCAGTCTCCAACCCACTGTCCAGTCCGGACAGACTCGTTGATGGTGGCAACCAACTCAACAGCGGCCTCAACACCATCCTCGTCGGCTTCACCGGCGTTCAGGCCGTTGATGTATTCCTCACGAGAATAGCGGAGAACGTAAAAGTCTTCGTCACAAGCGAGGGTAACCAGTTCACCAGATTCGGACCAGTAAACCTAGAACAATTAGCTTGATTTCATCACATCTTCGGAGAAAACTTACGGATTTGGGGTCAGCTTCGATTCTGCGGACTAGGCTGCCAGTCTCCCAGTCGAAGAAGCCGATTCCACCTTGGCCCTTCACACCAAGAAGAACGCCATCGGACAGACCCTCGGCTTGGAAGCCAACATCAAGACCAGCACTCTGCTCCTTGAAGTTTTTGAAGATCTTAACGCTCGTCGACGACTCGCGGATAGCGTAGTCGTTGCTGTTGTCCTTGGCGCCCCAGGCGAAGTCGAGGGCCTGTCCAAAGGCCTTGTTTCGCCACGCCAATGCGGTATAGATGATATACTCTCCATCTCCACAGACAGAAACGAAACGGCCATTGGGAGAGTGCGACAGAGTCTGGGGGTAGACCTCACACTGACCGAGATCCTTCGTTGGTAGCGTGAGAGGCTCGCCATCCTTGATGCTGGCATCACCGCCCTTAATTACTGACGAGACGACTTCACTGTGTCTGGCCCAGATAAGCTTACCAGATCCATCCATGGAAACGGCAGGCTCCTCGCGACCCATCTTCACTACTACCGCACCATCGTCGAAACCCATGGCAATCCCCTGTCTGCCTCTCTGGTAAGAAACACACCATGCGCGCTCGAGACCATAGCTTAATGACTGCTCCAATCGGTAGGTGTTTGCGTGCCAGATTTTAATAGTGCCATCCTCGGAACCAGAGATAATCACAGGCAATTCGGGGTGGTAACAAGCGAAAGAGACGTTGCTTGTGTGGCCTTCGAGGGTTGCGATGAGCGCCTTTGTGGTGTAATCCCAGACCTTCACGGTCTTGTCGTCGGAAGTGGTGAGGAGGTAAGGCTTATCAGCCTGGGGATAATAATCGACATGGTTCACACCCTTCGTCTCGTGAGCTTCGAGGGTGAAGTTGGCATGGGGAGAGCCGAGGTTCCAGATCTTGACGGTCCGGTCCAAACAAGCAGAGGCGAAAGTGTTGGTATCCTTCGGGTTAATCGCCATGCCCATCACATAGTGGCTGTGGCCCTCGAAGACCTGCACGCACTTCCAGCCCTTCTCCCAATCCCAAAGCTTGATTGTCATGTCATCGGAGGCTGTGAGCACGAACGGCTGGGTAGGGTGAACGGCGATGGAACGGATGTAGTCCGGGTGTGCTTCAAAGGAGGTAATTTTTTCGGAGGTGTTGTAGTTGTAGACACGCAGTTGGAAGTCATCTGAACCGCAGACAATCCAGTTCTTCCGCGCAATGAAACGACCGGCACGAACGGGGACATCGGTGAGTTCGAATGTTTTGATAATGGACTGGAGAGCATCGGTTAGATGAGAGCAAGAAGGGGCGCAATCTCCAGTCGTACCTGTGATTCATAAGACCAGATGTAGACATGACCTGGACCGGGAAGTGATTAGCGCATTGAACATCTCATCAACTGCCCTCCTAACGTACCGCTGTACAAGGTTGTCAAGATCTAAGGTAGTTAGTTTCAACGAATCCATAAAAGGTATTTGAGGACTTACCCATGGCTCTGTAGGGTGAAAATCAATGCCCTTTACCCGCTCGGAGCGGGCAAACAGCTGCCTCTGCATTGGAACATTCTCGTTAGCAATCCCTCCAATTGTACATGTCGGGGTGAGGTGTCATATCGCTATATTCTTCGAGGGCATATTTAAAGCGACATGAAGCACTCCTCATCTTGCGTACCTTGACGTCGAGCCGCATGTTGTGTGGGGGATGAGACGAGTGTTTGTGTGGTGCGGCGTTGGGCCTGCGACAGCGAGGGGGATTCCGCGAGCCGCTCAGTCAGCCCGAATGGTAGGGAGGAACAGGCCTCGAATTAAGGTAGGAATTGAGGGTATTAACAAAGGATTGAGATGATGGAGAGCTTGAGGGAGAGCACTTCAGGGACAGCAATGTATGTGTCCACAAGGGATTCCCGCCTTGGCTCACCGCCTTCCACTCTATCAGTCCTATACAACTTTCTATCTACGACTTGTCGCAATGCTCAAATTATGAGATTGTTAGTTTGCTTGCATTGGATATAATAGCTTCCAGGTGGACTGCCCTCTTTCTTTGGCCCTGTTAATCCGTATGGGTTGATATTGTAGGACACTCTTAATTGAGCCTAACCCTCGAAGTATATATTTCGAAGTAGTAATGGGGAATGGTGAACGACGCGTACGGGGAGAAAAGAAAGAAAAAAAAAAAAAAAAAAACTGGAATTACCCAATCCCTGATAAGAACACTGTACGTAGATAGTAGCTACTTGTATCAATTCTACGGTCGAGACCAGTAAGATCGTTGAATTGGGAAACATGTATTCAAAGCGACCTCTAGCAGTAGTAGTTACAGAGAGTAAAATTCACAGCCATTCCAGAATTGCTGTTTAGTTGCCACGCTCGAAGTAAGACCACTGGCCGGGTTGAGGCTTCTCCTCGAGTTCCTCCCACCTGCAAATGTGTCAGCGGATGTCCAGGCATATGGAGCCCATTTTAACTTACACCTTAGCCTTGGCCAGCTCATCAGCAAGCTTGAGCTCTGCCTCAGCAACCTGAATGACCTCCTCGATGAGGCCAGCTCCAATTTGTTGCTCAATCAGAGAGATCCTGTACAAGAGGTTAGCGACATGTTCTAATATGCCCGGCCAGGCCAGGATTCAGGCACACGTACTGGTCGGCATCAAGGGCAGGCTCGCTCTCCCACTTCATCTCCTCGTTGTAGAAGTCGGACTCGGCCTTCTCGGTGGTCTCGCTGGCCTCGGCCATAATGCTGTGCCATTCGGCCTCTTGTTGCGGGGTGCGGGCGGGACCCTCGGTAGTGGCCGTGAGTTCTTCGCCATCCCATTCAACTCCACGAGCATCGTCGCTTCCATCTTTCTGCTGGGCGGCGGCGTGAGTGAAACCACCGTTGGGGCGCTGGAGCTTGGTGAACCGTTCAGGCTCGGCTCCCACGGTCTTCCGAACGCGCTCCAACCAGGCGTCAAAGCCGGCGGGCTTCTGGGATTCGATGATTTGGAGACGGTGGCGGGTCAATGCCTCAACGGATTGGCGGTAGGCGGAGGATTCGGGGAACATCTGCATCTTCTGCAGAGTAGTCGAGTAAAGGTAGATCAAAGTTGGACGAGGGCTAGGGTGGGTGAAAAGACCAGTCAAGCCGGTAGGAGCAAAGGGCTCCAAGTACCGGGGCTTGACATTGGCCAGTAGCCGGAGTGTAGACCGCATTGTGAATGGATTTGTGGTGTATCGAAGTCGCACCGGTTAGGGAGGGCGAAGTGTCGAAGTCGGCCCGGAGCGGATTAACCCGATGTTCCACCCAAACGGCAGGGGGAAAGACGCATCTCGCCTTTTTCTTTAACCATCAAAGCCTCAGGTCTGGATTGCTTCGGGCTGTGTGCATTTCTGTTTTGTTCTCAGCTCCGGGGCGCTATAGTCGCTAAGTGCTGCCTTTTCGCGACGTGTTGACCAGTGCCCACCTGAGTCGTCTTCGCCCCCCGTTCAATGTGCCACCTGTGACATTTCGCAATCCCGTACTTCGACCAGAGTCCTTCGTTTTGCTCAACCATCTTCTACTTTCTTTCAATCTCGATACTTGACTCTCAGTCAACATGAAACCATCTTGGTTGGGCTTGTCCCTCCTCTCATTGTTGGCAGCGCCCGCTTTGGGTGCGCCTTCCGATACTTCTTCGGATCTGGAATCGGGAGACCATGCCTCACTCGTTGCACGGGGCAATCGCGGACTGGACCCAGAAGAACCCTCAGTCTTCAATGAGGTTGAGGTGCCCCCGCTGACGCAGATAACTCCGGAAAATTTCGAGGAGGTTACTAAAGATGGTCTCTGGTAAGGATGCCCAGCTCATATATGGATTTGCCATTATTCTAACTGTTACAGGATGATTAAACATTACTCTCCATCCTGCCCCCATTGTCGGACGGCCGCTCCTATCTACCAGACCCTGTATGAGTACTACTACGTGAGTATTCATCCACATTGTTTCAATCCATGGAAATAAACTAATTTGCGGTAGACCTCGAACCCCCTGTTTATTTCTGCAGCGAAGCCTGATGAGCCCAAGTCCTTTACCGACTACTACAATTTCCATTTCGGGTCAATGAACTGCCTGGCATACAGCGACTTCTGCGCCAAGCTGAAGGTTGACTATTATCCTGCGTGGGGATTCTATCAAAATGGCGTTCAGCAAGAGCCTCCGATTGGTGCCAAAAAGATGTCTGAACTGGGCGAGATGATTGAAAAGAAGTTAGAGGCGGTTAAGCCTGGGTCTCGGCCTTCGCAAGGCATCGAGCTGCCGAAGATTGGCGCCAGGGGCATGGAAATGACTGCTAAGCCCCTGACCGAGGCGGCCATCGAGGCGGCCAAGGAGAAGGCCGACGAGAAGCAGAGCGTCGCGACCTCCGAATTGGAAGGCGTCAGCCCTCAGGCCGCCAAGGCTAAGATTCAAGGACGGCCTGCTAATCCTCAGGGTCTTTCCATCCCACTTACTGCGGAGAGCTTCCAAAAGCTTGTTACGACCACCCGTGACCCATGGATCATCAAGTTCTACGTCCCGTGGTGCCCTCATTGCCAGGCTATGACTCCTAACTGGAACTCGATGGCCAAGGAGATGAAGGATAAGCTCAACGTCGGTGAGGTGAATTGTGAAGTTGAGAAACGACTTTGCGAAGATGCCCGAGTGAATGCCTACCCGACGATCTACTTCTTCCGTGGTGGTGAGAGGGTTGAATATACCGGCCTTCGTGGCCTGGGTGATCTTCTCTCGTACACCAACAAGGCTGTTGGCGTCGGCTCCAGTATCCAGGATGTCGACGCTGCTACATTCAAGGAGCTGGAACAGACCGAGGAGGTCTTGTTCTTGTATCTCTACGACGACGCGACGACCTCCGAGGACTTCGAGGCCATGAACCGTCTTACTCTCAGTCTTGTGGGACACGCTCGCATCGTCAAGACCAACAGCGCTACCCTGTCAGAGCGGTTCAAGATTTCTACTTGGCCTCGTCTTCTGGTGGTCCGTGATGGACGTCCCAACTACTACAACGCTCTTGCCCCTAAGGACATGAGAGATTTCCGCCAAATCCTCTCGTGGATGCAAACTGTGTGGCTGCCTATTGTTCCCGAACTTACTGCATCTAATGCTCGAGAGATCATGGACGGAAAGTTCGTAGTCCTGGGGCTCCTAAGCCGTCGTCGTTCCGATGATTTCAAGCAGTCCAAGCGTGAGTTGAAGGAGGCTGCTCTTGAGTGGATGGACAAGCAGGTCCAGCTGTTCCGTCTTGAGCGCGCTGAACTTCGTGATGCCAAACAACTGCGTATTGAAGAAGCCGATGACCGCAATGACCAACGCGCACTGCGGGCTGCAAAGAACATGCGCATCACAATCCGCGAGGACGACAAGAAGCCAGTCGCCTTTGCTTGGGTTGATGGCGATTTCTGGGAGCGCTGGCTGCGCACAACCTACGGCATCGACGTGGAGAGCGGTGACCGTGTGATTATCAATGATCAGGATGTAAGTTAATTATCGCGATATGCCTGAGTCTGAAACTAACATATATAGAACCGCCGTTATTGGGATACCGCTTCGAGTGGAGCCCCCATCATGGCCTCGCGAACCTCAATTCTCGAGACCATTCCTCTTGTCATCGCTTCCCCCACCAAGCTGTCGCCCAAATCAACCATCGGTACTTTTGAGACCATCTTCTTCTTCGCCCGATCTCTCCTCAGCAGCCACCCCATCCTCTTCTTCATCATTTTGGCCGTTGTGGTGGCCGTGGCCACCTTCTTTGGACGTGGACGCCTCCGCCGCAACGCCTCGCGCGGCGGTATTATTGGCAATAACAACAACAATGGCGGCTTCTTCCACCTTGACGGCAAGGAGGGTTTCCTGAACGGAGGCTCGACTGGAAAAGTCGATTAATGAGACACATGTACAGTTAGGGTGTTTGGCTGCGCGATTCTTATAATCTTCTGTTTCCACTGTATTTGATTGATGTTGGTTTGTTTCTCATGCACTTGTCTGTTCGACCAACTCTGTCTCATTTGAATCTTTTGCATGTCAGATCGTGGGGTTTTGAAGCACATATCTCCTTCCCTATTCTATTTCTTTCTCCTTTATCCAACCCTGGAGTCCAGGCGTATCAGTTTTAAGAGCCGCTATATCCCAGAAATCGAGTCAATAATTGCATTCATCTCCAGTGCTGTTCTTGTAGACTTATCACGAAAACAATTGCCTTCCTTCTGATTGGATGTTCGGCTTCAAGTCACGTGCCAATTCGGGCGCTCCCGGTTTTCGTCGAAGTGCCAGCTCTCCCCCCGAGCCATTGTCCCTCCAAATCACACCGGTGTCATTCAAAATGGTAAGTGGCTACGGCACCGATAGACGACAGCAAGATGATTCTCATCCCGAAGTTTTTCACCTCTTCGGCCACGGCCCGGGCAGGGAGTTGCGTTGTGGATATCACAACCGGTCCTCCGAGCCGGCGGGATGAGGACTCAAGAACTCACCTTGAAAGTATCAAGCTAACATATATTCTATAGTTTGCCACTACCGCTCGCCGCGCCGCGGCCCAGGCCTCCGCCTTCGCTCCCAAGTGAGACTTCCCAGATTCTTCCCTCGAACCCGCACGATGGCCTTTGAGAGTGTGCTAGGCGAGAACAGCACAGAGCTATTAGATGGTGAAACCATTGCCATAGTCTCTATGGCTCATTGGACATCATGCAATTCTCTCGCTCTCACAAAGCGGAGCTTCGCGGAGCTGCATTGCGCGGAGTGCAGGACCATGGCCTTTGCAACAGCAGACTCATAAGAAGACCGAAAGAACAATAAGAACACTATACTAACCATTCCCAATTTTCAGGTACACCATCCCCCCTCGCTTCGGTGGTTACACCCTGGGCACCGCCATCAAGACGTGAGTCACCCCGACGTCCCGCCGCAAATCCAACCCCCAAACCCCCAACTCGGACAAATATATGCTGATACTTCTTCTAGCGGTACCCTCCTCGGTAGCTTCGGTGTCGCCATCGGCACTGGTGCTCTCTTCATCTTCGGCGAGGTCCCCCGTGTGCGCAACGACATCCTCCGCCAGCTCCCCTTCCTCGACACCTACTACGACCGCAGCATCCCCGCCGAGGACAACGTGAGTCGTAATCTGATTATGTGGTTTGTGAGAGTTGATGCTGACATGTGTTCCTCGTTCAGCCCTTCTAAATTATCCGCGGATATATACCTGTTCCCCTTTTTGACCGATATGGCTTGGAAATTCTGGACAGGCTGGGGCTGCACTGTGTAGAATAGCGATGAAGGTCTTTTCTGTTTTAATAGCACATAGAAACGGCTGTTTCCAAAGTGTTTTACCTTGATACTTCAAGATTATGTAGTGAAGACGTGTATGATGTACAAGGCTTCTATATGTACCACCCTTGAAGGGCCCAATCATATAGCAGTAGTGATAGCCATATAAAGAGAACCTATTAAGGCAAGTCCATGCATAGATAAGCCCATAAGCACGTTATATGATCCCCATGTCCAACCCAAGCCTTATCTCGCTTACTCTTATCATGATTCATGATAACGCGCTACCTTGGAGACCCCGTGAGTTTCAACGCCTGGAACTTCCCTTATAGGTTTGGGACCTCCGCAGAGGGAAGTAGCGCGGAAGCCCTCAGCCTCGAATGAACACCCTTCACAGCTCCTCCCTGTACGAATCACAACCCGTGTGCGGAGAAACGCAAGCCCCTAGCCTCCTGGGTGTTGCTGTCTACATATCACACCCCGACCTAGGTATCTACATGTAGAATTATGCATTTGATTTGATTTCATGTCATTCGTCCTTATCGCGGAATACCACGTCCTCGCTTGCATTTTTCCCCCTTTCATTGCGATATAGACTTTCCACTTGTTCTACTTCCGATTGTCATGCGCGGGGGAATATGGAAAACGGAAACGCCACCCCTGCAAGATTATGTAGATAACATGCTGTGCTAGGTTATCCCTAGTCCTGGTAGGTTAGTCGGATCGAATCGAATTTGGATTTTGGAATCCTTTGTTTATATTGTCCTGCTTCCCCCTGGTTGAGGGTGGATTTGGTTTGTTCTTGTCCATATCTTGGACACTGGTCGTCCTGTTTTGCTATACTTATACCGCCCATTCCCGCTGCTGGTGCCTCATATCCCACATCTCATATTCCATATACCCGCATTATTTGCTATACTGGCCTTTTCGGCATAGGCGCAAGCATGGAGTCCAAACCTTCCGTGTCCGTCAACAAGGGAGCTGGGTATCTTGATGCTGGCCATGAACAAGTTACTTCTATTCTCCCCGATGGCGATGTTCCATATATGGATCATGATATGGATGCCGATGAGAGGGTAATTACGGCGCTAGGATATAAGCAGGAATTTAAGCGCGAGTTTTCGTTGTGGACGACTTTTTGTGTTAGTTTTGCTGTTTTGGGGTTGTTGCCTTCTTTTGCGAGTACTCTTTACTATGGTAAGTGCTACCGATCTGGTGATATTGTATTGGGTATCAATATACTGACATTGGATGGATTGAAGGCATGGGATATGCCGGAACAGCAGGTATGGTCTGGGGCTGGATAATAGCCATGATTTTCATCCAATGCATTGCAATGTCGATGGCAGAGCTTTGTTCAGCCATGCCTACAAGGTAAGTCACCTCCATCAAAGCCAACAACCAAGGTTAGGGCAAGGCGACTAACCAATTCATCCACCACCAACAGCGGCGGCCTCTACTACGCAGCCGCAGTACTCGCACCACCAGGCTACGGCCCCTTCGCAGCATGGATAACAGGCTGGTCAAACTGGATCGGCCAAATCACAGCAGCGCCTTCAGTGAACTACTCGCTAAGCGCAATGATCCTAGCAGCAGTCTCAATCCACAAACCGGATTACACCCCAACACACTGGCAAACCTTCCTTCTAACAACCCTGATAATGATTATCCACGCCGCAATCAGCAGCATGCCCACCAAACGCGTCGCGCAATTCAACTCCTGGGGCTCAACCTTCAACTTCCTAGCCCTAATAGCCGTCATAATCCTCATCCCCGCTAACACGAAAAACGTCCCCAAATTCACCCCTTCCCACGAGGTTTGGTCCCACATCACGAACCTGACAGATTTCCCCGACGGGGTCGCAGTCCTAATGACCTTCGTTGGCGTTATCTGGACGATGTCAGGCTACGACTCGCCCTTCCATCTCAGCGAGGAATGTTCGAACGCGAATATCGCCTCGCCGCGCGCGATCGTGCTCACGTCCGGCGTGGGCGGGCTCATGGGCTGGTTCTTACAGCTTGTCGTTGCGTACACGGTATTGGATATTGAGGCGGTTATCGATTCTGATTTGGGACAGCCGTGGGCGTCATATTTGTTGCAGGTTATGCCGGCAAACACAGCCATGGCAATTCTCGCACTTACTATTGTTTGTGGGTTTTCCATGGGGCAGGGGTGTATGGTTGCTGCGTCTAGGGTCACGTATGCCTATGCTCGAGACGATTGTTTCCCCTTTTCGTCTTATTGGAAGCGGGTTAATGGGTATACGCAGACCCCTGTTAATGCTGTTATTTTGAATGCCGTGCTTGGGATCTTGATGTGTCTGCTTATACTTGCGGGTGAGGTTGCTATTGGGGCTTTGTTTTCGATTGGTGCTATTGCGCAGTTCTTTGCGTTTGCTGTTCCTATTTGTATTCGGGTTTTCTTTGTTGGGAATCGGTTTAGGAAGGGTCCCTGGCATCTTGGACCATTTGGTCCTTGGATTGGTGGGATGGGTGTTTCGTTTGTGTTGCTTATGGTGCCGATTTTGTGTTTGCCTAGTGTTACTGGGAGTGATTTGGCGCCCGATCTGATGAACTGGACATGTCTTGTGTGGGGTGCGCCTATGTTGGCTGTTACCGTTTGGTGGGTTGTTGATGCTCGGCGCTGGTTTACTGGCCCTGTTGTCAATGTTGAGCATGCTATTCATGCGATTGAACAGGAGCCGGTTGTTAGTGAGGGAATTGAGCCTGAGTCTCAGGGGACGGAGACTAGTGCTTTGCCGCGTAAGTCAGATGATCCTGATAATCCTCTTTGAATTGAGGAGTTAGATTGCGTCGGTTATCAGTTATGGGTTTCGGGCTTTACTTTTGATCGCAGCGCATTTTTGATATAATATATGTAATGGAATATATTCTTTAGTCTAAGTTTCATTTACAGTAAATCCCTGCAAGAAAGTGACATAAAAAGATAGTCGAATAACGATAGAATACAATATAAGCATCCGCCACATGCATGTCACAACGCGCAGGCTCCATAAATATAGATAGATCTGACAGCCGCCACATGGAGACAGACCCAGTGCCCCATCTTGCCTTGATTTCGGGGCTGTGATGAGCATGTGGATGGAGGAGTGGGCTTACTCCACCAGTTCCAGATGCTTAAGATCAACGTATGGAACCTGCATGCAGGTTAGATCCGGATGCGCTATCTAGGGATAAGAATAGCGATTAAGTTAGCTACCGTATATATCTAGGTACTAGGTACCAGGCATTTGAGGGAGCATAGCGCATTCAGTTGAGGTTAGGTGCAGCATGGATATGCAATGATTCCGAAGGCAGTACATATCACAGCCAAAGAGTGAAGTAAAGGCCACATCGATAAGAAAGACCCTGCAGAGTATCTACACCGCAGACCAGCCATGTACATGTACAAGTACCTAGCACGCTGACCGGCTCTCTCGTTGTACCAGGTACCTCACCTAGGGGCGATAACACCCAAGACCCCAGCAACGCAAGCCCGGAACAACCCTTAGCACACCTAAACCATCAAGAAACCAGCGTCACTAAACACAGTAACCTAGAAACCAACACTCCTTCCTGGAGAGTGACCGCGAACTCCACCTCCAGCACTGCCAGGTACCCTGTACAACGTACCTTGCGCTGGGATCCCCGGGGAGAATCCTGAAGATCCACCCCCTGAGACCCCACCGGCGCTGGTGGACACTGAACATGGATGCAACGGAGAAAAAAAGAGTTGGCACAGATATGCTTAATCTGACTCCAGGAGAACATCCACCTGTCTCCACTGTCGAAGTGTACATGTATGTTTATGCCTAACTTACCATGTCGATAATGAGAATCAACCAAATAGGATTATATGTATTAGTATCAAGACAGTATCGATTTCCAAGCCTACAGACACGGCACAACCCAACATTATCGAAGTCAATTTTGCTATTATTATATATCGCCCTCCAACCAGATCAGCCAACTCGACCATGCGAGACAACGCGTAACATGTAACAGCCAAGCAACCTACCCCAATCTAGGAATGCAAAAGCCAATCCAAAAGTCAATCCAAACGCCAACACATACACTACCCCAAACCATGCCGGTGTCTACAATAGTAAATCCCCGATCGACATGCCAGGGGTCACTAAGTCCCAGTTCTGGTCCCAGTGTCCCAGGAACCGATCGGCGACCTACGTGCGTCATGAAGAATCAAGCCAAGTAAAGCAACCCACGGCTCATTCAACCCGTGCCTGGAAAAGACCAATTTCCCCAACCAAAGTGTGCGTCAAAAAGTGCGTGTCTCGCTCGGAGATTCCCAGTACCGTGGAATTTACCTAAAGAGGCGAGCGAGAAGAGAGGAAAAAAAAAACGCCTTCAGTGGCTGGTGGCTGCAGTCGGAGACCACCCGAGTTTGCAATTTACAGTACGTTACATGATCTTAACATGCCATTTTGCCGTTTTGCACTGCTTGGCGTATCTTGGTATTCTATTGCTTTTCGGCCCGATTTCTGGCTTTTCGTTCGGCTCAGGCAGCCACTCATTTTTTCTGCAGTTTATGTGTAGTATGTAAGCTGTAGGATATGTAGGATACAGATGCCTTGAATGCCTTGAAATGCCTTGGATGCAAACATCATGAGATTGGTTCTCTTTCGTTAGTTACCACGGGTCGAGTGGTAATTGTGGTAAGATGACCATGGCTTGCATCACATGAGGTAGTATTATTATATTATTATATTATATTATTCCTATTCCTATTACTATTTGCATTACTCGCATATCCCGTAGAATTCTTGAAGTCTATCCGAAACTTATTACGTGGCGCCCGGCTGAGAAATTTCCCTGAGCGATATAATCATCGTATTATACTGTGTTAAATCAGGTGGTATACGGAGTCTATGCAGATGTCAACAGAGCTCCAGTCTCCAGTCTCCAGTCCCCATTCAAGCTGATCCACAGAACACATGGGAAACACTGGAGACTCCAGTGTCACCTCTTGACATTTGACATCCCACTCTCTAACCAGTGTCTCCAAAGTCAATTCGCGAACTCTGTCTCCAATACTCCGTACACGTAAGATCTAGAATACCGAGTCTTCTGCCTATGAGGTCGGTGGCGGCGCGATCCTTTTGCTGAAGTGGGTAAGGAAGTGTGATTGGCCGACAGGATCCTTGAAACTCGGCGATCCGGACTTGGCTTTCGCGGTGTTTCCGGCCTGTGCCGGCGCCTTGTAGAGGAGTCTTTTCTGCTCTCTCTTTTGTTGGGTTGTATTTTTGATTTTTCTGTCATGCTTGTATGTATGTAATTATATATTCTGTTCTCACGTGAGTTCCTACCAGTTCGGCAGTCATGATCTCCGCGATTTCGAATCTCCCACTATTGTTTATTACTGTGGATTAGCCTAACTATTAAGCCCAACAAGTACTTTTGTAGACAATCTGTTTTATTAGACCCGAATCCATCGGCAGGGTTTTCTCAAGCCAAGCTTTCCAACCAAAAAGAAAAGAAAAGGCCGGTCCGATGCTTGGTCATGCAGGAGACTAGACCTCGGGATGTTCAGTTCACATTATTCATCATATTCATTATACATGTACCAGTAACAGGATATAACAATAACCTTGGTACCTGAGTCAATTGACCCCCTGATCCTTTAAAAAAATTCAAGAGAACTCGGCAAAAGCCTCACCGTACTTTGCAAACCCTTCCCTTTCGGGAGGAAGAGTGGATACCGCTAACATCCGGCGTTGATGCCGAGTGCTCTAATTCTGTCGCAGTCCTATCGACCTGCCAGATTGAACACACCGCATTTAATCGATTTAATTGAGACGTAAGCCACGGATATAACGGTTTGCCGGATTGGAAATTGGAAATTGGAAATTGAAAATTCAAAATGAATTGAATTGAAATTGAGGTATATGCAGGTACTCAATACAGGACACACATACCGAGGTGAGACAATGTGGAAGGTTAAGCGAGAGCCTGTTACGTGTGGAATCGGGTCATTCCTACAGTTACTACATTATACATCGGTAGACTTCTAGGTAGTGTGTATATATTCAACGAACATCGATATGTAGTCAGATATTCTGCAGAACCCTGGTAGAAGCCGTCCAGGTCCACAATCGAAGCGGGAGAAGCTCTTGCGAAGGGGTGGAGAAGGAGGGGCAGGGATATTGGGTCCGGAATACAGATCGTGTCCGTTTCCACGTACTATGTACATTTACATATACACAGGTATGGATTACACTGTCTATTAAGTTTATCAATCTATGATTATAACCCCCTATTTCTCGTCTGAAACTTTCTCGGGATGCTTATTAAACCTGCTTCCATCAGGGGTCGCCCCCTGAATTCGGAAACATTCCTGCCGTCTCTAGGCAGAAATCGGATGTGATTTGGACTCTCCCTTCTCAAGCTGAGCTAAGAACGGAATCAGGGCGGCTACGGCGCTCCGATAAAGTACTGTACATAAGTACCTAGGTACCTTGGAGACGTATAGGGCAACTATGCAGGGCCGTTACTACTTACGCTCGGTCGGACATCCCCCAACCACAGAGATTGGAGGATGGTCGAGGTCTGAGAACCATTCCCCCTCTGTTGATGCATGCAAGAGCAGAACTCTCTGCAGCCGGGAAGGATGCATGATGAGTCCTATTCCGGAGCTTTAGGTGTCCGGGCCTTCTCTCGGACCTCGGGAATGACGTGCTGGGGAGATCAATGCAGAATGGATGTTATCTCTTTCAGTTGCGCAAGTATCTACATCTCAGATCTCTGTGACTTGCGGGGCTGTCAGCCACTGCGGAGCCCAAAATAAAAGAAGAGCCAGGGTCATCTTAATCCACCCTCGGGGAGCTCCATCTCTAGATCTACATGTTCATATGTACATGAGTTCCATGGAGAGAATGGGGAAGGGAGAGGATATCGCCGTGATCGGAGGCTAAGAATTGGGGGCAGTGTTTGAGTTTCTGACTGCGGTAATATTCTCCTAGAAAAGGCATATATCAGAATAGTAATAATAGAGCAGAATAACCGCGTAACAGATGCTTGCGAATGTTATAGACACCGCGATCGGCCATTCCCAAAGCGGAAACAGTGTAATTTTCGTAATACCATACCCCGACTCAATATTTGGCTCTGTCGCCTCTTGCCTCCCGAAGGAACGATCGTCTTTTTTCGTCTTTTTCGTTCTTTTTTTTATTACCCGGTCTTCCGCCTGAGAATTTTCCTTTCCCCCCCGATTCTCAATTTCTTCAATTCTCCGACCTATCGACTTTTCTTATTCGAATTTCTCTTTCTTTCATCTACTTTTATCGCCCAATTTCAATTTCTGATCCTTGACGCGAAGCAGATCTCGGACTAGTTGTTTTTTGTGCTGCAGACCCACTTGCACGCCCGCTTCTTCGGTGGATACAGAACCATCGACGCTGACAACGTGCGGATAAATCACACTTCTCTGCCGTGGGGATATCTTCTTCAATTAAGCATTCTTCTTCTCTCATTCTCTCTTCTTCATCTTGTGGAGTCCCGAGTTTCACATATCCCGTGATCCGTGATCTGTTGCTTCGTTCCGCCTCCAGGGAAAATTTCGTCAAACAAGGAGCTGCGCTTCAAAGAAAAAAATTTCGAGATTGCAGGTTTCGGAGTTCGATGATTCAGTTACCGTGAACAAACTTCTTCTCTCCTCGATCTCTCTCTCTACAATGGATCCCAGATCTCACCCTTCCCGTCCTCCCTCCACCAGCCTGCCTCCAGGCTCCACGCCTCTGTCCTCGACTCCCATCTCGAGCATGCACATGCCACAATACTCGATGCAGCCGCAGTACCCGGTCTCGCAGCCGCATACGCTGCCTCCTCTGCAGCCGCATCACCCTCAGTCCCCCGCGCCGCACCACTACATGGGCCAGCCGTACCGGCCGGATCTGTCGCGTTATCCCGCCTCAACTCACGATGTCTACGGGGCCTCCACGGCCCCTATGATGCCGCACACGACTGTCGGTAGCCTTCCGCCATCGTCTCTGTTAAACCTTCCTAACCCTCAAACACAGGCGCACCAGCAGTACCCCCACCTCCCCCGAGCGTGCTCCCGCCCGCATCCACCGCTCAGAGCTACCCTCAGCCGATCGCTCCGGCTCCCCCACGCGACCGTCGCCCGGACTTCAATGGTCTCCCCTCCGGTGCTTTTAGCTATTCTGATGGTAAGGGTTGGGGAATGACACCTGATGTGAATGGCGCGAACGGCTCTCCTTACGCCAAGGAACAGCCACGCACGCAGGTCGTGGGCTCTCAGGGCCGCCGTGGCATCTTGCCTAGCGTCCCGGGCCGCGCGACTCCTGTGACCAACGGTGTCAATGGCACCGCGAAGAGTACCACCATCCCGGCCAAGGACGCCGATGGCAAATTCCCCTGCCCGCACTGTAATAAAACTTACCTCCACGCGAAGCACCTGAAGCGCCATCTCTTGAGACGTGAGTTTGGGAAGGACATATAGTAGATTCGCATTGGCTAACGCGTCACAGACACCGGTGATCGCCCCTACATGTGTGTTCTGTGCAAGGACACCTTCTCCCGCAGTGACATCTTGAAGCGTCACTTCCAAAAGTGCTCGATTCGTAGGGGTAACCCGACTGGTGCTACCCACCTGTCGCACCCCCAGGCCCATCTGAAGCGGTCTCAGCAGCAAGCAGCTGCGGCTGCCGCGGCCAACCCTCCCAAGCCGCTCCAGGATGAAGTCAGTAATACTGTCCCCCACTCCAATGGTGTTATGGGTGCGCATTTCGATGGGGCCGTAAATGGCAATGGAATGGCCGCTGGTCGTCCAGCCTACACGGATCAGCAGCCGCTTGGCTTCACGATGCAGTCTGTCAACGGCATGAACCGTGGTCCCGGTGACGACGCGTTCTCCGCTAGCCAGGCGCAAGCGCGAGCCTCGTGGATGGCTGCGCCCAAACAGAATCCGTACCTCATGCAGCCCGGTGTAGATGCCCATGGCCAGCAGCTGACGGTTGATCGTCCCCTTGAACAGGTAAAGCCCCTGGTCCTTCCTGACCACAAACCGGTGATGCCCGGTCCCCCTTCACATCCCGCTGGTGTTGACTGGAATTCGATGTTTCAGCACGGCGCCTCGGATGGCTACATCAACCCCGTTTTCCCCCACTCCATGGCCGCGGGCCAGGAGTCCATCCACGCTCCCGTCGACCACGACCGCAAGTACTACCCCGCCACCACTGCCCCTGAGAGCGGCATGAACGGTCTGTACCTTGCCTCGACCACCATGGGTGGTGACGGTTAGTCATCAAGTTTCCTACCATCTATCAATACGTTGTATACTGACCATCAATAGGCACCGTGCAGCCCGCGAGACAGTAGACAGTGAATTCGATCAGAAAGCAAGGGGATAAGACACGAGATTGAAAAAGCGTTTGACGAGCCAAGAGAAAAGCCACAAGAGCCAAATTCTTCTCTGCAGCGCCGGGGGTAGGACTTCTGCTCTCCACCCTCTCGATCAAAATTGTCCACCATCCGCAAACCTGCTTTCTGCTGGTGCAAATTCACAGGTCGCGATTCTCCATTCTCAATTCCGCCAACGATAGTCCCTTGATCTGAACCGCCTCCGCTCGACCCCCCTACCCCTCCACCCCTCGAGAAGCTCGCAGCGGCGTTCCGTGCCCCGGCGTCCGTATTCCGGTTTTGTTTTTTGTATCGTGTGTCCTTGATGGCTACCCCCTTTTTTATTCTACTCTACATTCGATTCTGTTTTGCCCATCCGGCGTGGGTGTCTCCCCTTATGTCACATCTTAAATGGGACTGATTTGCGATATCACTGGTTGTTGTTCTTTATATCTTTACACTTCCCCTCCCCACCCACTCCTCGCTCCTCTCCATTGTCCATTGGAGTATGTATGTGTGCGTGTGAGTGTGTGTTGGGGGGCAGATCGGTATGGTGGGTGGTTTGTTCCGGCGTCTTCATACTATAGACATGGGCATGTGTTCATCTTTTGCGCGAGTGTTCGATCATCAGAAAGAAGAAAAAAGCTTTTTTTACTCTTTTATCTTTATATTACTTCTTTTTTTCTCTGGGATGGCCGTTGTCGATTTTATCCTTCCTTTGGCTGAAAGTTTCACCATGTGCTTTTATTTTATCATTCTTCTTTTTTTCCTTGGGGTTCCTTTTTTTCTTCCGTCTGGTGTGTGAATCGCTTGGCCTTTCTCTCTGTTCTTGTGTAAAGTCGGTCTTTGGCACGGTTTATATTATATGTGCTTTGGGTTGATAGGGATAGGGTGTGATTAAGGTGTACTTCTTTTTTCTTCTTTCTGGGTCTCGGGAAAAAGTTGTTAGAAATAGACCTTCTTATCTTTCCACTTGTCTCTCCGCTTGTCTTTCCGCTTTGTCTTTCTAGTATATGGCCGTAGATGTTTTTGTCTTTGACCATGTCCTTTTAAATTGATATCTACATCTGCTGCCTGAGGGTCTCGGGTAGAAGAGGCATGTCTGCAATTGAGTGTAATCGAGTACACAGTGGAGCATTGATGAATACTATCTTTCTCAAATACTCCGGCTTGCTCAGTTGCTTAGGATTGTGTGGACAGTGGCTCGGGGTATGTCTGTCTGCAGTCCAGTGCAGTTGACAGAAGCAGAGCATGGATCGTGAATATCGTCTGGATCAGACATCGAGTATTTTGCAGAGAGAAGCCATCTCCGTAGTCAAGTGCAGCGGGGTTCAAAGCAAGGCCTTGATTGTGAGTATCGTCTTGTTCAGCTGCTTGGGATTTTGCGGGGAGGAGGTTTGTCTACAGTCGAGTCTAAGGTAGAGGGGCAACAATGGCGAATATCATGCTTGTGACTTATGCTAAGTCACCTCAGTTTCTGGGGCCTTTGTAATAGGTGCAGCGAGACCAAGACTAACGAGATCAAGACACTTATTAACTTGCGCTGCAAAGGAGGATACAGAAGAAGCACTACCTAAGCAAAGACAATAATGCAAGCTGTGCCTAGACAATAGACAATCCCCAGGACCATAAGGAGGATGTCCATGTGTATAACAACTCTTACTATAGAGTCTTAACTCTTACGAAGTTTTAACCCTTAAGCATGTTACAAGTTACAAGACCATATCATACAATAGGAACTACATTGAAGACCTAAGAAGAATGAAGAAGATGGACTTGGAGATGAATGCTGCATTTGATTGAATACATGGGAGTCGGACCTCTCATAGAGGTGACACGAAAACAGCAAGCAGAAAGTGGGGTGTACATTGGGGAAGAATGAGAAGACCGAAGACCTGAGACTTGAGACTTGAGACTTGAGACCGAAGGAAGTTGTTGTGAGTTGAGACCATGGAAGACCGTGAGGCGAGGCGAGGCGATGTGTCAAAGCAGAGTTGGCAAGTGACAGAAAGAGAAGAGAGGCAAGGCAAGAGCCTGAAGTGTGGCAGGTGGGTGAAGGTTGTTGTTGCGGACCGAGGTCAGATGGATGTCATGAAGTGTTGTCGGATGAGGCAAGATGGCAAGCCGTGGGTTGTGTGTGAGGTGTTGTTTGTTGGAGGCAGACAAGAAGGAATGAATGAAGTGAATCTAGCTCGATGAAGTGCTAGGTCTTGACTGTTAGCAAATGTTGAACTGATTGGAGGCAGGAGACAGTGATCCTTACCTGTCCATGGATGCCAGAAGCCAACAAAGTGGAAAGACGTTGGATGTGTTGGTTGTTGACGCCTTGATGCCAAGGTGGGTTGTAGGTCATGGAGGTTGGTCATGGAGGTTGGTCATGGAGGTTGGTCATGGAGGTTGGCCATGGAGGTTGGTCATGGAGGTTGGTCATGGAGGTTGGTCATGGAGGTTGGTCATGGAGGTTGGTCATGGAGGTTGGTCATGGAGGTTGGTCATGGAGGTTGGTCATGGAGGTTGGTCATGGAGGTTGGTCATGGAGGTTGGTCATGGAGGTTGGTCATGGAGGTTGGTCATGGAGGTTGAAGGTCAAAGGGGGTTGAAGAAGGTTGATGGATATGAAGGATGAAGAAGGATGTTGATGTTGGACTTGGGATGTTGATGTTGGACTTGGGATGTTGATGTTGGACTTGGGATGTTGATGTTGGACTTGGGATGTTGATGTTGGACTTGGGATGTTGATGTTGGACTTGGGATGTTGATGTTGGACTTGGGATGTTGATGTTGGACTTGGGATGTTGATGTTGGACTTGGGATGTTGATGTTGGACTTGGGATGTTGATGTTGGACTTGGGATGTTGATGTTGGACTTGGGATGTTGATGTTGGACTTGGGATGTTGATGTTGGACTTGGGAGGTTGAGAGACTTGGAGGTTGAGAGACTTGGTTGATGTTAGCCATGCCAGTGTTGAGTGCCAATACCTGTTCTGAGTGCCAATGCCTGTAGGGATGCCTGTCGATGCTTGTGTTGAGTGTCGATTCCTGTCGATGTCCAGTCGGCTATCCCACCCGTTACAAGAAACGAGGACTCTCGTTCATATCCCCATTCGTTGTTCCATATGTTGAGTGTCGATGTTTGTCGTCCATCCGGGCTAGTCCCATCCGTTACAAGAAACGGAGACCCTGTTTCCACCCAGTCCCACCCGCCACAAAAAGCGGAGACCCCTCTTTCCCACCCCGGTCGTTGTACCATGTGTTGAGCGTCGAAGAAGCAAGGCAAGTATCGAAGAAGCAAGGCAAGTATCGAAGAAGCAAGGCAAGTATCGAAGAGGCAAGGCAAGTATCGAAGAGGCAAGGCAAGTATCGAAGAGGCAAGGCAAGTATCGAAGAGGCAAGGCAAGTACCGAAGAGGCAAGGCAAGTATCGAAGAGGCAAGGCAAGTATCGAAGAGGCAAGGCAAGTGTCAAGTGTTGATGCAAGTCAAGGACGGTGAGGTGAGGTAAGTCTAAGAAAGATAAGTCATGTTAGTCTTGAAAGGTAATGAAGGTAAAGGAAGAAAACATGGAACAAACATGGACAACCATGACAGATGTTGAACAACCATGAGAGATGTTCGAAGGTTGAAGGATGAAAAGGAAGTTGAGCTGGGACCACCTTGGAAACCCAGGCCAGGAGGGTCCCGCGGAGGGGAAAAGAGGAAAAAAAGCAGAGATGGAGAAGAGAAGAAGAAGAAGATAAGAGAAAGTTGAGAAGAGCTGGGTATATATAGTTAAATTCTCGCTTGTGATTGGTCCAAGCCAATGCAAAATCGCTTCTGATTGGTCAGATCCAGATTTGGCATGCAGAGCCGCAGGCACGTGGCGCGTCGATCTGCCGGAGCCTGGCAGCCCTGCATGGGGTCGGGCTTCATCACGGCCCGTACGGATTCTGTAGACCCCCGAGAGCTTCGAAAACATCATGGCTACGTTGTAGAGACCAGCCAGAGTAGAGTACAACTTTTCCTGGCTCGAAGCGATGATTTCGGGCCAGGTGACGATTTTCGCTAATCGAGGTTCTTGGTAGGCGTTGTGCGCGCCCTGTCTACGGCCACAGCACTAGCATAGAGCCAAATTAACTGCCTCACAGGCGGCTGCTGGTATGTAGCCATAGATTAAGGTACATTGATCTACTCTACGATGTTGAGGCCATAAAGGAGCCCCCGAGCCACAAAGATCCCAGGGCCCACACCTGAACGCCGCAGAGAACACGAGTGCCATTCTGTAGCCTGAATGAGAACGGTGACGGCGATAGCCACGGGACATACTAGCGGATGGGGCAAAGCAGCAGACTGGGATTACACATACGGAGCTACGAGTAGTATAGATTACTGGGCTTTGACTACGTGAAGGGCAGCTCTGGGACCGTTACTGTGACAAAAAACCCCTGGAAAGGAGTACCATTACTGTCTACTACCTCGGAATGTGCTTCATGGGCAGCCGTGCCAGTAACCGGCACGGATCGAGTCCCTGAACTCTGGTGCACAGCAATAGCTTCACCCTGGGTGATCATGCTCCGTAGTCTAGCGCATTGGAGCTAGAATCCTGAATGCTACGTTTTCAGCACGTGTGGCCCGTCTACGAATAGCCACCTCTGGGGCATTTGGCTACCATTGTCTATGCTTAACGGCATCAAAAGTGGGCATGAAGATGGGACCTATAAGGCAGGGAAACTACATCACACTTTATCTGCTAAGACAGACTTGTAATTGGAATAGCTTTATCCACATATCAGACACTAAGAAACCGAGGTATGGTGACTAAGAATTTGGCATGGGCTCAGGTCTAAGTACCCTGATTGCAAGGCGACTTTGGAGTCAATCAATAACCGTGGATGTTGCGGGCAAGTAGGGAATAGCAAGGGCCAGGTAAATGCAGATCCTCGTTGGCACCAGTGAGTATCCTCTCTGTCTGGGAAACAACTTCTTCCTCGATGACCGAGGAGGTCCACGATCATTCTCCACCAACAGAGAGCATGACTTTAATCCCAGGAGACAGAGATCACCGTGAAACCACGAGGCGGAACTGAGAACCTTGGCAAGCTCCCATCGTTCAGAGCCCCAAAGGGACAATTATGACCTGCCTGGACGCTAAACAAACATCACGCCCGCATCATTTAGGGAATCCTACAATCTACGAGCTCACGAGCTGGATAACCAGCGAGACCCTATCTCGAACATCATAGGGCTTGCTCAAACCTTTCACTACACTCATACGAGGTTCCAGACCGTCGAGTTCCCCGAAGGCACCCCGCAGCCGAGACGTACACACAGAGAAATGGGTGGAAACGGAATCATACGCTTTACAATGAGGAGCGGGACAGCAAAAGCAAAAGAATGGCACTCCTAACTTTAGAAGATAGACAGATTGCGGTGTCGGGGTAAGAATGGATTCAGTACTTCTTTTCCAGAAGGTATGGGACGACTGTCCATGGATACATGACGTCCGGGCTGGAGATGACTTGACTGCCTCTTCTTCGGCGGCAGTGTGACGACGAAGGTAAGAGAATGGAACAACCGTTCTCGGAAGATGCATAGATTGGCATCAGGTTGGGCATGGCTTGATTGCTTTTTCTTCGAGAGGAACAGGACAACCATGGCAGGAAATCGGTGCAGCTGTCTATGGAAGACGGGCTGCATTTGGAATGGCCTCACTGGTGCTTCTTCAGCAGTGGCATGACTGTACATGCAAGACAGATGACCATGGGGCTGAAAATAGATTCACTGGTTCTCTTCACAGATTGACTTAGGCATCTGCTTTGGTTACATCCTTGTGTCCGTAGCCAAGCAACCATGTGCCCGGTCCTAGCCGTACATCCGAGGTATACTTCGTCTAAGGTACCTCTACTGTGCTTTATAGAAGACTGGGTGAAGTCAAGTTCCAGTGCGTGCATAACTAGTATATCCATGAGGTTAGAGATAAAGATATCTACTACAGTAGAACTGGCCAAGCATTCAATGTGGTACTGATTGTCGCGACATACTATGCACCTGGTATCCTGCAGGCTTAGAGAGCCTAGTAGCTATAAATGAACGCCCAAAACAGAGGTATTTGATATGAGATGCCCAACGAAAAAGACATTAAAAAAGAAACAAAGTCAGCAGTCAAACAACTCCGGAAATTCCCATTGCGACGTCATGGCCATAATACAACGGCTGTGATTGGAGCGCCTACGGGTTCGGGAACTTACAAGGTAGAAGTCGGGATCTTTCCCCATTCATTTCTCCACCTTTTCAATATCTCCCTGGATCTCTCCAGATTCACACATCTAGTTGAACACATCATGTCAACCAACCGCCCATTCCTGGCCAACTTCCTGGCCGCCTTCCGCGCCCAGTCAACCTACAAAGCAACATCTCAGCCCGTGGGCAGCGGCGGCACCTCATCCCTCTCCACAACCCAAATCTCCCAGAGCGCCCGCGCCATCGCCACAAAAGCCGCCAACTCAGCGCAAGCAGCGGGCTCATCTTCAAGCGGCTCAGGCTCAGGCTCGGCCTCTCACCATTCGCACCACAACCACCATACCCACTCCTCATCGACATCCGCATCAGCGACTGGCACAGCGGGGCCCGTACAAGGTCCCGCCCCGGCCCCAGCCCATCACTACCACCATGCAACTGCCCAAGCCGATTCCTCACTCCCTTCCTCGCCGCCGACGACTCCGGCTTCGTCCACCCCTATTCCGATCAACCGGAGCCCGGCTGATCGCCAGCGTCGTGGCAGTGATAGTTCCAGTGGCTCCGGTGGGTTCCGTGATGCTATTGGGCCTGAGAAATGGTATATTGGGGGGCGGACACCTGCTGGTGAAGAGCGGTTTTACCGCCTTGGTATGGTTACCAAGGGTGGCGGGCGGCTTGGGGGGAGTGGAAGGGTTGGGAGCATTGATCAGTTGAGTCTGTGATGATACTGGGATTGCTTCTACTTTACTTCTGCCTCTGCCTGTGCGTCTGATTCAACTCGATACGAAACTGCACCCTGGACCACAGTGGTGGGACTTGATATTTACGATTTTCATGCTTGTGCTTGTGCTTGTGCCTTCTTTTATGATTCATTCGTGTGGCGTATGGCATTCACCGGTCGTCACCGGAACGGCGTTCTTCACTGGGTCTCTGGATGGTTGGGGACTGGCTTTCTTTCTATTGGCTTTGCTGGTACAAACGAAGCCCCAAAAAGACATACATTACACGATTTCTTACATGACTTACGATTTGGGCGATTTCTTTACATCCTGTTTTCTCTCTTTTGCCTGCAATGCAAAGCCTGACCAAAAGTGCATGGATTCCGATATCAGATCAATGCCAATATCAATGTTACATGCTATTTGAAGTTACCGAGTGGTTTATACGCATATATTGCTGGTATATCGGGCTAGCTTAAAGTAATACAACATCATATCATCCAATTTGGATACAACAACTGTCTAAAATTACAGCACTTGCTGCGTAACACAATGCAATACACCCCCGGTCCTCGGCAACGCATTAACAGCAACCTGCTTAACAACCCTCTCAGGAACAAGACTCTTCATCAACTCAAAAGCCCTCTCATCAGCAACCGCATCTCCAAAAGCAGGCATAACCAACCCCCCATTCGCAAAATAAAAATTGACATAAGAAGCCGCCGGCGCAGCCTCCTCACCAGGCAAATCCCCCTTCACAAACCTGGGATCCGGCTCAACAACATCATGGACCTCAACCTTGCGCCCACGCGCATCAACACAATCCCTCAAAACCTCCCGAATCTCCTCGTAGACCTCCCAATGCACCTTCTCCGCACTCTCGTGCGGCCGACAAACAACAACAACCCCAGGCCGAACAAACCTCGCCTCGGCATCAATATGCACATCCGTAACATCCAACCCAACACGCCCAGGGAACCAAATAAACTTAGTAACACTAAGCAACCGACTCAATTCCTCCTCGATCTCAGACCGCGATAAACCCGGATTCCGCGCGGGACCAACGATGCTACTCTCCGTCGCCATAAACGTCCCCTCCCCATCAATCTCAATACCCCCACCTTCAAGCCGGATATGTGTCGAGACACGGGTAACAGGCTCAGGACTCGCATCTGGCAATTGCGCAGCCACAGCCTCGTTTTCCAGATCTAGCACTGCCCGCGCGAAATTCGTATTCTCGGCCATGGCTGCTTCGTCCATAACAGGCCAGTCAGCGTACGCCGGCGTGCTTTCCAGCGCTAGTGCTGCTGCGGGCGAGGCGCTACTGCCGTAGATTCTTTCGCCGGTTTTGTGGCCCCATTCGCAGAATTGAAAGTCGATTGCGTAGCGGGTGTTGTCATGTGTGCCGCGCACGTAAACCGGGCCTGTGTCGCGGATCCAGACGTGGTTTGTTGGGGCCGGGATTAGGGTTATTGGATATGCGGGTTTGGGGTTCTGGTGCGCATCTAAGAGGGATTGGGCGTGGAGTAGGTCTTCTGGGCGGACATGTAGGCGGACTGGTTCGAAGGTTGCAATTGTTTTTGCTAGGTTTATTATTTCGGTGCTTGTTTTCTCATGTAGTTCTGGGAGGAGGGAACGGCGGGATGGGAAGCTTAGGAGGGTTGCTAGGTGGGGGGTTGTTTCTGCTGGGCAGGTGTATCGTTGGGTTGTTGCTTGGGTTTTAGCTCGTTGTTGGATGTGCCAGGTTTTGTTGGCTGGGGGCATTGTGGTGGTAGTATGTTTGAAGTGAGTGAAGTTGGAGAATGAGGCTCTGGAATGTTGAAGTGATAGTCGCGAGCTCTTGATAGAGTCAGATCACATGCATATCAAAGAGTACAGAAGTATGAGACTTACGGTGGTCGCTAGCTTTGGAGCGTGTCGTAGAAGTTGAAGAGACATGGTCATGAACAGAGCCCAATCACTCGCTATTTATGTAGCAGGAGAGACCAATGTCAAATGCAGTTAAAATAAAGAGAAGACAGATGAAGTCAACCGATCGAGAGACCAAAAAGGGCAGTGGATCACTGCCGATGAGTTGCCTGATTGGGATAGTCCACCCGAACAGTGGAACAGACCTCAAGTGCTGCCTACCGAGTAACCTCACCTTGCTTCTTCATTAACTCTCTCTCCCAACCACAATATTGGAATCGCAGTCAAGGCCACCAAAACTCCCAATGTGCCCGTCATTGTTCCCCACCCCCATCGATACTCCACGAATCCACCCCAGAGCGGACCGAAGAACACACCCGCAAATTGGCACATACTCTGCAGTCCGAATCCCTGCGCCACTGCACCTTTGGGGCCCAGTACGCCAGGATTATTGGCCTCCATGGCCGTGAGAGCTAGCTGGGTCTCGACGTACATGGCTGGTGCGCAGGCGTGGGTGAAGATACCCGTGAGGAACAGCAACACCACGAGCAGCGCAACCTGCCCAGTGGAGTTCTTCTCAACAAATCGGAGACAGATGAGGGTGGGCGAGAGCGCTACGAAGCAGCAGAAAGATACAAAGCGCGCACCTAATCGGTCGGTGATGAATCCTAGCGGGCAGCATCAGTGAATGCATTTCGTGAGATCGACGCGGTACTCACCAAACAAGGGCTCGAAGAAGGCCGGAACTGCCATTGGGAGGAAGATCAGACCCATGCCAAGAGAATTCCAGCCAAATGTCGCCTCCACGAAGATGGGAAGTGTCTGCTACAGTCAGCAAGCTGTCATGGTCAACACCTAATCTGCAATGTACCGCATCAAGGGCAGAGAGCAACAGTCCCTGAACAAGCAACACCCCCGAAGAAATCAAGACTCGGCGCTGCTTGAGCATCTTCAAAAGAACCCATCCTTTCTTCCTGGGAACAGCCACTGGCTCACACGGTACTGCAGCGTGATTGCGCTGTTCAGCATCCAAATCAGACTCGAGGTCCCCATTCGGCCCAGTCCACTCAGCAGCCACCTTCTTCTCAACCAAAGCCAACCGCATAACCATATCAATGGTAATAATGGGATACGCAAACCAAAACACAGAATCATACCCACCAGCATTATAAACAATCCCCCCAAGGAACGGACCCAGCAAGAAACCAGACGCAATGGCAGAGCCTAGATACCCAATCGTCTGACCAAGACGATACTGCGGCACGGCATCGCCGATCAGAGCGAAAGAAGCTACTACTACTAACGCACCTGTGATTCCTTGGACTAGACGTGCTACCACAAACACGGCCACGGAACGTGCCAGTTGCAGGATCAGCATGCATCCAACTAATAGGATCAGCGCACATATGAATGGCAGTCGTCGTGTGCGCCCGCGGTCCACTAGGTATCCGAATAATGGACAGAGAATTAGGGATGTCCCGGCTTCGCACATGAGTAGTACGCTGACCCAGTATTCGCCTGTTCCGGTATGAGTATGCGCTGTGGGCATCTATCATTGAATTTAGGACTGGACTTACGATGGGTATACTCGACTCCGGCTCGGGTTACGAGTGCTGTCGGCATGACGGGGACAATCTGTTAAACATTGATTATAGTTCTCATCCGTCTCGAGGGAAGAAAGCACACTTACCATGGCGTATAGCAGGAACTCCTTCCATTCCAATCAAAGTCAGTCACAGCTTGATAACTCCATGCAAGTCACATACCGTGAAAGTGGACATCCAGACAGCGCCAATGATAAACGTTGTCGACGAACGCAGTTTCAGCAGCCATGGTCGACGCGTCCCCCCGGGTCCCTTCTTAGATCTTGGTAGAACCCACATGAACATGTTGATATCAAAACGAACAACAATGCTCAGAAACCAAAAACAGAGGAAAATGCCTGCAAGCAAGTTCAATACAGACAACTTTTGTTCTCGCAAAAATGACAACTCAGCCCTGTTCAGCTCATGTCATCTAAACCAGGGTCCCAAGTCAAAATCCACAAAGCACGACAGGTAAATACATGACAGACACCAAAACGCGAAGTGGCGCTTTATCCAACAAAGGAAACCCAACCGTCAGCCGAGTCCCAATGTAGAAACTCGCGGACCTTCGCCCACCATTTCATTTCGACTCTCCCTCCAATCGCGGAATATTCTCGTTTCTGCTTAGAGTGATGACATGCGCACTGCATACAGACGTCGTCAGATAGTCGTTGCGTGCATGACGCTACTAAGTCTATGCACCGGGGTTTGGAGCACACCTCAGCTTCCGATTCGATGATTGTGATTTTAGCTGGGGGTGGGATTTGCTCGGCTATACTTCTTGTTGCTTAGTTTTTTTTCCTTTGTCGGTTAAATGATATTAGATACTATGTGTTTCAGGTCTTGAATTCTATGATAATGAACCACGCGCAGATCTCCATTAACTGTGATTCTTGTTATCTCAGCCTTGGCTAGCTTGTAGTTTAAACAAGTCTCGCATGATCTCCAGTGCATGAAACCCCGCCACTGATTTTTGCTTTTGTCAGGCGCCCCTTCTTAGCCGCCACTACAGTATGTGCTCAGTACCTTGGCTCGTTGCATAAGTCTCGGGGGGTATTGTCACTGTGCTGGAGGGGAAATGAGTTCTTGGTAGCTCGTGCCGTATTCGTGTAGAGTATTGGATTGGTTGGCGTGGTGGATGTCTGCATATGCTGTGACAGGGTGTGTCGGCCACGGCTTTTCGCCTTGAATGTCGCTTGTCGTATCCTGTGGTGTTGAGGCTCTGTCTATACCTTTTGACCAAATGGTATTAAATATATATAAGAAATACTTTCCACAAAAAGACCTGTCACTGTTATTGGAGAAGATAATAGTCCAGCAGTAAATACTGCGACATACCTAAACTTCAGACACAAGCAATGTATGCAGCGAAATAGTTCATCCGCTCATGAAACCCAAGCATGAATATATATGTATATATATTGCTAAATCCGAAATATCTGTAGAGCATATATCCAACACCCCAAAAAAGCCAAAAAGAACAACCCCAACAATAAAAGCACAAGTCAATAAGCAAACCATGACATATCCTCCGCACTGTACAACAAAGGCATGACCATGCGTAGTGTAAGGGACATTAAAACCATACTATCCGTCAGTAACAAGTGAGCACATCCATGCCACGATCGCAGCTCTCCGCGCAGGCTCCATCCGCAGTGGAGGTCGCCGAAACCGAACGGGCTGACACAAGTGGAAAGCAGCGTCCACGGGTAGATCCCGGTATAGGCGAGTCGAGATCCCGTCAGCGAGAGATTTGGAGTCGGGGATTTGACGGGGTTTGCTGTGGACTGTAGAGAGGAACATACGGAGTATACCTTACTGTATGCATTCGGGCGTCGGAAGTTCGGATTCCGGGCGTGGAATGTTGATGGGTTCGCGTCGATCTTGAGATGTTCGGGCTGGGCCGAGAGTCTGGGGATGGACTTACGTTTTTACTTTTGTGCTTTTTGTCTTTGGTGTGAGATTGGAAGTTATTGGCGGAAATTGGAGGACAGACGTGTATGTCGGGCCATACTCAAGTGATAGAGAGGAGCAGTTGAGCGATAAGATCGGGAGTGGAGAGCGGCCATCCGCGGTCATCGGAGGTGCCCGATGGCGATGTGATTTAAATAGTTGGCGCATCTGTTTGCGATATTCACATTTTCTCTCTCAGCTTTGCATTAACCTCTACTTTCAACCTATTTAATCTTTCTATCCTACCCTTATCTCAAGATGAGCGCATTGGGACCAGCCCGCTACGGCAAGGACAATGTCCGCGTGCTCAAGGTCGAGCGCGATGCAAAGACCGGCATTCAGACAGTCGTGGAGATGACCGTCTGCGTCCTGCTGGAAGGCGACATCGAGACCTCGTAAGTAGGGCCATCTTAACCCTTATCAAACAGCAACTAACCCATCTCCGTAGCTACACCAAGGCCGATAACAGCGTGATCGTCGCAACCGACTCAATCAAGAACACCATCTACATCACAGCCCGCCAGAACCCCGTCACACCTCCCGAACTGTTCGGCTCCATCCTGGGCACACACTTCATCGAGAAGTACAACCACATCCACGCTGCGCACGTCAACATCATCACCCACCGCTGGGAGCGCATGGACGTCGATGGCAAGCCGCACGCCCACTCATTCATCCAGCCCGGCGCCGAGACCCGCGATGTGCAAGTCGATGTTGTCGAGGGCAAGGGTATTTCCATTAACTCCGCGATCAAGGGCTTGACCGTGCTGAAGAGCACCGGTTCCCAGTTCTGGGGTTTCCTCCGTGATGAGTACACCACTCTCAAGGAGACCTGGGACCGGATTCTCAGCACTGATGTTGCTGCCAACTGGCAGTGGCGCCAGTTCGCCAATGTAGCGGAGGTCAAGGCCGACGTTGGCAAGTTCAATGCTGCCTATGAGGCTGCGCGCAAGATTACCCTCAAGACTTTCGCTGAGGATGTCAGCGCCAGTGTTCAGGCTACCATGTACAAGATGGGCGAGCAGATTCTTGCTGCTGCGCCTTTGCTTGAGACTGTTGAGTATTCGCTGCCTAACAAGCACTACTTTGAGATTGGTACGTTTTCTGACTGTTTTCTTTGCTGTTTGCTTCAGGCTTTGGGGTTCTGGACTAATCGTTGCGCTTATAGATCTCTCTTGGCACAAGGGCCTCAAGAACACTGGCACGGATGCCGAGGTTTATGCTCCTCAGTCTAACCCCAATGGTCTTATCAAGTGCACCATCGCCCGCGCTGGCCAGAAGGCTAAGCTGTAGATGCTAGATTTGGACAGTCAGCGAGCTCTGACATGCACGACTTTTGCTTTTTCTCTCTTGTACATATATCTCATCCTCTTATACCTCTGGGATACCGACTCCCTATCTCGAATCCAATCTGGAACATCACAAAGTTACTTCGTTTCGCTTGCAAGTTGTTTCCCATAATAACTTATTTAGTATGTAGTATTGTATGTGCTATAAGTACATTCCAATTCAAGGAAACCGCAGGCTGGAGAGAATGAAAAGAAAAGCCCGAGGCCAAGCCAACGGCAGAGTAGATGGTAAATCAAAAGCAACATCCCAGGTGGACTCCGAACCCATGCGCTTTTGCGGTTGGATCATAACATCGCAGAATAGAATACAGGCACGCGCGGACCCGGTTGAGGTCGCGTTGTAAATGACGATAATGGTAACAGGAGAAGGAGAGAAATTTATGCTCTATGCGGTGGGCTCGGTGGGCTTGGCTGCCTTAAAGGCTTCTTGCACCTCGGGCATGGCGCCGATCATGGTCGATTTGTTGCCGAACTTGACGATGTTCTCCTTGTAGGGGTGGGCAAGACCTTCGAAAGCTGCGCGAGTATGTTAGTTGAGACTCATAACAGGGGGACATGAATTGAGTAGAGGGTGTTGTCCATCGTCCGAGAGGACAATGGGTACGTCTCCACAAGTCCATCCACCAGGAACCGGCACTTACTCTTCAGACGGGCCAAGCGAGAGTCCTGCAGACGGTTCTTGGGAAGCATACCCTTCACAGCCCGACGCAGCACTTCACCACCACCCCATTTAGCGAACATCTGATCCATCGTCATGCTCTTCAAGCTACCCGGCCGCGTCGTGTGAGTGTAGTACTTCTTCTGGAAGCGCTTCTTTCCTGTTGTCTTGAGGTCATGGCATCCGGCAACCACAACGTAGTCACCACAGTCTGTCGAGGGGTCGTAGATAGGCTTGTTCTTGCCCATCAGGACGAGGGCGATGGAAGAGGCGAGGCGGCCCAGGGAGCGTTCATCTGTGCCGGCGTCGACATAGTGCCACGCGCGCGAGTAAGCAAGACGTGTCTATTGTGTCAATGATTAGAATTGGGTCCATTGATATGATTGCGGACATGCGCGGGTGGTCAGGCAGACTCCGCATTGAAGCTAACTGACCTTGCCGACGAGTTGAGACATATTGCTGAGATGACGGAGGGCGTAATAGGATGTCGGGATAGGTAAAAGCGGAAAAATTAATGAAAGCGAAATAGCCGCTTTAGTATCACAGCAACAAGATAGACCCAACACCCAAGTCTGGCCGAGATTCAACGCTTGATCTGATCGGCCTCTCACGTTACTGTTGTTCCCCAGCCCGACGAAGTTCTCCGGGTCATGTGACCAAGCCCTAAGTCTCGTGCCGAGCTAAACCCAAAGCAGTCTTAGCGGCCGCACACTAAGCGAAACCCGCACCGAAGGGCAAATCAGTGTGTATGGGAATTCAAGTGATCTCTTTTTCCATCTCCCACGACAACACACTCCCCTCCCCGTCGACAACAAGGGCCATTTCATCCACCATGGCTTCCGTCCCGAGTGTGCAATGCTTCGGCAAGAAGAAGACGGGTAAGCTCTAATTTTTCGATGCCAGGTCATCTGGAATCTGTGCACTGACATTCAATTTTCAATAGCCACCGCTGTCGCCCACTGCAAGGTATGAAGACGCCTCTACCCCCTCCTCGCTGTCAACACGTTGTTTCGGAAAACCTGGAAGGGATCATGGAGAGTTATTATGGAAGAGGAGAATTGGAAGTCGACATGGAATTTTCGAAAGGGTCTACGAACAACGGATTGCGCGCTATGGGGGTTACGCATTTCAATTGGACAACATGCTGAGTGTTTTTACAGCAAGGCAAGGGCCTCGTCAAGGTCAACGGCCAGCCCCTCTCTCTGGTCCAGCCTGAGATCCTCCGCTTCAAGGTACGCACACTCGCTCCGTCAATACCCGCCCGCCAGAAGGGAAAAAGGGATTCGCAACGAATCGCCCACAAACCAACAAATGGCAACGGGGAATTTTTAAACCAGTCTTGAGACCTAACTGTTTGAAATCTAGGTCTACGAGCCCCTCCTGATCGTCGGCGTTGACAAGTTCGCCGGTGTCGACATCCGTGTCCGTGTCACCGGTGGTGGTCACACCTCCCAGGTCTACGCCATCCGTCAGGCCATCGCCAAGTCCATTGTCGCCTACTACCAGAAGTACGTCGATGAGCACTCCAAGAACCAGCTCAAGCAGGCTCTCGCTCAGTACGACCGCACACTCCTGGTTGCCGACAACCGCCGTGCCGAGCCCAAGAAGTTCGGTGGTCGCGGTGCCCGCTCCCGCTACCAGAAGTCCTACCGTTAAATTTTTCTTCTCTCCTATACCTTATTACGCGGCGAAAGGGAAAAGAAAAGTTTACAATCGGGAGGAAATGGGAACGTGTCTGTCTTATGTCTTTTTTCTCTCACGACTCATTTCCATGACTTCTTTGGTGGACTGTGTGTGGGATTGGGAGGATCCCCGGGGAAAGGTGTATTGAGCGGTTTCTGTTCGGTATGACCGCTCGTACATGAGATCCGAGAACCGGGCTGGAGGTCTTTGGGAAACATGACCTCTGGTTGCTGTGCCGGTTTCTGTGTTGAGGATGGATATCCTATGTTTTTCACTGGCGCTGTCCTGCACGGCTGGAAAAAATACCTAGCATAGCCAGGAAAATCTACTCAATGATACTGGGTTTTATCTTGTTCAATCTTCCTTGTTATTACTGGTTCTGCACTAGTTTAATTGCGGCGTTTGGATCACTTTCCCTTTCTTAGACAGCTAACCTCTACCTTGGTTTGACGGTCTTGTGCATACAGATCCTAAAGCCCAATACTGCAAGCAGATTGCTACCCAGCCGGTTGCGGCATTACATGAGTCTTAAGTGAAAAGGCACGGGTCTCCAGCTGCACCTTAGTCTGAGTTGCCTAGCCAGTGGTGAGGAACTATATGTAGCAGATCTACACCGCCCTGGCATTATCACATAATGCGTGGTAGAATCCGTCACCGGTCAAATGCAGCAGAATCGATTCGAGCCCTAACTTGAAGCTTGCTTTGCCACTTGATTCCTACACATTCGTATTTCAGTACATCATAGCACAATAGTATTGGCACCAGAAAGTGAGCTTTCGCTTGGCGCCATCCTCCAGCTTCTTCATCCTAGCCTCGGTACCTGAGGGATATACAGTAGAGATGTCTCAAGATCAACCGCGCTCCGCAGTCCTTCAAGTGCGTGACGACCCTCGACGACGGCTGCTGATTTCTCTGGGATGTCCTGGAATTAGCCACCGTCCAAAAATTTCCATACTTTGTAGAAATAAATCACCTGTAGTTGAAAATGCGAATGGAGCTTATGTCTTAGCAGACTACCAAGCACTGATCTTCCTTCAAGTGCTGCATCCCGAGCTTCTTGTGTCCATATTTGCCCCGTTGTGTTGTAAAATGAGCCGCCATGACTGCTGTACTAGTTGTCCTTCTAGCTGAGCAACCAGCTTGTCATCTCATGGTCCGAAATGTGTGATCCTATATCGTTTGTTGAAGAAGAAATGTCAACAGTTGGTTTTCAACGAGGCTATATACGACTGTATTTGAATCAATCCCATCAGAAAATAATAAATTTGTATCTTTGGTCGGGTCCCACGGTGGATCACAGTCCTCCAGCCAGTTCCGAGAGTTTCATTCTCTCCCCCTACTGGGTTCGAGTCAAATTTCTTTTCAGGTGTCTCATCCCAGGGGGGATCCAATTCCACATGTATGCATCAATATGACGTACCGTAAAAGCTCAGCGA